GAAGCTGGGCATGCATGCTAGACCAGCAGCTACCGTCCAGCCCAGCCAGCTCGTCGCCAGAGCCCGCCGTTGACCCGCGCGAGAACGACGCGAGTTAGCATCTGGCGCAAGTAGCGGAATGACACGTCAGCCATTTGGCCTAGGTTCGTGCACTTGGGACTGGCGCGCGCGATTCCCGTCGCTCTCTTCCCGCCGTTGCCAGAGCCGGAACCAGCAAGTCGACGACCGCTCTCACCAGGACTGCTCGCACTCGCTCACGGACTGCGGCTACGGGGGACTGCTGCCGGGATGGAGGATGCTTGGACTGCGCTGCTCCTGCCGTTCAGACCGGATCCGCCGACCGTGTCTTCCTCCTCGAAGCTGGGGCTCATTCGACGCTTGTTCTTCCTGAGGGATGCAGACAGGGTGGACTCGAAGCGGGACGTTCAGGAGCGTCTGAGTGAAGCGGTACAGCTGCCAGAGCTCGCAGGGAGATGAGGTCCACGACTGCCGCCTCAACGAGGGACACTTCTCCCCTCTCTCCCTCGCTGCTCACGCATGTCCCGGCTTGACTTGCTTTCACTCAATGTGTGCAGTTCCTGCGCAAGGTGACGAGCCGCTCGGCGTATCCGCCGCGCTGCTGAACAGACCTCAAACGCCTGCTCCTCCTCCCCCTCGCTCCTTTCTTCGCCTTCCGCCGTCACCTCACACTTGCGCCGCCCTAACCGATGCTCACGGCACGCACGACGCTCTCCTGCACGCGACGACGACGGCGACATGCCCAACGAAGGCGCCGATTTGCAATGGCGGCGCCCTCTGCTGCGTCGACCGAGTCGTCGTGACGAGGAGGCGAAGCTGCGGCTCCGCCCCGGCGAGCGCGGCCTAATCTTAGCGGGACTTGTAGAGAATGTTGGAACACGCACACAGTCTGTCCTGCGTCGCCCTGTTGCGAGCGAGCGATCTCTCTCCTTTGCATCGACCCACTCGTCTCGTTCCTTCGTGAGTGCGCGGTCAGCTGGACAGCGCGGAAGCAGGGCAGAGTACGCTCGTACGACAGCCTCAGCACAGCCTCAACAGCTGTACAACGCCTCAGCTATCGACGCTCGAACCGCCCTTCGCCGTCGTCGCCTCGTCGCGCCCTTTCTCCTCGACCTCAGCACAACAGCTCCCGCGCTCAACCGCCCCCGTGCTCGCACAGAGCGCACATCCAGCGCAGCGATGGTCTTTGCCACGTCGCCATCGTCCTTCTCCTCCCTCCGCCTGCCTATCCTCCGGCTCGCAAAGTTGGGGACGGCCTACCCGATCGAGGTCATTGTCACCCTCTTCTGCGCAGCGACGCTCGTCTACTTCCAGCTCATCAAGGTGAGTAACGCCGTCGCACGCGAACCGATCAGCCGGCGAGGAGGGAGGGCGAGGGAAACGCGTTCACGGGGTCGATGCGTTCGAGCAGGCGGGTTCTTTGCGCGATCTCGCTACGGGGCGGGCTGGGCGGGCTAGGGGTACGGCTCGATAGGAGAAGGGCCTTGCTGTGTCCTCTGCACGCACGCGAGCGGGAGTTGGGGGGAGACGCTTTGTTCCCTTGTCGTTGGCTCGTCGGAGGAATCGCTAGAGTCAGGCGGGCAGGGGACAACGCAAAATGAGGGTTGAAGGTACTGAAACGACGTTACTGACGCGCCTGAGCCCCGCAGGTCGTCCGACACTCCGACTTCCTTCTCTACGACGACGATGCCTTCCCTTCCGCCAACACTCTCAACCGCCACCCATCCATCTCGTTCGAGCCGTCAACCGGCCTGTGGACCTCTGTTTCCCCGTCTGAACCCGCACCCATCGACACCGTCGAGCTCTGGCTCCGCCAGGTGATTGTCGAAGTCCCGAACACGATGGCCGTCGCGCGCAAGAACGAGGTCAAAGAGCTGCTCGAAGCCGACTCGCTCCTCGCCGAGCAAGGAATCGAGGACTGCTACAAGGTCGCCGGCCAGTGCTGGAAAGTCCAGACTCAGCCCGCGCTCAACCTCACCGTCAAGTCGTTTGCGTTCGAGTCGCTCGTCGGCCCGACTCAGTTCTTTGCCAACTTCTCGACCCTCCCGCTCGAGACTGAGACCGTCGCGCTCGAGAAGGTGCGCAGGTCGCAGGGCAGGAAGCGCTACACGAGCTTCTTCAACCGCGGCCAGGACGACTTTGTAGTCGAGGGGTCGGACCAGCCCAGCGAGGACCGCAAGCGCGAGATGGAGAGCGTTCACTGGGTGCTCTTTGCCGCCAAGGTATTCGTTCTGCGCTTCTGGGGTCTCGCCAAGGTGCGTTTCTCGAACCTTTCCTCCTCGAACCTCTTGACTGACTGTTCCTCGTGCACGCTCGCAGAAAGCCGACTCGGCCGACATCTTCGTCATGCTGATCGCCTACGTCCTGATGCACTCGACCTTCGTCTCGCTGTACCTCAACATGCGCCGCCTCTCTCGGTCTCTCCGGCCCAATTCGAACTCGCTCGGCTTCTGGCTCGCGACCCTCTCGCTCGCCTCGTCCTGCGTCGCATTCATGTTCGCCCTCCTCACAGCCTGGTACCTCGAGATCTCGGTCAACCCCGTCCTCCTCGGCGAAGCCCTCCCCTTCCTCGTCATCACCGTCGGATTCGAGAAGCCCTTCGTCCTTACCCGTGCCGTCTTCTCGAACCCCGCGATCGGTCCCGGAGGCGCCTACGCCGGTGCAGCAAGTCGCGGTACCTCGACGCCGTCGGGTAACGGCAAGCTCGTCACGCCTACCACGAACGCCTTCGGCCTGCGCTTCTCGCCCCCCGTCCCGGCACGCGACATCGTCCTCTCGGCCGTCTCGAAGACGGGCGTCCCCATCGTCCGCGACTATGCGATCGAGATTGCTGTCCTCGTTCTCGGCGCCATGAGCGGTGTGGCCGGCTTGCGCGAGTTCTGCCAGCTTGCGGCCGTCATCCTCGTTTGGGACGCGATCTGCCTCATTGGCTTCTTTGTCGCCGTGCTTACGATCATGGTCGAGGTGTGTTCCCTGGTCCTGTCTCTTCTCCTTTCCCGCAACTGACGCATCATCCGGCGCAGATCCACCGCATCAAGGTCGTCCGCCACTTCCGCCGCACCGACTCGTCCGCCGACCTCTCCCGCCTGCTCGACGACCCCAACGCATTCCGCGACGCCGACGCGCAGGCTTCGGATGACGACGAGGAGGCACCCACGCCCACCCTTACCCTTCGTGAGAAGCTCATCAAGCTCGCGACTGGAACTGCGCCAGGCGCGAAGGCCACGTCGGGCAGCCCAACCGCCCGTCTCAAGGTTCTCCTCATCGCCGCCTTCCTCACGCTCCACTCGCTCAACCTCGTCACGACTCTTACTGCCAAGACTGCTCTCGGACGACACATCGACCACTCGGCCTCGACCTCGCACATCCCGCACATCGACACGTCGAACCCGGTCCTCTCGTCGACGCTCCTCCAGCTCGTTGCGGCGCACGAGGCGGGCACCAAGCTCCTCGTCCACATTGTCCCTGCCCTTCACTTCCACGCCGTCGACCGCACGCTCCCGCCCGCTCCCGCAGTCTCGACCGCTCAAGCAGCACTTCCGCACTTGACCGCCGCGACAGGCTCCTTCGGCTCGATCGACCAGTTCTTCACCCGCTGGTCGCGCCTCGTCGGTGACCCCATCGTCTCGAAGTGGATCGTCATCGCACTCGGCCTCTCGCTCTTCCTTAACGGCTACCTCCTCAAGGGTATCGCGTCGGGCTCTGACAGCTTCGGACACGGATCCGCTGCCGAAGTCGCAGCTCGCATCCTCCTCGCCAGCACCGGATCGGACGTCGACAATGACGATGACGAGGCGGCCAAGGCTCGTCTCCGCCGCTCGTTCTCGCTCTTGCGGGAAGAGCTGCAGAACGAATGGACGCAGAAGGACGCGGCGGTCATGCAGCGCGAGTATGCCCGGCACGAGCTCAAGGCCGAGCGTGAGGCGGGCAAGACGGCTCCAACGGTAGTCAAGGTCTCGGCGGCGAAGCCTCGTCGCGACAGTGACTCGTCTGACGAATCGGCGCCTGGCTCGCCCATCCTCATCCGCACTCGCAAGGCTCTCAACGGCGCACCGTCCTCGTCGACCCTTACCGTCCCTTCGACCGACGAGGTCACCGCCCCGCAGCTCAAGCTCTCGCCTTCGACCGTCGCCCTCGTCTCGCAGAACGGCATTCCCGACACCCCTCGCGACCTCGACACCTGCGTCAAGATCTTCAACGGCGGTGAGGGAGCGATGCTCCTCAACGACGAGGAGATCATCACCCTCGTCCAGAAGGGCAAGCTCGCCGCCTATGCGCTCGAGAAGCTTCTCAAGGACTACGTCCGCGCCGTCTCGATCCGCCGTGCTCTCATCTCGCGCGCCTCGGCTCGCAAAACCCTCGAGGCGTCCGACCTGCCGTTCCTCCACTTCGACTACTCGCGCGTCATGGGCCAGTGCTGTGAGAACGTCGTCGGCTACATGCCCATCCCCGTCGGTATCGCGGGACCGCTCCGAATCGACGGCAACGTCCTCCCCATCCCGATGGCTACGACCGAAGGCGCGCTCGTCGCCTCTACCTCGCGTGGTTGCAAGGCCCTTAACGTCTCGGGCGGCGTCACGACCGTCGTCACGCAGGACGCGATGACCCGTGGCCCGGCTCTCGACTTCCCGAGCGTCATCATGTGCGCCGCCGCCAAGCGCTGGGTCGACTCGGACGAGGGCAGCAACATCCTCAAGGCCGCGTTCAACTCGACTTCGAGATTCGCCAGGCTCAAGAGCCTCAAGACTGCCATGGCTGGTCGCACGCTCTTTGTCCGCTTCGCCACCCAGACTGGCGACGCGATGGGCATGAACATGATCTCCAAGGTGCGTCCGAGGCGTTGACTTTTGCTGCTGTTGACGCTCGCTGACGTCGCTCGCCTGTCGCCCGCAGGGCTGCGAGCGCGCTCTCGATGTCATGATGACGGAGCACTTCCCCGAGATGAAGATCGCGTCGCTCTCGGGCAACTACTGCACGGACAAGAAGCCGGCCGCGATCAACTGGATCGAGGGACGAGGGAAGAGTGTCGTCGCCGAGGGCATCATCCCTGGCGAGGCGGTCAAGTCGATCCTCAAGACGACCGTCAGCGACCTCGTCCGCCTCAACATCACCAAGAACCTCATCGGCTCGGCGATGGCCGGCTCCGTCGGCGGCAACAACGCCCACGCGTCCAACATCCTCACGGCCATCTACCTCGCGACCGGCCAGGACCCCGCCCAGAACGTCGAGTCGAGCAACTGCATGACGCTCATGGAGGCCATCAACGACGGAAAGGACCTCTTGATCACCTGCTCGATGCCGTCGATCGAGGTTGGCACCGTCGGAGGCGGCACCATCCTCCTCCCGCAGGCCGCCATGCTGGACATGCTCGGCGTCAAAGGTCCGCACCCGACCTCGCCCGGCCAGAACGCGCAGCAGCTCGCTCGCGTCGTCTGCGCCGCCGTCATGGCCGGCGAGCTCTCGCTCATGTCGGCCCTCGCGGCCGGCTCGCTCGTTCAGAGCCACTTGGCGCACAACCGCTCGGCACCTGCGACGCCTGCCGCCCAGACACCCCAGATCGGCTCGCGCGCCGCGACGCCTGTCTTGAACGGCACGCAGCGCCTCGCGCCGTTGACGGTGACCAAGGGCAAGGACTAGGCCTGTCCCCGGGAACGCCCATCGCCATGTCCCCGCCCTTCCGCCTCCATTTCTCGTTTCTCCGGTCGCCTCTATTGGGTCGTTCTTGTGTCTTCCCCGTCGTCTCGGTTTCCGTCGCAGTCGCCGTCTTATCGCCTCGCCGTCTCCGATCTATCGCAGGTCTCGTCATCATCGCATCTTCCGGATCTTCGTCGTCGGACAGAACCCTAGCTGTACCTGTTGAGCCACGCCTCTTTCCCTCTCCTACCAGTACTTATACTCGCCTCCGCCCTCCTTCTCGCCCCCGTAACGTTGCATGCCCCTTCTCCCGCTCCCTCTCCCTTGCACCCGGACTCGCAAAAGACTCCGCATCGTAGCTAGCATCTTCTCGTTTCTTACCTTGGGTGGAGCCGTGGAACACACGAAACCAATTGCACGTTCCGACGCGACCAGGTGAGTTGCGAGGGAGCTTTCCCTCCGCTCTCCTCGCTTTCCTCTCTTTGCTCGCATTCGTCGTGCGCTCCAACAACTCGACAATGCCGTGACTCTGGCTCGCCGCGCTTGCCCCTCGCATCGGACCCGCTCGAGCCTCTCCTCCCCGCGGTTCTTCCTCTTGCTCGCCCTGCGTTCACCCTCTCGCTGTTCGTCTCGCTAGCTGGGTACAGATGCTTGCGTCGCTTGGGACGCCTACCAAGGAGCGCACCGAGTCGGCCTACGCGCCTCTCCCGGTACGTCTGTTCGTCTGCTCCCTTGCTCGCCTCGCTGACCCCTGCACCTTCCGCAGAGCGACGAAGGGGGACGACGCCGTGCACCCACGCCCAGACCAAAGCCGCAGAAGCCCTTCTGGCGGCCCACGACAGTCGCAGCCTCGCTCGCCCTCGTCTTCCTCGCCGCCTTCACCCTTCACGGCCCTTCAACCATCTCTCCCTCCTCCCTGATCCGCCCCATCCAGCCATCCGACGCCTCGCTCGCACCGTGGGAGCGCCTCCGCCAGCTCAACGCCGACTACGATCCCGTCAAAGAGCCTTTCGGGACAGGCAACGCCCGCCTCGACTTGTACCGCAACGAGATGCTCGCCGCAATTCGAGAGATGTTCGGCCATACATCGGCGACGAGTGTGCCGATGCTGTATGGCGAGGATGAGGAGTTGCTGGAGGATATGCTCTGCCATCTCGACCTTGGGTGCAGCGACTTCAAGCCGATACCGAAGCGTGTCTTCAGTCACGGGGAGCATGACACGGCACTCTCGCAACTGCTGGAGTGGCAGGACCTCAATGCGGAGCTGTTCGAGCTACAACTGTCGAACAACGAGGACTTGCGGACTTGGGCCGGTCGTCGGTTCGCCTCGTCGTCCATCCCCGAGTTGTTCGACGCCCTACCCTCTCCAGCACACCAAGACGATCTCTCCCGCTTTCTCGCCCTCCTCGCGACAGGCGGACTCTTCACCTCGCCGACCAGCCATCCCCTCCAACCCATCGCCGACTGGTCTCGCAACGCAGTCGACATCACCGACCGCGTCCTCGCGCCGGCCTACGACCCGCTCTCTCCTCCCTCACTCGTCGTCGGCATCGGATGGACCGGCTACACGGTCAAGAACCCGCTTAACCCGCTCTTTTCACGTTCGGCGGGATTGGCGTTCGAGACGTTTGGTGCGACGCCGGGTCATCCGGTGCTTGTTGATGCGGTGCGGAGTATCTGGAGGAGTGCGAGGCTTGTTGAAGCGGGCAAGGATGAGGGCGGCAAAGGCGAGCAGAGCGTGCGGGCGGATGGTCGCGGGGTCTTGCACTTTGGCCCGCTGACGGGCGATGCGGAGCGGGAGTGGGCCGGCGCAGGGGTCCTGACAGACGCAGTCGCAAGGTGCGGCCGTGCCATCTAGCTCCATTCGACCCGCGCTGATGCCAAATTGCACGCAGATACCTTCGCACCCGCTGGGCGACCTCGCTCGCCCTCATATCGCGCTCGCCCGTCCCTGTTCGAGTTGGCGACGTCCTCGTCCTCCCGATGGGCTCCCTCAATGCCCGCCGCACTCGTTTCGCCAAGCTGCTCGACTGGTCGGTCGGAAGGGACTTTTCGCCTTTGTCGGTGGAGAAGGATTTCGTCGCGCTGGAGGGATGAGGGTTCGCTGGAGAGTCTCGGCAGGGATGTAAACTCGGTCGCAGTGCTGTGTAAGCTTGTAAGGCGCATTTTTACCCGTACGCAACGAGCTAGCCTTCCCAAGTGTACGTCGAGGGACCGCCTCGTCCTCACACCGCAACTCCGTGCGCTTCTGCTCCGTCAATCACCGCGGACATCCCATCAAGAACTTCCGAGCCCTTGGCCGGCTCAACCCACGCAACTTCGCACGGTCCCTCGCGTGGTTGCCCTCGCCTCCTCTTCTCCCGCTCTTCTCCCTCGCTCTCCTCACCCTCTGTGCACGATGGACTACCCAGACAGAGCTCTGACATCTCTACACAGCTGCTTGACAACGCCCATCGCACTCGCATCCCTCCCAGCCCTCTCCTCAACCCAACTCGCCCTCGTCTCCCTCCGATCCGACTTGCCCATCCTCGTCCGCCAACGCGCCTACCACGCCTTCATGGTCCGCAAAACAGCCTATCACGCGCATAACGGCCCTCGGACGCTTGATCGTGCGTGTTTTCGCCTCCCCTCGAGCGAGCGAACCGAGTTGACCTTTCTCTTGAGGTTGACAGCGATCCTCGAGGTCAACCTCGACTTTGACCTTCCCCCTTCGCTGGCAGATCTCGAGACGGACAAGTTGCTGGTCCTGCAGTTCAGTCCGGTGTGCGAGAGTCCGGAGATGGCGGACCAAGCGGGCGAGTTGGTGCGCGAGCGAATTCGGGGGGCGGTAAAGAGGGGTGCTTTGAGAGTGTCGAGGGCGTGTGTGAGGTGGGATGGAGGGGAGAGGGTGGAGGTGGAGTTAGTGATGAGGGTGGAGGAGGGCGGGATGAGACTTCTGCGTGCGGGAAAGGAGGACGAGGGGTACTTCCTCGAGGCGGGCCGGATGCGGGAGGTCGTCTGTGCGTACAGTCGGGTCCTCGCTTCCTACCTTTGCTGACGGTCGGGCTTTCACAGACATCGCCGGCGCCGACGACGGCCACACCTCAATGGACTGCACGCTCTCCCTGTCCCTTACGCGCCTCTCGCTCGCCCCCGTTGTCTCAATCCGGGATTGCACCGTCACGCTCGAGCTGGGCATGCTACCTGCGACGGACGAGGCTTTTGTCGGGTTGAGGAAGAGGGTGGCGCAGTGGGCCAAGGACGGTGGGTTTGAAGTTAGTGTCGTCAGGTGCGTCGACTGGTCCACTCTGTCGCGCACCTCGATGCGTCGTGCGCGACATCACCAGACTGAGGTGGCGAAGTCCCCGCAGAGCGCCGGACGTCAACCTCACCCCCCGCTCCTCCCGCTCGCCTTCAACCACCCTTCCTTCCCGCAACCATGCTTCCGCCCTCGACCGCCCTCGCTCGACTTCCCTTCCCATCCTCGTGCCGTCAGCTTCGCACCTCCTCCCGACGCGATCAAAGAAGCGCTACTCTGCGCCTTCCGCCTCGCACGACTACCACCCCGACCTCAACGTCGATTCTCACGTGCGGAAAAAGTCACGTTCGCCGCCCGACTACGAGGAGAACCACCGGCAAGACCAGGAGCGGGAGGAGGAAGACGACGGGCTGAGAGAGTGCTGGCGATTCGTTTCGCGCAAGAAAGTCGAGGCGGAGTGGTCTCCTGGGTTCGTCTCTCGCCTCTCTGTTTGCTCAGTCGAACGCTGACAAGGGAGAGAATCGTGTAGGTTTTACGTCCGCCAGTTCGCCCTCCTCCGCTCGATCGCCCCTCTCTACCCCTTCCCCTGCCCCTCGTTCACACCACACGAGACTGCGCTCCTCTCCTTCGCGCCGGACCCGGACAAACTTCCGCCTTTGCCGCAAAGGGTGGGGTACGAAGAGGAGGAAGGGTGGGGACGACATGAGGCGAGGGAGAGACTGGCTGTCGAGTGGGTGTTTAGGGAGAAAGTTGGGAAGGGGAGGGTGGGTGCGTCGACGCTCTTCGCTTCTCCTTCCGCGCGTCGAGCTGACGCAAGGAGAATGATGAGCGAGACAGATCTCTCCACGACGCGGCAAATCCTCTTCTCCCCCTCCTTGCCCCTCCTCCATCCCTCCTTCGCCCCTCTGCGGACCTACCTCCGCACCGTCTCGAAACTGATCGAGGCCCGCGATGCCTTGCGCGAGGCGTACGAGTATGTTGGTGGAGAGGTGCTCAGGGAAAGGAAGGGGGAGAGGGGGACGAGGGATCCGATTGAGAGGATTGAGAGGGTTGTTGGGGAGTTGAGGGATAATCCGGGGCGGTGCGTCCTCCCTTCCTTCCCTTCACTGAGGAGCTGACGGGAGGAGGAGGGAAACAGACGCCTCGCCTTGTTCACCAACTCGGCCTCTCCAAATGGCCTCATCACCCGTCCCCCGACAGAATTCACCAGCACCAATCTCGGTACCGGTCCGCTGAGACGGTTCGGGGAGAGACTGAGGGAGATTTGTGAGTGGGAAGAGGCGGCGGTCGAGAGGTTTGCTCCTTGAGAGAGAAAGAGGCCGGGAGGGAGGGAGGGGAAGTGGGATTAGTGAGCGGTGATGGAGCAGGTAGTGAAGAGCAGTAATCTGATTCGCTTCAGCCTGAGAACGGAAGCGAGATGAGCGCGAGATGAGCGGGACGAGGAGCAGTCGTCGAGGAGGAAGACGACCACGAGCCGGCTCGCTCGTCTCGCCAGCACAGCGAGAAACCCTCCAGCACCCTTCCCAACCCATCACTGTGCCCCCAGCCCGCGAGCGAGTTCCGAGCGAGGTCGTGGCAGGACGACGAGGAGGTGGTGCGAGTCGCGACGGTGTCCGTTCGCAGCGGTTGTTGTGCGAGGTGTAGAGAATGAACCCGTGCGAATCCATCCAGCAGCATGCCATGCGTGCCCGAGCGAGCGCTGGAGCGGTAGAAGTGAGCGCTCTTGGGAAAAGCTGAGGGCGGGTCGAAGCTCGCGGCAGGGTTGGCCTCGTCGAGTTCACTCCGCCCGTCCACCCTCGCCCAACAGCCGGTGAGCTGCACACGCTGACTGCCTCACTCGAACACACGGCCACCGACACACCGACTCGAACGAACGCCGAGCGAGGACGAGCAGAGACGGGCGAGGACTTCGAGCAGGCAGCGAGGGGCGACGGGGACGGCGCGCGTGTGGCTGGCAGGGTGTTACAGAGGCAGTGGGACGCACGGGGGGAGATGACGAGTCGCTCTCGCAAACCCAGCTCACCGTGATGGCAGTCCTCGACTTCGAGCGACCCGCCAGGTGCACTCAAACCGACCGACCACCACTGGCCCATCTCAGCATGCGGCCCTGATCCCTTGAACAACGTCCCACTGCGACTATCACGTACACCCTGTCACACACGCGCGCGCATCGGAGGAGGAGCGGTCGGAGGACTCGGGGGGCGGTTCGAGCAGGGGCATTCGATGCTGGAAGGAGAACGCAGGGCTGACTGCTTGCGTGTGTGCGTGGGACGAAACAGGCTTTCGACAACCATGAAGGTCGAGATCTGCAACTTCTCGGGCTACAAGATCTACCCTGGAAAGGTGCGTTCGCCTCGCCTGTTTCTCACCCGTTTGGATAGCCTGCTGACACGTTTCGTGCGTGTCTCTAGGGCAAGCTCTACGTCCGCCTCGACTCGAAGATCTTCCGGTGCGTGCGAGGTCGGATGCGTGTGTGTGGAGGGACGCGACGAGCTGACCGGGCCGCTTCACTCGCTCACCGTCTCGGTCCCCGACTATCCGCTTCACATGATCTCTGCACGACCTCGCTCTCTTACGACCCCGCCACGCCCGCTCCCGCGCCTGCCCCACTCCCGTTCGATCGGCTCGGCAATGACGGAACAGCTTCGTCTCGTCGAAGGAGGAGTCGCTCTTCCTCCAGCGCAAGAACCCGCGCAAGATCGCGTGGACCGTCGTCTACCGCCGCGTTAACAAAAAGGGTGTCACGGAGGAGGTTCGTCCCACAATCCCTTTCCCCCCCTCCCCTTCCTCTTGATACTGACGAGTGGGGCGGTGTGAGTAGGTCGCGAAGAAGCGCTCGCGCAAGACGGTCAAGCACCAGCGTGGTGTTGTTGGTGCCGACGCCGCCGCCATCCTTGCCAAGCGCAACCAGAACCCCCAGGTTCGCGCTGCGCAGCGGTGCGTCCCTTTCCCTCGTCCCTCCCTCCCTCCTTCCTTCCCTCCGCCCCGCTCGCTCGAGGACTCTCGCTGACACTCGGTTCGCTCTCGCAGTGCCGCCGCTCTCGAGCAGGGCAAGGCCGCCAAGAAGGACAAGGAGTCGAAGAAGGTCAAGAACCCGGCCAACAAGGTCCCCCAGGGCGCAAAGGTCTCGCGCGCTCAGGCTGGAAAGGGCGCCGTTCGCTCCGGCCGTTAAACTCGCGCGCGCGGTGATGGTGGACCCCTTGCGGTGTTGCAACCGGTTGTTGAAACTCTTTTCTCGAGATGGGAGGAGTCGGAGAGGGTGAGAGCGGCTTCGCTGGGTTCGGCGCGCGTTCGAGGGTGTTGCTACGCTTTCTACGAGTGCATCGTAACCTGAATAAGGCCACCAACTTGTGGTCGTCGAGAGCACCACACGTTGCGTCTCGTCCTCTGCTCGTCTCGCTCCGTCCGCTCAAAGCTACTCGCTCTCGACGCTCTCGGTGGACTGTGTGAGGCCCCGTACGGTGTCGAAGAGCACGCTTGGCACCATGGCAGACGCGACCCCAGCCCCGCCGCCTTCCTCTCCCTCCCCATCTCCCACCGCCGCACCCTCCTCCTCGCGCCTCTCCTCCCGCCTAACCTGCGCCGGCGTGCCCCTCCCCAGCAACTTCTCCACCCTCCCCATCCTCTCACGCACCGAGATAGCCTCCCGCATCACCCGCGGCGAGTTGCTCGTCCTCCACCCTCCTCTCGTCTACCGGATCCCGCAGTCCTGGCTCCGCCTCCATCCGGGCGGACAACATTCCATACTACACTATGTAGGCCGAGATGCGAGTTGCGAGATCGAGGGGTACCATTCGGGACGGACTGTGAAAGAGAGGATGGGGAGGTGGGTTGTTGGAAGGGTTGAGACGGATGATGAGGAGGGAGGGGAGGGGTGGAGGGATATGGTACCGCCTGTACAGTTGGGGATGTGGCCTGTCCCCCTGCCGACGATCACGGTTACAAGTCCGCCGGCTAGTCCTGCGAAATCGCGGACGTCGTCCGCGAGCAAGACTGCATCCGAACCTCGCGCCCTCACGATTGAGATGGTCGACCCGCCTCTCTCGAAGGAAGACCGCGACAAGCTCCCCCTCACACCGGCGTACCAAGCCCATCTCCGCCGCTCACACCGCAAACTGCACCAGCGCATCCACTCTCTCGGTCTCACCTCCCCTCCGCCCTTCCTCGCAGGCTACGGTCCCTCCCTCCTCATCTACTCCTTCCTCGCACTCCTCTCCATCGCCCTCTACCGCCGCGCCTCCTCCACCCACTCGACATGGGACTGGCTCGCAGCCGCCGTCGCACTCGGAGCGTTCTGGCATCAGGTCACGTTTGTAGCGCACGATGCGGGACATACGGGGTTGACGGGAAGTTGGTGGAGGGATAGGTTGTGGGGAGTCGGGATTGCGGATTTCTTGGGAGGGTTGAGTATCGGATGGTGGTGCGACAACCACAACGTGCACCACCGTGCGTCTCGCCTTCCCCTCCTTTCTCGCATTCACAGCAGCTGATGAGGAGAGTGAGCGCAGTGGTGACGAACGCACCAGAACACGACCCCGATATCCAGCACCTCCCGTTCTTTGCCATCTCGACCCGGTTCTTCGACTCGATCCGCTCGACGTACTACAACCGCATCCTCACCTTCGACGCGTTCGCTCGGCGGTTCCTCCCTCACCAGTGCGTCCTCTCCCTCCTCTCGTGGAAGTACTGCGGACGGGCTCCTCGTCACGCAGACACAAACTCTACTACCTGGTCATGTGCTTCGCGCGCTTCAACCTCTTCGCACTCTCGTACGCCTTCGTCCTAACCAACTGGCCCGCCCGCCGTTCGCCGCTCTTCAAGCTCCGCATCCTCGAACTCGTCGGACTCGTTTGCTTCTGGGCGTGGTTTGGAGGTGTTGTGTTGAGGGGAATTGACTCGGCGGCGCATAGGTGGTTGTATCTGGTTGTGAGCTTTGCGGTGACGAGTCCGCTGCATGTGCAGGTACGTTGCGCGTTTCCCTTCTCGCCGCTTTCCTTGCCGACACGCGCGCACGACAGATCGTCCTCTCGCACTTCTCGCAACCCGTCTCGATTCTCCCGCCCTCCTCCTCGACCACCTCCTATCCGCTCCCCTCCGCCGCCCTCGAACTCCTCGAATCCCACCCTCACCGCCAACTCCGCACAACAATGGACATCTCCTGCCCAACCTACCTCGACCCTCTCCACGGCGGTCTCAACTTCCAAACTCCTCACCACCTCTTCCCTCGTATTCCGCGCTTTCGGTTTCGGGCGGTCGCCAAGGAGATTGAGAAGTGGGTCGAGGAGGAGAATAAGCTTGTTGAGGAGAGGGATGGCGGGAGGTATTGGAATGGGTTCAAGCTGGGGGAGAACGAGAGGCTGGAGTACAAGAAGATGACGTTTGTCGAGGGCAACAAGAGCGTCTTGGGCGTGCTGAGGGACGTTGCGGATCAGGTTGGGCTGTTGGCGAGGGTTGCGGAGAAGGAGGCCAAGGGCGAGTTGCAGCACTAGACGCGCGCTGGTCGTGCCGTTGTAGAACCCGTTATTCGTGCACTCGATAGACATTCTCGCTCGTTCGCTTGGTTCCGAGAGGTGCGAGAGAGGCCGTTCATTGACAACAACAACACAAGATCGCTACATCTTCGCTCGTCCGCGCGCTCAATCAGACAACTCGACGTACTCAACCGCCTTCTTCTTCCTCGCCTTCGGAGACGCCGCCCTCTTCGCAGCCGCCTTGCCTAGCGCAGCTGGTGGCGGTAACTCTTCTTCCGACTCACTCAGGCTCAGCGACGCACTCTTCGCCTTTCGTCCCTTCAGCTTCGTGGCGGCGGCGGATGCTTTAGTAGTGGAGAAGGAGGCGAGAAGAGTTGCCGAGGAGCTGGAAGTCGTAGCCTTGGTGCGTCGCTTCTTCGGTGGTGAAGGCGGGTCATCGGAGAGGGCGGCAACCGTAGCGGACGTAGCCTTCGGCGGTCGACCGCGTCGCTTCGGTGACGCAGGTACAGGCGACAAAGCCGTCTTCTTCGCGCGAGGCTTCTTCGTCTGCTTGGCCGGCTCGAATGCTGCGATGGCTTCTTGCAAGTCGAGGTCGCCGTCCTCCTGGTCGTCCGAGAAGAGCGCTTCGTCCCCGAGGTTTGCGTCGAACGCCGCGTCCATCCGGACGAAAGAGCGCTCGACGTCCGAGTCGTCCTCGTCAAAGTCGAACCCGACGTCCTCGTCACGTGCAGCTCCCCCGTCCTCCGCATCGAGGTCCGCGTCTGAGGGCAAGTCAGAGAAGTAGAACTCTTCGCCGGCATCGGAAGAGGCGGGCGTCGCGGCCTTGCCTTTCCCCTTGCCCTTCTTGCTTGCTGCCGTCTTCGCCGAAGCCTTCTTGCCCTTCACGCCCGCCTTCGCCCTCGGCTTCTTCACCGGCTCCCCTGCATCGCCCGCCTCAGCAACCTTCTTCTTCCGCCCGCGCTTCTTCGGAGACGCCTTCTTCCCGCCTTCGACCTCCTCGTCTTCCTCACCCTCGATGCCCCCATCCTCCTCAACGCGGGTCCCCTTCCTAACCATCTGCCTAACCCTCTTCTTCCTCCTCCCCTCACTCTCCTCTTTCCGCCTGTACATCCCGCGCACCAGATCGGTCCAGTGCAAGTCGGACAGACAAGAGGGGCATGACGAAGTTGTTGGGAGGAGCGGGGCTGTCGAGGTCGAGGAGGAGGGAGAGGAGGCGGTCGAGAGGAAGTGTGCGGAGAGGCAGAGAGGGTGGAAGGTTGCGAGGCACGGTGGGGAGGCGGGAGCTGAAGGGGGGGCGGTACAGAGATGGAAGGAGAGGTGGTCCTGCGAGATATGCTCGACGCCGATCAGGCTGGGCCTCAGGGAGCAAGGCAAGCCTGAACAGATGAGCACGCACCTCGGTGTCGATGGGTTTGCGGCAGATGTAGCAGTTTGGCGAGTCGTTTGAGGTAGTGAGGGAGAGGAACTTGTCCCAATGGAAGTGGAAGAAGTCGTCTGTGAAAGGAGATCAGCTCGACTAGTCAGTTTCTTGCGCTCCGGTGAACGCGTCTGACATGCAGGAAAGCCCCGAACGCACCGTCGTCGACCCGCATCCGCTCGCTACCGTCACCCTCCTTCTGCTTGCCCTGCCTGACGAGCCTCTCCCCATCGACCCCTTCCTCCCTATAGTGCACCTTGACGCTGTCCAGCTTACTCCCCTTCTCAACGCCCCACGCATCCTCATCTTCCTGCCGCTGCTTCTCCCACTTCTTCGCCTCCGCCTCAGTCCTCACAACCGGTCCCATCCGCCTTCCCTGATCCCACCACTCCCTCGCCTGTTCCGAGAACAGCGTGACGGAGAGGTCGAAGCGCGACCAAGGCGGGACGGTGAGCATATACTGGAGGACCTGGATCCTCGCGAGCGCTCGGTGACTGAGCGCCCTTCGGGGAAACTGAGGGACGGTCTTGGGAGGGGCGGTAGACGTAGTCTTGCGCTTTTTGGGCGCGAGGGAAGAGTTGGGGTCGGCGTCGGGGTCGGGAGGAGGGGCGGGTCGGCGTAGGAGACGCGAGGATTCGGGGTTCTGCCAACACCATTCGAACTGCAGGGCTTGGAGCTTGGAAGGGAAGCCGTGCACGATCGCTTCCATCTCCCATGGCCGGCCGAAGCGAGTCTTGATAGCCTGCGAAGGGAGAGTGAGAGGGTCAGCCTCGGCGAGTCCGCTCCACGAGCCACCTGGTCGACGCATGTGGTCCCCTCCCGATGCATGGCGGTCTTCCACACGAACGATAACAGCCCAAGGAGCGGGACTCACTCCTCCGATCCTGTCGCCCATATGCTGCTTGAACCTCCTCGGCGGGTCAGGCGTGCTTCCGATGTAGGTCATGTGCGGTCGCTTGACATTGTACGATTTGAGCAGGTAGCACGCGTAGAAGGGCGGGATCGAATGGTTGAGGATGGTTGAGAGGGCCGAAGTCGAAGTTGAGGGATTCGAGCTGCGCCGCGCGGCGAGGGCGGGCGAGGATGCGCGCGGCATCACTGGCGAGGTCTCCAGCGTGGAACAGTCCAGTCAAGGTCACCGTCTGTGCATGCGAAGCGAGTGGTCGAGGTGAGAGCGAGATGTCAATCTGGCGAGAGAGCGAGGACAAGCGACAACTTCGCGCAAACGGGTGCAGAAGCTTGTAGAGCCCACTCGTAGCGCTTACTGAGCCCAACTAGCCCGTCCTTACAGCTTTCCTCGAGGTGAAGCGGTCCACTCCCGCTCGTTCACCGTCTCTCGCTCGACGACTTCCAACCACTCTCTCGCTCAGCCAGACACTGCTCGGCGTGCTGCGGAGACACTTGCGCTCGTTCACCCGCCCGCGCCCACCCGACTCGTCGTCTCGCCGCGCTCACACCCCTGCTCCTCGCGCCGCTTCCATCCTTCAACCCAGCGACAACGCGCTCGGCGCGCTCGCTCGACTCGTGAGTCTCGTCTTTGACTCGATGTGAGTGTCTGGGCAGACTGGCCCTGCTTCAGCGGCCGGAGGAAGGGAGGAAACGCGTCTCGAATTCTCATCAAACAGGAGGGCAGACGGGGCGCAGTGGGCTTCTCGAGCTCCTTGAACAGGGCAGGACGGGTTGAAAGAGTATGCAGGATGACTGAGTGTTCGCACGGACCCGCAGGACCATGACGACCCCGGCCACGCGCAACCCGCCCATCGTCCGCAACCGCCTGCCTTCGCTCGCCGAGGTTCTTCGTCGCAGTGCGTTCGAGGATGCCATTCAGCTCTCCACCGTTCGCTATCAGAGCTGATAAGGGTACCCTTTCGTGCACACAGGTACCCGCCCGCCCGTCGACCTGTACTGCTTCTACCTCTTCCTCCAGCGCGAAGGATCCGAGGACACGCTCGATTTCTGGCTCGACGTGCAGCAGCACGAGAACCTTTGTGCGTGCCCGGACATTGATGTCAGTGGCCTGGCCTTGGCTACGGTAGCTGACTCCTTGGCATTGTCCCTACGCAGGCCGCGCCTACTTCAAAGACCTCCGCAAGTCCGGCATCGCCATTCGCGACGACTGGCCGCAGTACGAGCGGTATGCACGCACGCGAGGGAGCATCTACGGGCCTATCACGGGCATCAAACGTGGCGAGCCTTCGGACGATGATTTTGAGCGATACCAGCAGCCGAGCTCGCCTGCTTCGACCGGCGAGGACGGCGAGAAGAGTCACAGTCCGTACCTAGGTGTCACGGACGACGAGAAGGACGCGGCGAGGTATCAGATGCGCACGCCTTCGCCCAACCCCGCTGCAGGCGCTGCGCCGACCTACCCTCTCTCACCGACTCTGCGCGCCCTCTATCCCGACGACGACCGCTCTTCTGCCGAAGACGAAGGTGACGGCTCGGTTCGGCGACGGAAGCACAAGCGCCACTCGACGGTCCAGAGTCGCGTCCAGCCCATCATCGCTCGCAACAGCGCCATCTCCCGCACCGACTTGATCGCCTCTGCCGAACGCATTTACTCGCGCTACCTCATGCCCGGGGCCGACAAAGAGGTCTACCTCCCTCCCCAGCTCCGCATCACCTCGTTCCCTCTTTCCTCCTCGACTCTCCCAGCCGTCACCCATCCCGACTACGACCAACAATCCGCCGCGCAAGCTCGCATTCCCGACATGTTCCACGCGCAGAAGGAATACGTCTACCGCGCGATGGAGGTCGATTCGTTCCCGCGCTTCCTAAGGGCAAAGGCGTTTGGGAACTTGACGCCAATCTCGGCGCTCGTCAGGCTCGCGATCGGGCTTGTCGCGTTGTGGGCGGGATTGGCAACCGCTTTCGCATTCATCTTCCTCGACGCCAAGCCGAAGGTTCGCAGGTTGTGGGTGCGTCCGGTCGTCTCATCGCTTTTGGCAGTTTCCTCGATGTCAGGGACGGACCGCTGATAAGCGAAGTCGGTATGTATGCAGATCATCCTCCCGTTCACGTTCGCCATCGTCAACCTCGTCGCGCACTCGTACGACCTCGACCCGCTGCTCGTCTTCATGGGTCTGTCCGAAACCGTGCGTCCCTTTCTCGTCTTTCCGGCCACTCTGCACGGCATGCTAACGTTCACTTGCTCCACAGACCCCCTTCCGCACCATCTCGATCCGCGAGCCTTACGTCCGCAAACTCCTCTTCGGCCGCGCGCTCTGGGTTACCTTCCTCTCGGCAGTCATCGTCGCGGTCTTGACCGTCATCTTCTGGGCGGTCCCTGGGCACAGGCTGTGAGGCGGACCGTCGGAGGAAGTCTCGTTGCAAGAGGGCAGGTTCCCTCTCTTCGATATCCTCGACTCCTGATCTTCCCGGCCTTGCCCCAGTCCTTCGTGTCGCCTTTCGTCACTCCCTTCGTATCCCCGTCGCGTTCGCTCAGATACCCTTATCCCACACACACTCTGTTCACTCGTTCTTCCCTCGCAGCCAAGATACCTCTCGCTTGCAGTGTTACCAAGCCTGTTCCCATCAACTCTCTCGTCCATCTCTCCTCTCGTCGAGCGACTCAACCACAGCTAAGCTACACGACCACCTCTACCTTCTCAGCCTCCGTTCCTCTCCATCCCCCTCCTCACCTCCTCCTCGCACTGAACCAACCACGCCAAGTCCTCCGCATAGCGCCTGAACGGCCCGACGCCGATTTGGGACGGCGAGAAGAGCGGTTTGCGGGCTAGGTGCGTCGGGGAGGTCGCGAAGTGGGATTTGCGGCTGCACAGTCGTCCACACCTACTAGCGTCAGTTCCATGCGTTCAGGCGCGCGAAGAAGGGGTAGACGACGCACTAAGCGACGTTATCCCTAATCCTCTCCACCACCGAAATCAACTCCTCAATCGGATTCACGACCGTCGGATCTCCACGACGCAGGTACAAACGTCTCTCGAGGACTTGGTTGCAGGCGATGACGAGCGCGTCGCGCGCTGCGACGATCTTGCTTAAGGTGCGGACGTAGTGGTGGAGAGAGGGGTAGGAGGGGGTGAGGAGGATGAGGCGAGTCGCGTCGAGGGCTGCGTCAAGGCTACGCATCAGTTCGAGCTTGACAATGTGGTTGAAGGAGGACGCACTGATCGGTGGCCCGCTCTTGTACAGGTACTCCAGCGCCAATCTCTCCGTATTCTCAAACCTCGCGCTCGTCGACCCTCGCATCCTCTTGCCGTGCAAGTCCGGCAGTGCGTCCGGAATAGGCGCGAACGAAAGCAGCGCGACCTCGGCGGGTGTGAAGACGGGCGCGGAGAGGGTGTCGTACGGGACGAGGGAGGAGAGGAAGGCGAATGCGCGGGCGTAGAAGCTGTTGCGGCGACTTTCTAGGCGTTAGTTCTCGCTTGTCGGAAAGTGAGGCGAAGGAAGGGATGACGCACCCGGGCTGCCATTCGACGGGTGCGGGACGGTCGCTCACGTACTGCCAGATTTCGGCTTCGAGCCCCGCGGGAGGAGGAGGCCGAGTTCCGAGCGGCGCAGTTTCGAGCTGGCGAGTCTGCTTGCGGGCAATTGGTTGACGCTGAGGTTCGAAGTTGGCCGGCGGAGGCGGGGGAGGAGGGGGAGGAGCAAGTTTGGCGCAGCGGTTCTTGGGAGGCGACGCGGGTGGACTCGCGAAGCCGTTCTTCGCCAGGTCAGCGCTGCAACACTCACACCGACTCATTAGCTCCGTCTCGATTTAGAGGAGCAGAGGGAGTCAACGAAACGCACCGAACCACCCTCACTTCAAACGCCCCCTCCGCCGCCCACTGACCCACCTTCTCCCTCAGCTTCACGAACGCCTCGTCCCCTGCCTCTAGCATGCCCAGCTCGAGTCGCACGATACACTCCTTGATGGAGACGAGGGGCGAGAGGGCGAGGGAGGAGAGCGAGAGGGAGAGGGTGCAGTCCATGGAGGTGTGGCCGTCGTCGGCGCCGGCGATGTCTGCGCGGCGGGCCTCATGAGCTTCTTCTCCGTGGGACGGTATGGGCAAGACGCACAGAGAACCTCGCGCATCTCGCCCGCCTCAAACGTAAACCCCTCCTCCTCCGCCTCTCCCCCTTCGCCGTCACGCACAACCCTCAATCCCCCCTCCTCAATCCTCATCCTCAGCCCCTCCTCCCTCCTCTCCCCTCCCTCCCACCTAACGCACATCCTCAAGACCTTCAGTTCCCGCTTCTTTGCTTCGCGAGCGAGGAGGGAGAGAAGGAGTTGGTGGGCGTGGGTGAGGAGAGAGGAGTCGCAGGAGGGGTTGTATGGGAGCAGTAGGAGGTGAGGGAGGGAGAGGGAAGAGAGGGCGGCGGGGATGGGATAGTCGAGTGGGAGGTCGAGGAGGGCTGTGAGTGAAAGGATGTCAGTCTGCGTCCGCGGACGACGAGAGAGGACGCACGGTCAGCAGCCTGACTGTCTGTGTTGGCGTGGTAGGTTGCACGCCGCTCCGTGAAGGCGTGGTATGCTCGTTGACGGACCAGAGGAGGGAGATCAGGTTGGAGAGCGGCGAAGGCAAGGTCGGCTGGCGAAAGGGAGGGCAGGGAAGAGAGGGTGATGGGCAGGGTGGTGCGGTGTGCTAGAGCTTGCACGAGGTCATCCATCGGTGGAGGCGGGAGGAAGGAGGAGGAGAGGAGGGCGAGGACAAGGTGAGCTACGAGAGACCGTGCGAAGTGGACCGGAGTTACCGGGGAGGGTCGCCGTCACTGTGTAGTCTGCAGTGGGCAGTCGTACCGGCGCCAGTGCGCAAGTAAGAGGTGGCGAGAGAGAAAAAGCGGGTTGAGAAGGTCGGAGTGAGGAAGAGGTTGAAGTCGTGGACCGCGACGAAGCGTGGGTCGTCCGCCAGCAGAGTACGAGCGTACGGTACAGCAGGAGAGGAGCAGGGAAGCCAGCGAGCTTGAAAAGCCCAACTAGCCCCTGGTGCATGCTCTTCACTCTTCCGGAGAAAAGACGCGTCCGCTCGTCGGCTTCGTCGATGGGTACGCCTTAAGCGACACAGAGCCCACAACAGCATCGCGAAGCGGCGTGGGAAACCGCCTTCACTGTCGGAAGAGGCGTCAAGATCGAGGAGAAGAAGCCTTCTGCTTCGTCTTCTCCTCCATGCGATCCTCCTCATTCGCCTTGGCCGCGTGCGTCTTCCCGGGAAGTTCAGACGGCTCGAAAGCGTCGATGCAGTGCCGTTTTCCTTCAACATACACCAGCCGCGTCGGCGAGTCCGTCAACAATCCCCTTCCTCGTCCGCTCCATCCCTCGTCGTGCGCGGCCCAAGGGCTTGGCGAGCTGGATACCGAGCAAAGTCATCCTTTCCTGACAATCCAGTCAGCGTCGACCGTCGACCACGTAGCAGGGAGCAGCACAGCGTCGTCGACAAGCGAGACAGTAGAGGAAGACGAGAGGAAAGCTGCGTCGTCCTGCGCTCCCTTTGACGCGGGTCTTCCCTGGATAGACTCGGTGCTATTCGCGGGTAATGAACCCTTGTAAATGCTTACGCGCCTCGCCGTGGCTGTTGATTTGTTTGGAGCTGCGACGCGTGCCCAGCGCTTCTCGCTCCGGACTCCGCTCTCGTCCTCGCACGCCGTCCTCGTCGCCGTCTTTCCGCTCCTGCTAAAGTCTGAACGCCTGGCTGCACACAGACTAACCCTCGACAGTCACTCGTTCCCGTTTCCCCGACCCTCATCGCCGTCGCCGTTCTCCTGCTCGGCCATCCTCACTCAACCCGCCGTCCGTCCCGACCTCATCCACGCTCGTTTGCACTCGTAACCACGCACGATGAAGACCGTCGCATCCGCTTTCTCCGTCGCTGCTCTCGTCGCCGTCGCGCGCGCGGGAGGCAGCATCGACAACTCGGCCCAGGCGGCTCAAGTCGCGGTCCGTCCTCGCTCCCACAGCCCTTCGTTGGAGCAAGCAGACAGCTGACGAGTCTTCTACCATCCTCTACACTCGTCCCGCCTCTCTACCGGACTCCGCCCCGTCGCACGACCCTCGCTCGAACCCCCTCTTCTCCTCTCCGGAATGTGCATGCACTCTCCCCGAACACAGTCGCAAGCGTCGACCCTCAACGGCGCAGGCAACTACGTCCTCACCAACGTCAAGACCGGCAAGCAGCTCGCCTTTTCCCGCCAGGGCAACACGACCGACTTTTACCCTGGAGACGGAGGGGACCCCGTTGAGATCCAGGTGCGTCCCGCCGTCCCTGCTACCTTCTGAAGCTAGTCCTGATGTCGACTGATTGGCGCAGTTCTCGGGCTCGATGGCGCGCATCTCGGGCGGCAACAACAAGTGCGCTTCGGCGCAGTGGTCGACCGACTACGAGGGCGGCGTCGACTACGCTGCCGTCTCGTACGCGTGCGCTGTCGGCGACGGCCAGAAGACGGGCACGGACACGCTTGAGAAGACGAAGCAGTGGTGCGTTCGCGGGACTTTCAAGTTCTTGCTTCCTTCCCGAGTTTCGCCTCTTACGAAGAGGAGCTGACAAGAGTCGCCGTGTCGCAGGTGGTACCTCGTCCCTGCTGGCTCGTCTGGCGACTCGTCCTCCTCGTCGTCCAGCTCAAGCTCGCCAGCGCCTACCGGCAACTCCAACTCGGACGTCGTCTTCGCCGCCTCAAACTCAGGCACTTCCCGCCACGTCGCCGCCGCCAAAGTCGCGTCTCCCTCTCCCGCTCCCGCTCCCGCCTCCTCGTCTTCCTCCTCGAGCAGCGTCAGTGCCGAACAAGCCGAGTACAACAAGCTTGGCTACTGGACTTCCTCCGCGTCGACGATCGATGCCAAGGTCGCGGACGTCTCGGGCGTCAACAAGAATGACAGGAAGACGTGGTTGTGCCGTCACCCTGGATGGTGGCTCGCCGAGTGCGTTCCCCTGCCCTTTCCCTCCTCCTCCTTGCGAAGGTGTTCGGCGAACTGACTCGCTTCGTCGGACGTGCAGCCACCCCGACTACGTCACTAAAGCCGGCCACGTCGAATGCGCCTCGGACCTTGCAGCCTACCGCGCCTCGCAGTCCTCCGCCCGAATGGTCAAGCGCCACCGGGACCTCGCCGCCTCCATCCTCTCCAAGCGCGGCGGGCAAGCTTACCACATTATCGCGGTCGACCACTTGAATGATATGGCGACGAGGGCGGTCGCGGCGGATCAGGTTGACACGTTCGGGGGGTACACTTCAACTAGGTTGGAGTTGTGGGACCAGGTACGTTCGCTGGCGCTTCCGCACTTCTACTACTCGCTTGAGGATCGAGAGCTGATGGATGTTCACGGCTTCGCAATGCACAGAACGACGACGGCCAGCGCTGGATCATCTCGCAGGCTTAAGCCGCCTCGCACTCCCTCCCTCTACCTGCTCTTGTCCAAAGCCCCGACCACTTCCGCCCATCGACGAACGACCGAATCAACCGACCATGTCACCCCTCTTCCCTCACCTTACCTCTGAGCGCGCAATAGTCGCAGCCACCCCTCCCTCCTCCCTTCTTCGCATGGTCCACCGTCTCATTCGTCTTTCCCTTCCCTTCCTCTTCTTACGGAGACGCATGTGGGAAGAGATGCAGGTCGTCTCTCCCGCTCGCTCCCGTTTTTCTGCGCGCACTCTTGATTCGAGATCTTGGCCTGGTGTTTACCTTCATCGTGCAATCTTCTGCTCATCTCATCTCCCGGCTTTCTTGCTCAGCGGAAAATGAGGGCAAGCGAAGAGCAGACGAAGAGGCTGTAAAACTGCATCGCTTCATTTTCGAGCGGGAAGTGACTTCGAGCGGGAAGTGACCAGGACAAAGACGGGGGAGAAGCTCGAGCTGATAGGCGAGACGGGGCGAACAAAAAGCAGACGGTGAGGGGGAAAAGCGACGAGCTACTGGGCGAACTTCTGCGTCCACTCGCGCGAGACTCGCATCGCGTCCTTCTCGTTCTCCTTCCAGTGCGCGGCGACGTCGTTCGCGAGGGGGTCGTCCTGTGCACCGCAGCGACAACACAATCACGAGTCAGTCGCAAGCCGCTCTGGCAGGTTGGACGGACGAGAAGGCTCGCCGAACGCACCGGATTAGGCGCGCTCAACAACGCCTGGATCGAGAGCAACACGGTACGGATCTGCAAAGCCGGACTCCACTTGTCTTTGAGGATATCAAGGCAAATCCGTCCGAGCTTGTCGATGTTGGGATGGTAGATCTTTGTCAGGAAGCGGACTTTGGGAGGGGCCATCGGGTAGTCGTCGGGGAGGAAGAGCTCGAGTTTGAATTTGCCGCCTGCGCGCAGAGGGGAAGTCAACGGGGAGACAAGAATAGAGGTGGTGAGCGTGACGCACCCTCGAAGGGAGAAGAGTCGGGTCCGGAGATCACAACGTCAAAGTACCGCAAGTTGTCCTCGTGAGGCGTCGCAGAGATGCCGGGGGGAGAGTCGGACACAAGTCGTTGCGTTTCCTACGATATGCAGATTACGTTCGTCAGTACAAGGCAGCCTGCGGTTCGTCCTGCTGGCCCTGGTTGTCCGGTCCGGGAAGCGTGCGAAGTTCAAGATAGCCAAGTCGCCTGAACGGTGACCGACCACCGTCTATACAAAGTGAGCGTCCAGACAAGCCTCCTTCGGCTGCTGCCCCGACCCTTGCGAGCACGCCGCCTTGATCGCGCGACCTGGTCGCTCCGAGCGAACACCCCGTCGGCCCGCCCTCACACAGCGAGATCGCGCCTGCTCACCTTGATGATGCGCTTCGGAAGGGCAGCGGCGGAAGACATAGTGGCGGATCAGTCGTCTCGAGGGGGAGGAAGGGGTCGGGGAAGGGGCGAGATGACGGCGGGGTGGAGCAGTGAAGGGGAGAAGCAGCGGTTGGCGGGAGGCGGCTGACGAGACTGCGAGAGCACTAGTCTAGCTCGCTGGGCAGTCTACAAGCGTCCTTGTCGAAGTGAAGCGGTGTCGTTCGGGGAGAGATGAGTGAGCGAGACGGTTTGTCCTCGTCTGCTCACTCGGACGCTCAGATTCGCTTGCTGAGGCTGCGAGGCTGTCTAAAGAACGCTCTGTGTGCCACCAAGTGCGCGCAACTTGCTCGCAACGCCGCTCGTCGGATAGCTGACTCCCACTCCCTCTCTCAGTCCCGACCTTACTTGACATCTCGCTTTGCTCGCCAGGCAGCGCTTGGGGCAGCTCAAAAGGTGCGTCAACCTGCAACAGAGACGTTAAGGTACGAGCCGACCGAGCCGGAGTCCAGCCACAGCCCGTCTTGCCAGCCCACGCCGTCAACATGTCATCCTCTCGCCTCCCTGAACTCCCGCCCGAGATCCTCGACCTCATCCTGGCCGAAGCCTTCCCTCCTCCGTCGACTTCGACCGTCGACGAGTTCCACCGCGTGCGGGACATGGCCGAGGAGCGCTCGCTCGTTGACTGGGCAGCGGAGGCAGGGACCGTCTGGCTTCCCTTCGTTCGCTCGCTCCTCTTCTTTGCGCTACACGTCGGGTCCCGCCAGCGTGCCGACAAATTGCTTTCGTCCCTGCGCCTCTCGCTCCCAGGTCAGCCAGAGTCGAAGGGCTACCTCGCCAGGCTCATCTCGCGCCTCAGCCTCGATATCCGTGAACGCCCGCTCCCGCCCGGTATCAGGCGTCTTCGCGAACACGGCCTCGAGGACGGTGTGACGCCTATGCAAGTGGTCGAGCTCGCTCGAGCACTGCCGAACCTCGCCTCGCTCGTCGTCGACTTGCCGAACGACCCGGGCTGGCTCGGCGACGAAGCCATCATTGGCGCTGTGAGGCGGTTCAACAAAGTTCGTCATCTCGAGATGACGAGTACGGGACTAGGCTGGCAGAATGCGCTCGCCGTCTTCGTCGACTTCGATCGACTCGAGTCGCTCAAGTTGCGCGGGTTGACGACCGACTGGACCATCTTGACGGAACTCGTCTCCTCAAGCGCCTCCTTTAGGTCGTCTTTCCAGCCTTCGACGCCCTATGCATTCGCCAAGAACCTCACCACGCTCGTCCTGCGGGAGTGCGCACTCTCGGAAGTCGAGTTCGTCAAGCTGTGCGAGTCGCTCGCGCCGCCAGCGTCCGACGACTCCGACTCGCCCGCTCCCGCCCTCCGTCACCTCACAATCCACCATCTCCAGTCGTACGCCTCAGGGGGCCCGCTCACTCCCGGCTACGGCGACACGTCTCGCGCCCTCATCCCGTTTCCCCCTCGCGCGCTCACCGCCTCCCTCGCACCGCTCATCCCCTCCCTCCAGTCATTCCACCTGATCCTCTTCGACCGACCCCCGATCACCACAAACGACGTTCGCACGTCTCTCGTCCTCGCTGGCGCCCTCAAAGACGGCCACACGACGCGCAACGTTGATCCTGGTAGTCGGCCAGGTAACGCGCTCGTGCGCCTGCTCGGACCGGAGATTGAGAACGTCACGCTCGGCGGACCGTGGTGTTTGAGCGGAGGGACGAACGGGGGGCTGTGGGACGCTTTGGACGCTGCGCAAGGGAGGGTACGGAAGTTGGTCCTTGTCCAATGTGCGGATGTCGAGCGGCCTGGACCTGGTGTCCGCGGCATCGAGGGAGTCGGGATGGAGGAGTTTGTGGAAGCGCTCGGGAGGGAATGGGCGAGCAAGTTAGAGTGTGTGGATGTGAGGAGTATGCAGGCGGATGTCAGGGGCGACGAGGGGAACCCTGCGTGGGACGCGGAGGGGCTGGAGAGACTCAAAGAGGCGGTTGAGCGCGTCAGTGAGGAGAGGGTGAGGACGGGCGCGCCGCCTATGAGGGTTCTGGTGGATGAGGAGCTAGTCGAGCGCAAGAGGGACGAGAGGTTGTGGAACGAGAGGAACAGGGTGAAGAGGCGCGGCGGGAAGAGGGGAAGGAGCGGGACCGCGGGTGCGGACAGGGAGGCGGGGGTGTCGAGCAAGAAGAGGAGGACGACGACGGTGTGAGGCCGGAGGGTTCGCTTGATTGCGAGGGGAGACCGCTTGTTGTTGTCTTGTTCTGTCATCTACTCTCTTTTGCCCATTCCCAGGCGCGATGACCGGAGAACACGTAAAGTGCAACAGGATGAGCAACGAAGGGAGGCTGCGCAAGGGGCTACAACAGGACATGAGAAGACCAGATGGGCAAGCCAGCATTCACAACTTGAAGATGACGATCAGGATGACCAGAAGGATGATCAGCGCGACGATCAAGCCCGTACTGCCCGTATTCCTCGCCCGCCGAGTGAACTGGTCCAGCCGCCCGCTCGCTCTTCGCAAGTTCGACTCGGTTCGGTCGAGCGCAGAGTCGGTGTCGTCGAGCAGGGAGGAGTGCAGCTCGAGTTCTTCGGCGACGCGGAGGGAGAGGGCGTGTTGGCGCGAGATGGCGGATGAGAGCGAGTCGAGTTGGGTGTCTTGGTCTGTCGGGCGGGGACCTGTCAGCTCCGCAGCTGTGTCAACGTGCAGAGAGCGCCACCCACCCTCGATCATGCGCTTCTGCATCTGCAGCACTTCTTGGTTCGCCCGGTCCATCTCTTCCTCGTCTTCCTCCATCTGCGCGAGGTCTCTCCGGTCGTCCTGGACAGGAATAGCGACATGTGGAGAGGATCTGTGATGCTTTTACGGTTGAGAGAGCCTTCACGCTGAAACGAACGAAAGAGACGCACCCCGAAACGGCGACTAACTCATCCCCTTCCTCCTCGTCCGTCTCAACCAACCTCCCCGTCTTGCCCTTCGCACCCGCACCCTCGCGTATCCGTTCCGTGACTTCCACGCCAAGCGGCTCGACCAGTCCCCGAATCCTCTCCCACTGCGTCCTCAGCCCCTCGACAACCTCCTTGCTCTCCGTCCCCGCATCTTCCAACTGCTCAATCCCCCGCGCAAGCGTCGAGAGGTTCCGCTGGATCGTGTGCGTGAGATTGGGAGGAGAAGGAAGCGAGAGGGACGAGAGGCGGGTTAGGTCGAGGACGGAGGAGAGGGTGGTTGAGGACAAGTGCGAGAGTCGGGCGGCGGTCACTGGGCCGGACGAGGACGGCGGTGGTGGCATAGTGTCGCTGTATACACCGCTTCAAAGCGAAAGCACGAGCGAGAACGAGGTTGATCGGCTGGAGGAGGGGCAGGGGATGACGGAGACGAAAGGATGTCGCGCAAGTCGGCCTGGCTAGTCTGGTCCGTCTAGAAGGTCGTCTGTAAGAGTGTACAGCGCTCGACAGCGAGTCCCAGTCGAGCAAAGTGAGCGGTTGTTGACCAACCCACCGAGCGAGCTCCTCTTGCTCTCCTCGCGACGTCGCTGCGGTCGAGGGAGGGACCTGCTCGTGAGCTGCTGAGACTGTGCTGCTTGGTACTCTCACCGCTGCCTCTACCGCCTCGAACCGCTCACTCTCTTCGACACCGTCCTCCTCCCCATCTTCATCGCCTCGTCCACCTCGATCGCACAAACACCACCCGCCAGAGGCATCGTTGGCCTCGCAAACTAGTCCAGCAACCTGTCTGCATCCTCTCGGCCCCTCTCGAACCGCCGAATCAACCAAAGCGGCTGCGTACTCCACCCTCGATTCGTTCGCGGACCTCCCAACAACCTTGTATCTCGGCACACGACCACGCTCTCTTCTTCCGCCCGAGTGGTCAAGCCAAGATGGAAGTCGAGCAGCGGGCGCCGATCCACATGGCGCTCCTCATGTCAGTCCAGCTTCGCATCAAAACTGCTTGTCGAGAAGGTACTGATGGGACTCGTTTGCGCCAAACAGGTCGTGCTTTGCAGGGTTTGGAGGTTTTATCTACGTGAGTCTTAGAACACAGTTTCTCAGGAGGGATGGAGCTGATTTTTGTCGTCGACGCAGGGTTACGACACCGGTTCGCCCTGCTGCTTTCCTCTATCCTCACTGGCTTCCCAGCTTACATAGCCTCTCTTTGCCTCGCGCTGCAGGCTACATCTCGGGCGTCAAGGAGATGCCCTACTTCCGCCAACTCTTCGGCGAGCTCGGCGCAAACGGCAAATACTACCTCCCCTCGTACCGCGACTCGCTGATCACCTCGATCCTGTCCGCGGGGACATTCGTCGGTGCACTCGGTGCGTTTTCCTCCTCTCCTTCTATCCACCCAGCGGAGGTGCTGACGAACTAGCGCAACAGCCTCCTACCCAATCGGTGACTTTCTCGGACGAAGATACGGCATCATGGCGTTCCTCTTCCTGTTCAGCATCGGCGTTGCGTGTCAGACAGGCGGGACGACGCTGCGGACATTCGTGGTCGGGCGGATATTTGCGGGATTGGGAATTGGCGGGACGAGTTGTTTGGTCCCGGTGTGCGTTGGCGGCCTTCTCTCGCTCATATCCAGAGTTTGAGGGCTGACGAGGTGATCGCGCGAGCAGATACCAGTCGGAGACGGCGCCGAAACACCTTCGCGGCGCGGTTGTCGGAGGTGCGCTTCCTCCCCTCTCTTCCCTTTCTTGCAGGCTGCGTCTTATACTGACTGAGCTCGTTTCTGCATACCTTACAGGCTACCAACTACTCATTACAGGTGCGCTTCTCAAGCTGCACTCAAGTACCGCGGTCTCGTTGATTCTCGGAAACTGATGTATGCTATTGATCGTGCTGTACAGTCGGCCTCTTCATCGCCGCCGTCATCGTCAACGGTACCAAGAACCGAATGGACATCTCGTGCTACGCGATTCCGATCGGGTTGCAGTTCATTTGGGTCGCTAGTGCGTGCTCTCGCCTTAATCTTCCCTCTCATTACAAGCGTTTGCCTCGTATACAGGCTGACGATGACGCTCACAGTCCTCGTTGTGGGTCTCGCCATCCTCCCCGAGTCGCCACGGTACCTCATCGCCGCCGGCCGCGATGAAGCCGCCCAAGACGCCCTCTCCTGGATCCTCCGCGCGCCTGTCGAATCCGACATAGTCGGCGAACACTACGCCGAGATTGCCGCTTCAGTCCATCACGTCCGCTCGCTCGGCGGGACTTCCTACGCCGACTGTTTCTCGATGATGAACCGGAATCGGGTGCGGAGTTGGGCGGGAATCGGCCTGCAGGCGTTGCAGCAGCTTGTTGGCGTCAACTTCATTTTCTACTACGGCACGACGTTCTTTCAGAATTCGGGGATTCACGATCCGTTCGTCATCACTATCGCGACGAACGTCGTCAGTGCGTTCGGCCTTCGCCTCTCTCTCCTAAATCCATACTGACGCTCGCACTGACGCAGACGTCGGCTCGACCATCCCCGGCCTCTGGCTCACCGACAAAGCCGGCCGACGAACAATGCTCCTCGTCGGCGCAGTCGGCATGGCCGTCTGCCATTTCATCGTCGCGGGTTGCTCGACGGCCTTGTCGCAGGACAACGAGGCGGGTCAGAAGGTGTTGATTGGGTTCGTGTGTGTGTTTATCGCGTTCTTTGCGGCGACTTGGTGAGCTCGCATCTGTTCCTCATCGGTTGATTTGCGAGCTGATGGGTTTGCTTCAACAGGGGTCCGATCGCATGGGTTGTGTACGCTGTCAACTTTCCTTGCTCCGCTCACACAGCGAGACTAACGCGGACATCGTTTGCAGCACGAGCGAGATCTACGCGACGGCGACTCGGGCGAAACAGATGTCCATGTCGGTCGCGTCGAACTGGCTGTTCAGTGCGTCGTCTCTCCCTCCCTACATGCCTCACTTGAGCTGACGAACTGCTTGACGCTCGCAGATTTCGGTATCGGTTACGCGACTCCTTGTTCGTCTCCTCCCTCTCTGCTCATTTGCTATATTCGAAGGCTGAGCAGGCGGTGCGCGCAGATCTCGTCAACACTGGCAAAGGAAACGCGGGTCTTCAGGGCAAGGTGTTCTTCATCGTGCGTCCCAACCCGTTCTTGCTCCCTCCTTCGCTCATGCGGAGGGATGAGCTTTGCTGACGAGGTATGTGAATTGCGCAGTGGGGCGGTGTGTCGTGCATCGCGATTCTGTTTGTGTACTTGTGCGTCACTGCCATCTTTCGACGGGTTTGGCACACACAGGCTGACGAGCTTCTCGCGCAGCTGCATTCCCGAGACCAAGGGTCTCTCGCTCGAACAAAGTCCGCCTTCCATTCACCCTCGTACGCATTGTCAAACGAGGTGACTGACGCGCTGATCTATCGCAGTCGACATCCTGTACCGCCTGACCGGCAACGCGATTCGGGCGACCAAGATCCGCCGCGAACTGTACGTTTCGTCTTCCCTCTCCTGCTCTCCGACCGTGCACTGACACCGTCTTCCGCCCATGCACAGCCTCGAGCGGGACATCCAAGACGAGGATACCGCCGCCTATTTCTACGCCTTCAAGGAGCAACACCTCGGCTCTTCGCTGCACGAGCTCGAGCAGCACCAAGGCTCGTCGTCCGACCCGCAGCAGCCGCCACATCACCAACTCCAGCTTCAGCAGGACGGCCTCGCACCGGTCGAGAGTCCTGCGGTCAAGATGCGGGACTTGAACGAGGCGTGAAGAACCGCGGACAGATTGTACGACTTCGAAGGCGGATAGACTGACGGGGACGGCTTAGACACACACTAGACATAGACCTTTCTCTCGCATAGACGGCTCGCTGCCCTTGTTGTAGCTCGTACGGTTGCTCTCGTCGGAACGAACTCGAGAATGTTGCCCTCTTAACCTCGCCTGATCCCGTTCGGTCCAGCGTCGGCGACAGTGCAAGGACATACTAGACTGCTTGGAACCGCAAGCAAGCCCATCGGAGCGACTTGCTGAATGACGACCTCATCGGGCCGCCTCGCTCGTCGCTTTCGCTCTGCTTTCACTCACCACGCTACGAACCATGTCTGGAAAGCTCGCGACTGGTCAGTCTACGCTATTGGTCTCGATCGAGCCTTGCATGCGGGCTTCTAGGGAATCTGGGGAGGAAGACGGAACGGGCGGACGTCCTCCTCCTGCTCGGCCTGCTTCGGTGGACGGCAACGACTCGGGTGGACTGGCGAGGGCACCAGAGGGCTTGCGGGAAGATACACGGGATGGTAGGAGGAATAGGAGACCAGCCGGACACCTGGGACGGGAGATCCGCCTCGGGAGATGTTGCTGTCGATGACGGAACAAGGTCGATTTCAGGGTGAAAACAGGGTGGGAGCGCTGTTGCTGACCAGCGATGCCTTCACACTTACAGACTACCCCGCCTGGACTAAGCTCCAAGAGCTGTACGACAAGGACCACACCAAGCTTGTCCTCAAGGACTTGTTCGATGCCGACCCCGAGCGCTTCAGCAAGTTCTCGCGCGCGTACGACTCGCCCCAGAATGACGTCCACATCCTCCTCGACTTCTCGAAGAACTTGATCAACGACGAGGTCTTCTCGACCTTGATCCAGCTCGCCAAGGAGGGCGGTGTTGAGACGGCTCGCGACGAGATGTTCGCTGGCAAGCACATCAACACGTCCGAGGACCGCGCTGTCCTCCACGTCGCCCTGCGCAACGTCGGCAACGAGTTCAAGATCAACGAGGCTGGTGCGGACGAGGTCCAGGGTGTCCTCGACCACATGACGGACTTTGCCAACAAGGTCCGCTCGGGCGAGTGGAAGGGTTACACCGGCAAGCCCATCGACACCATCGTCAACATCGGTATCGGCGGATCCGACCTTGGCCCGGTCATGGTCACGGAGGCGCTCAAGCCGTACGGCAAGAAGGGCCTCAAGTGCCACTTCGTCTCGAACGTCGACGGCACTCACATCGCCGAGGTCACTGGCGAGTGCAACCCGGAGACGACCCTCTTCATCGTCGCCTCGAAGACCTTCACGACCCAGGAGACGATCACGAACGCCGAGAGTGCGCGCGAGTGGTTCCTCAAGTCGGCGGGAGACGTTCGTTCGCCGTCTCTGGAGTCGCAGTTTTCTCCAGATAGTGATCCGTTATGTCTTGCAGAAATCGCACGTCGCAAAGCACTTTGTCGCGCTGTCGACGAACACCAAAGCAGTGACGGACTTCGGCATCAGTTCCCAGAACATCTTCGAGTTCTGGGACTGGGTCGGAGGCCGTTACTCGCTTTGGTCCGCCATCGGCCTCTCGATCATGCTCTACATCGGCCCCGACAACTTCCAGGAGCTCCTCGCCGGCGCGCACGAGATGGACAAGCACTTCCTCGAGACGAAACTCGAGGACAACCTCCCCGTCATCCTCGGTCTCCTCGGCATCTGGTACAACGACTACTACGGCGCCCAGACCCACGCCCTCCTCCCCTACGACCAGTACATGCACAAGTTTGCCGACTACTTCCAGCAGGGCGACATGGAGTCGAACGGCAAGGTTCGCAGCGGCCGGTCTCTCGCTGAACCGCTCCAAAGGACTCGAAGATTGACGCTTTCTCGCCTCGCAGTTCGTCACGAAGGACGGCCGCCGCGTCAGCTACCAGACGGGCCCAATCATCTGGGGCCAGTCCGGCACGAACGGCCAGCACGCCTTCTACCAGCTCATCCACCAGGGCACGAAGCTCATCCCCGCCGACTTCCTCGCGCCGATCGAGACGCAGAACCCGATTCGCGGCGGCCTCCACCACAAGATCCTCCTCTCCAACTTCTTCGCCCAGCCCGAAGCGCTCGCGTTTGGCAAGACTGAGGAGCAGGTCCGCGAAGAGCTCGGCGCGCAGGCGGAGAACGAGGCGCTGAGGAAGTCGAAGGTGTTCGAGGGCAACCGCCCGACGAACTCGATCCTCTTCCAGAAGCTCACGCCCCGTACTCTCGGTGCGTGACGTTCCTTCCTCGTGCTTCACACCACACTGACACCATTGCACGTGCAGGCTCGCTCATCGTGATGTACGAGCACAAAATCTTCGTCCAGGGATGCATCTGGGGAATCAACTCGTTCGGTTCGTTCCTTCGTTCTTTTCGCTCCGCCTCTCAAGCATTGACCTTTCCTGTGCATAACAGACCAGATGGGCGTCGAGGCACGTCTAGCCAGTATCTAGAGGTTCGGGCCATGTTACTGACTTGGCGCTTGCTCGCCCGCAGCTCGGCAAGGTCCTCGCCAAGCGCATTCTCGGCCAGCTCGACGACTCCTCGAAGGTTGTCGACCACGACTCGTCCACCACCGGTCTCATCAAGCACTACATCTCGCGCGCTTGACTCGGTTCGGGAGACGAGGAGCGTCGACGCCGGACGAAAGGCGGCAGGCTCTGAGCCTTGTAGAATGCGGAGCGGAGCCCGCGCATGCACAAAATGGAAACAAGCAGTTCTTACTCTGTCCGTCTCCTTGTCCCGTCGTGCCGTCCGCCTGAGACGCAACAAGGGCAAGTCTGCGAAGGTCCGCAAAACCGGCGCTCTCTCCGGGCCACAGCGGGTGGTGATGCGCATGCGAGGATTGCATGAGGGATACAATGTCTATGGAGAACAGCTCACGATAGATACATCGGCGCCTGGCCTTACTTCGCTTCGTCTGCCCGCTCCGCCGTCTCGACCCGCATCGGTTCCTCTTGTTCCCGCTCGTCCTCAATCCCCTGCCAAGACGTCCCCTCTCCCTGCTCGAGTCGCGGCGAGCCATACGCCGAGAGCGAGAGCGTGTCCGCGTTCGACCGGTGCGAAAGTCGGAACGGCTCGAGACGAGACTCATCCTCGACACTCGCCTCCTCTGTCGCAGCGGTACTTCGTCGCCTCACATCGGGCTCGTCGGCAGGCGCACCTAACGGGGTCGTCGAGCGAAGACGATACGCCGGCTCGGGCGTCCTGACAGCTCCTCGCAAAGTCGACGACTCGGATCTGCCTCCGACGCTGGTTGGCTGCGATATCGCTGACGAAGCCGTCACCGTCGATAGCGCGCTTCCGCGTCGCGCGTCGCCGGCGATGTCACTCGAAGGTCCCGCCTGCGCCGTCTCGAAGCTGTCGCCGCCCTCGGTACTCGAGAGCTGCGAGTTGCGATGTAGGCCGCCCTGGCGAAGCGTTTCCTCTCGCAAGAGCGCCTCTTCGTCCTGAATTCGATCCACCTCGTCGAGCAGGCGAGTCGAGAGACGCTGTCGCTCTGCCGCTCCGCGCGCGAGGTGCGTCTGGAGGAGGGCGGAGCGGTTCTCGTCCGAGGGAATGCGGTTGCCGTTGCCGGGTTGGTGAGACGCAGACGGGCGGTGCGGAAAGTATGAGGGCATGGGCGAAGCGAAGGACGAGGTGGAGGAGTCGCGGCGGATGGCATTGGCGTCGACCTCGCCGAGTGGCACCGACCTGCTCGAGGACGGCCTCTCGCTGATCGCCGAGAACTGCGAGACGAGCTGTGGTCGCGAGTACTGCTCGTTGGGTCTGTCGTTCCGCTGACCCTGCGCAAGCAGCGTTTTGACAGTGGGCAGCGGCCTCGGCGAGAACTGAACCTCGTGGTGCGGCAACGGTGACAGGTGCTCCTGCTCGAGTGGCAACGACCGCACGCGCCGATGTAGGTTCGTTCCGCCGACAGCTCCGGCACGTGGTGCTGCCGTCAACGTCGACGCCCTGCGACCGTCGATGCCGCTCGTCTGCGCCTCGAAGCGCGGCGGAGACGGAGTGGCTGGCGAGAGGGAGATGATAGGCGAGAGCTTCGTCTTCGGGTGCGGCACGACGTAGTTCGAGGCGGACGACCAGAAATTGCGAGGTTGCGACGCAGCGGCAGCATACCGCTGTGCTGCACTCTCGCGCGGCTGTTCCCGATCGATTGCTTGGACAGCAAAGTCGGGTCGCTGCTCCTCCGCGCTAGGGCGCGCACTCTTGCGGCCGGCCGGAACCTGCTCGTGCACCTGGTCGTCGTAGACGGTCTCCTTCTTCTCGTCGGGGTACGCGGACGACGAGTAGCCGAGAACGTAGGGCGACTTGGCGAGGAAGGGCGAGAAGGTTGTCGACGCCATGCTCAAAGGCGTCGATCCGAGGCAGGCGAGGATAGCGCATCGGATTCGGCGCTGTCGACGGGTGCGCCAGTCGGAGAACGGTGCGGAGGGGCGACGCGAGGACGAAGAACGCGCGTGGTCGGTCCGGCCGACGACGGGAGAGTCTGGAAGGGCGATGGCGAGGTGTTCGCGCGAGGGATGAATGAATGCCGAGGATGCTGCAGTGCGGCGCTTCAGGCAGGACGACTCAAGCAGCCAAAGCCCGACCGCCGCTGCAACGACGAGCACTAGCCGCCAGGCGGCCCACACTGCGTTCGTCATGAGGACGCCAAAGGCGAAGGGCGAGAGCGTCCCGTCGGTGGCGAAGTAGGCCGAGTCGCGACTGGTCGCTACCGCCGCCGCCGTTGGTCCGTACGCGGTCGTGTTGTACAGGAGGATGACGGCGCAGGTGAGACCCGCACGCGGGAGGAGAAGCAAAACAGTCGGCCAGTTCTGGCGGTACCATTGACAACTTTCCTTGATGCCGTCGAGGCGACTGGGTCCGTCGACCGAGCGACCAAGAGCCGTTCGAGGAAAGAGTCCGGCGAGGCGGACTCGCCAGAGGAAGGAGAAGACGCCGTAGGAGCGCAGACAGGCGAGGTTGTACGACCTACGCGAGGAGAAAGTCAATCCCATTGACCAGCAAGGCATGGTGCGAACTCACGCTGCGCCCTGGTAGATCCGCTCTATCTCGACGTTCTTCCCGCCCGCTCCGACGCCTCGCCACCTCGCGAAGAACCCGCACAGCAAGTCCCTCCAGATGAAGACGCCGAAGAACCAGATGAAGGTGCAAGTCGAGTAGACGGCGAGTGCGACCCACCATCCCGTGCTGGGCTGGATTGTCGGGACGTCCACGAGCGCACGGGCGGATAGGTTCTGCGTTGGCGGAACGGAGGGGTACAGCGCCAGTTGAGCGAGGATGTAGATCAGGTTGTAGTCGAGGAAGAGGGTGACGGGGACGTGGGCGAAGATGGCGAAGGGGTAGAGCAGCTGTGAATGGACGAAGAGGTCAGCAAGCTCGATTGCTTTGAGGTGCAAAATGAAGAGGACGCACATGGAGGAGACGCGGGAACCAGCCGCCATACTCGACCATCGACCAGTCCATCCGTTCCGGTCGACAAGTCGTCTCCCGCCTGGCCTTTTCCCAGTCACCGTCGTCTGGCTGATGCAGTCGCGCGTCGACATCGCTATCCGAGTCGTGGACGACAACTTCGAACGTGCCGGGCGCGCTGCGACCGCGAGCGTGAGAGGGAGGGACAGGCGGAGCGGGACCTCGCGCCGACTTGGACTTCTTACGCAAGCTGAAGAGTGATGGTCGGCGAGTCGGAGACGGCGCTGTCGGCGCCATCATCTCGCCACCCTCAGAGCCCTCGCCATAGTCCACCACGCTGTCCAACTCGCTCAACCTCATACTCCCCCGCCGCAACTTCGGTCCCTCGTCCACCTCGTCCAAATCCACGTCGTCTTCCTCGCCATACTGCGGCTCGTAGCTCGTCATGCGCGAGCGCTTCGAGCGAGCCGAGCGAGGCGTGACATAGCGTCGCGCGCCTGGCGTGGCGGTTCGAGGCGGAGTTCGCGGGAAGCCTGGGTCGCCCTGCGAAGCGTGAGCCGGCTCGAAAGTGGTGACGCCGCGAACACGACGACGGGAGCCGCGAGGCGAGATGAGGAAGTCGGGGTTCGTCTGCGGAGGCGGAGGTGCGAGTCTGTCTGTCGCCTGAACAAAGCCAGCTGGGTCACCCAGGTCCGCCTCGCCAGCCGTCTCGAAGACGCCGAGGCCTGCACTACCCGATGCAGCCGACACCTTGCGCTGCTCTTCCCACTTGCGCCGTTCCTCCCTCGCCTCGACACCTTCCGGGTCAAGCCCGAGATGGATCCGCGGAGACCAAATGATTTGTCCTTCCTCCTCGTCCGCCACCTCGCCAAGTCGCCCTTCGGTCGCCCCAGGACGCTGTAAGAGCGCCTCGAACCCGCCAACGCTCAGACGACCTGCACTCCCTCCCTCGTCCAGTTCCTCGCCGTGCGCCCGCGCAGACGAGACAGACAGCGACGCCTGACGCGGCGGTGTCGGGATGAACTTGGGGACTGGTTTGCGATAGGATGAGGAGAAGCGGGAGAAGGCGGATGCGGGGCGAGGCGAAGTTGGGGCGGTAGCTGTGGGCGGCAGAGGCGGGGCCGGGAACTCGAGTGCGCCGGGGGAGAGATCACTCTCACTTGGCGGGGAGGGCTCGCTGGAGGGAACGAATGCGGGAAGGAGCGGGACAGGCGAGTTAAACATGAGGGCTTCGTTCGGTCTCGAAGGTCGACGAGGGCGTGGTGGCTGCGGTTCGGGAGGAGCGAGGCTGCTCGTAACGAATGTCGCTGTGTCGGTCATGTTGGGCGTCGAGCCGAGTTGAGGCGTCACGGGAACGTCTGGGCGCTCTGGGCGAGGCGAGATGCGCGGGATGGGCGGCGACGAACGAGGTGAGAGGCCGGGAGGCGCTGGATAGGTCGTCGGAGGACCCATCGGCGCTGCATGCTGGCCCGAAGACGTGCTGCCGGGGACAAGGGGTATCGAGGAGGTGTAGCTGCTGCGTGGATCGGGGAGGTCGAAGTGCGTCTTCGGTTGGGTCATGGCGGCTGTCGACGGTAGAGAATGAGGAAGTGTCTGTGATCAAAGGAATGTGCTGGACCCGCTTGTGTCGTGCGGGCTGGACGGGTGTTGAAAAGGAGTGGAGGGGCGGCAGCGTTCACGGCAGAACGGCGCGCGCGAGTCGATTCGATGCAAGCCAGAGAGCGTCAGGAAGACCAGTCCAAGCGATTCGACACCTGTGCAGCCCAGCGCGAGCGCACGCCGTCGAGCAGAGGCGGTCTTGTGATGAGGCGAAGGTCTGCCCGCGACGAGGCGAGCGGCGAGGGGCACAGGCCGAGCGTCTAGCATGTCGCAGAGCATCGTTCATTAGCGAGCTGAAGCACAAGTCTCGGGACAAGGTGAGGGCAGCAGGTGCAAGGGGGAGGGGAAGTCAGACATCCTGTCTGAGGCAGTCAACCGCGCCGTTATGCTGTGTGAATAGAAAGCTAGTGATGCGCCTCCTAGCGTGGATTGTCCGGCGGACTTGCGCCGATCCAAGCCAGGAGGCGCCGCCGCGAAGTGAGTGGACGGTCGAGGAGGAAGAGAGCTCGCACGATGGCGGACGGACTCTGCTTACTCCTGCGCGGTCGGGTGAGCTCGTCAATCGCTGAAGCTCCAAAGCCAACGCTGCAGGAGGGAGCGAGAGAGAGCGAACAGTTCCTCGTGCGAAGGTCGCGCGACTCTGTGTCGTCCTGTTACTGCTCGAGCAAAGCGGAATGCAGGCAGGTGCTAGTACGTGTGAAGCAGATAGATATGGACAATCAACAGGAGAATCGAAAAGACGCAGAAGCAAAACCAAGAGGAAAAGGGTATCGTCGTCCTCCTCCGCGCGCTCACCACCTCCGTCCCAGCAGATCCTCCCCCCAGCTGGGCACCGTCTCTCCCTCCCTCTCGCCCTCATCGCCACTCACGCTCCCCCCAACCAACACACAACTCTCCAAGCTGCCCAAACTATCCCTCGAGCTCTTCGCGACCACACGGATTTGCCTCACTGTTGCGGGGGCGACAAGGCCGGCGGTGGAGATGGCGCGGCGGAGGAGTTGGGGCTGGGAGCGGCGGGTGTGCAGCGGGCGAGAAGAGGAGGAGGGCAGGAGAGAGCGGCCCGTTGCAGCGTCGATGGGGGAGCGGGGGAAGGGGGCTGCTGAAAGCGCTGGCGAAGCGGAGGCGCTGGGCGAGGAAGAGGAGGGAGGGAAGAACAGCTGCGACGCGCGTTCCCGGAGGAGAGTTGCAGGAGCCCACCACAACCTCCCGCTCGCGACAGGCGTAGGCGGCCTCCTCTGCTCCTTCTCCTCCGCCTGCTCGGCTTCGCTCGGTACGACGCGAGGCGGAGAAGGCGGTACCTGGATGCCTAGACCCGCAAAGGACTGATAGGCGGGGAGGAGGTTCGAGTCGGACACCGTGTGGCGGAGGGAGGTGCGCTTCGAAGCCGCGTCGAGCCCAAACGGCGCAACAAGCTCGTTGTTCCCTCCGCCCCAAGGAGGAGAGAGGTACCCTTCCCCCGCGCCCATGCCCATCGCGCCGCGGAAGTTGCTCTGCGGCGTCCTCGTCGCCAACTCGAACGACACGCTTGACGAATAACTCCTCGCATCCTCCTCTTCCTCTGCATCCGTCGCTCCTGGAGCGAGGTCGAAGCACAACTCGGGCGTCCGCGCATCCGAGTCGAGCGAAGTCGATACCCTCGACAACGGATGCGGATGAGGGCGGATAGCCTCGTTAACTCCCGAAACCCAGCGATGCATCTCGCTTGTCGTCCTCATCCGCCGAGGCTGGACGGAAGACGAAGGAGGAGGAGTGGAAAGAACGACGTGGTGGACTGAGGAGGTGTCGGCGTCGGCGTCTGCTGCGCGGGCTGTCGAGCCTGAACTTGTTGGGGAGGGGAGGGGCGGAGCGGTTTCGGGTGAAGAGGACGAGGAGTCGGGGTTGGGCGAGCCGAAGAGGGAGAAGAGACCGCGGAGGGAGAGGAGCGAGGGGCGGTCTTTCAGTTGCTGCGGGGCGGGCGGGGCAAGCGAGGCGGTCGCTTTGGTGGGAGGGGCGGGGGATGGTGCCCGAATGGGCGTAGGCGAGGGAGGGGCGTCATCGATAGGATGAGTTGCGGAGGTGGATGCTGTTGGTCGGGCGAGAGTCGATTGAGGCGTGATTACTCGAGTGTCGGCGTAGCCATGTCGCTCGAGTAGCTGTACCGGCATCAAGCATACATCAGCACTTTCCCTTAATCTCGGTCGTCGCGAGCGAAGAGCGCGCAGGGAATGGAATAGTGAACGCACCTCCTGCAAACTACTGTACCCAGCCCTCTCCTCCCTCGCCACCTCCTCCTCTCCTCCAGCACCTTCGATCGCCCCAAAGCCGAGCCCCAATTCGCCATACATATCCCTCTTCCTCTCTCTCGCGCCTGTTTCGTGTAGAGGGCGGCGGGGAGTTTCGAGTGCGTTCGGAGGTGGAGGGACGGAGGTGGAGGGGAGGGAAGGTGGAGTGGGGGGCAAGACCGAAGGCAGAGCTGCTGGGCTGCTCGTGAGGTGAGCAGGTTCGTCCTTGTCCTGAAAGCTAGTGACCGCCTCCCTTCGCTTCGCTACCATCTGCCTCTTCAACTCGATCTTGTGTTTCTCCACCCGCTCAAGCTTTGATGGGTCTTGCCCGAGGTTTGGTGAGCGAGGAGAGGCGGAGGCTGCGTTAGAGGGCGACGGAGCGGGAGAGGGAGAGGGGGAGGAGGGGACGACGTAGGAGATTCGCCTGGTGGAGGAGGTGGCGCGCAGGGAAGGTCGTACGGAGGAGGCGGTAGAGGAAGAAGCGGACGAGAGGGCACGGAGAGAGGACGCGGCGAGCGAAAGCGGACGGGGAGAAGGGCGTCGTTGCGGTTCCTCCGCGTCTTCCGTCCGCAACGTGCGCGAGGAGCGTTCCTCCGCTCGTCGTGCCGCATGCGCAGGAGCAGGAGAAGCGGAGCGAGGCGTCCTCGACCCGGAAGTCATAGCCAAGCCGGACTTTCTCCTCGTCGGCGCGTCACTCGCCCCGTGCTGGCCCCTGACGCTCCTCAGACTCTCCTCCGCCGTCGAAGGCGCAACCCGCCCGCCCGCACTCGCCTCAATATCGTGACTCGTCTTGCTCCTCCTCATTCCGCCCTGCGTGTCCTTGCCCTTGACCTCCCGCGCATCGTTCTCCTTGCCCTTTGCCTGTCCGCGCAGGATGAAAGGGCGAACTTTGCGTGGCTGGGCGGGGGGAGGAGCTGCGCGGGGCTGTGTGGGCTTGAAGAGCGCTGTCTCGGAGGTTGAGGAAGGCAGGCGGCGGTGGGTCGGTGCGGTGGGTGGCGGGGACGCGTTCGCAAAGGGGTGTGCGTCGAGGGTCATCGTGGCATGGATGTGAGCAGTCCGGCGAGTCCAGCGAGAGTGTGGGCGAGTGGAAGAGGAAGAGGTAAACAGCCTCGGAGGCGATGAGCGTTGCCGGTCACGTGCGGCGAATCCAGCGGGACAGCACGACGGGCGAGCAGCTTGTCTTTATGTGGTGACAGCATCGTAGCACTCCCTGTGACCCGCCTGGATGACCCTGTCGACGCTGCTGTCGACTCTCCTCGTCCCGCTCACCTCGCTCGTCCAGTCGCCCTTCCAGCAACCCTCGTCCCGCTCCATGACGGACCAAGTGGACCTCCTCATCCTCGGCGCAGGGTGGACAGCCTCCTTCCTCGTCCCTCACTTGCGCGCACACCACCCAAACCTCTCGTTCGCAGCGACAACCCGCGACGGACGAGACGACACCCTCAAGTGGTCCTTCGACCCCGATCGCGAGGGGAAGGACCAGTTTGAGGGACTACCGAAGGCGAGGGCCGTGTTGGTGACGTTCCCTATCAGGGGAGAGGGCGGGAGTAGGAGATTGGTGCAAGGGTACGAGGAGCATGCGGGTTCGAGGGCGAGGTGGATTCAGTTGGGCTCGAGTGGGATCTGGGACGTGAGTCTGGCGGTCTTTCTCGCTTTCATTCGACGATGTGTGTCGCAAAACGTCGCGTTGATCCTTCGTCGAGCCGTCTGAACCCAGGGCGGTCCAACTCTCGCCTCTCTCCGCGCCTCCTCCCCTTCCTCAACCGCGAAACCCCCTCCGTTCCAATGGACGACCCGCCACTCTCCCTACGACCGTACGAACCCCCGCGCAATCGCAGAAGACGAGCTCCTGTCGCAACATGCCGACACGATCGTGCTGAACCTCGTCGGACTGTGGGTGAGGCCGGCTTTCTCCCTTCTCTCTTTCTCTCCTTCTGTCTTTGAGCGAGACTGACGAGTAGGGTGTCGTGTAGGGCGGCACCCGCAACCCACTCAACTGGTTCGCCCGCATCGCGCCCACCAAATCCGCCCTCGAACAAAAAGGTTCTCTCCACCTCATCCACGGGCTGGACGTAGCACGCGCAATAGTCGCCGTCGTCCTCGCTCCTACACTCCCTCGCTCTGCGGAAAGTGTGAGGGAGGGGAGGGGAGAGCGGTGGGTTGTAAGTGACTTGAGGGTCCTGGATTGGTGGGACCTCGTCTCTTCCCACCCTTCTCCCCCTCCTTCCTCCGCCTCGCACGATGGCGAATCCTCCCCCGACCGCACCAAGTGGGTCCTAGACCTCATGCACACCCACAACATCCGCGGGCTCCCTCGCTCGCCGGAGGAATTGGGGAGGGCGATCGATTCGAGCGAGTTTTGGAGGGCATTTGGGGTTGGCCCGGTTAAGGGGAGGTGGGAGGAGGGGAAACTGTGAGGGCTCCGAACGAGCAGAGGGAACGAGGGAAGGGGTGTAGCGATAGCCTTGTATCTCTAGCGTCGTCTCGCTTGTCTGTGGCACTCGTCGAGTATTCACGAGCGACATGCGAGATACACAGTCAATGCAAACGGAAAACTACGGCACCCAACCGCCCGCGACCTCCCAAACCAAGCCCATCGCAACCTTCGCATGCGCGGCAATCTGTTCAAAACTGTACCCTTCGCGCGCGGAGAGGTCGCACGAGTTGTGATAGCACCTGTTCCACCCCAGCATCAGCATCACTCGGGTGGCAGAAAGGGAGGGGGAGGGCGGAGGAAAGGGGAAGGAGGGAGGGGACGAACGGGTCTGCGATGGGGCCGTTGCGCTCGAAGATCCAGGTCGAGGCGTAAGAGTTGGAGACGAAAGATTGGTGGTCGGAACAGCAGGCGGGAGTGTAGCTGCGTTTCGGAGAACGGGTGCGAGAGTCAGCTTTCCTTCCCGCATCGTCCATGGGGCCCAGGCGCGTGTGCGAGCGGGTACCACAGGCGAACAAGGGAGACCAAACGCACCCAACAATCAACTCGGGTACATACACCTCACTCAAATTCCCTACCAACCACCCAGCCTCTTTCAACCCAATCTTGTCGGGCCTGGCAAGTTGCATCGGTTCGCCGGGCTTGCGGTAGCCTACCATGTCGACTTGGAGCATGAGGGCGACGTCTTCTGAGCGCGAGCGGAGGAGAGAGGCGTAGTGTGAGGAGGAGAGGAGGCCTTGTTCTTCGCCGGAGAAGAGGGCGAGGACTGCATTGTCGAGGCGGAGGCAGAGTCAGCGTCCCTCCTCAATCTCCGAGCGTTTTTGACGTCTGGAGCGATGTTACGGAGCCGCGGAAGAGACGTGAGGAATCCGCCAACTCACCGAGCTTCCGCGCAAACTTGAGGTTGTACGAGTGGATCAGCCTGGCGACCGCCAGCACGAGCGCCGTGCCCGACGCGTCGTCGTCCGCTCCAGGCGCTGTAGGGAAGCCAAACGACTGTTGCGACGACGCAAGCATCAGCATGTCGAGCTTGAGGAGGAGAGGCTGGGAAGTCCACGCACGCCTCGCGAGTCAAAGTGCGCGCCGAGGATCATCGTCTCGTTCGCGTTGTACTCAATCGCGCTGGCGCTTCGCAGGTGCGAGTCGTCCGACCCGAGAGACGAGTCGAGGTAGACGCATTCGACCATTGGAGCGTAGCCGGGAAGGTAGGAGATGTGGGTGCAGTTAAAACCGTAGGAGGACATTTGGTCTGCGAGATGCGAGTGGGAAAGATTGAGTCGATGTGCGACGAGCGAGAGAAGGGAAGTTTAGGGAGAGGACGAACCGAGGACCCAGTTTGCTGCTTTGTGCCCGCCGGTGCTCATCGAGTGCCTCGACACCCACTGTGAGCCACAATGAGTGACGAAAATCTCGTCAGCGATGCCTTCCCGGGAAGAGTCGCCGAATGCGAGAGGCGTCCAGCGGCAGACTCACCCGCTCGCTCGGCTTGACCCGACTCTGATCCTCTCCGCTAAGGGTCTTCACATCCCTCCTCATCCTCTCCAGCTCCTTCTCGCTGTCCAAACCCGAAACGACCTTGCTCAGCAACGGCTGGAACGTCAAGCCTTCGAGGTGCGCCTTGACGCGGTTGACTGCCGCAGCGGGAACTTCGGGGAAGGGCGAGGGCTCCTCGAGGGCGCTGCTGAGACGAGGAAGAGCGACAAGCGAGTAGTGCGAGTAGGCGGGGTGGGAGGACATGTAGGAGAGCTGAGCGTTTGCGGTGGTCGGATCGGGGGAAAGGAGGACGAGACGGCCTTCGTTCGACGGGAGGTCAAGGAGGTGCGTCGGGTCGAGTTCAGGGATGGTGTTGGAACCGGCATTGGGCGAAGAGAAGGTGATTTGAGCGGAAGAAGCGGAGGGCGAGTCGGAGGAGAGGGAGGAGTCCGTCTCGACGGTCGTACGGTGGAGCCAGTAGAGCAGCCCGGCGGTGTCCCCGGCACTTTTTGCGTCCTCCGAAGCTTCAACGCTATCCCGCCCGATCGCTACGCTCAGCATACCGGATCCTGCGTCACCCAAACGACCGTCCGCCGCTCCTCCTCGCCGCCTCAGCTCCCTCTCGCAGTCGCCCGATACGTGGTAGACGTCGTAGAGTGTCTGTGCACCGACTGTGATGTGGAAAGTCGCGCAGGAAGGTGGTGAGGCCGAGTTGCTCCCCTCAGCCTCTGTTCGGCTGATGAGGATAAGGCGGGAGAGAGAGAGCGGTGCGGCGTGCACGGTCAAAGTCGCCGCCAGTAGCAAAGCTCCCAGCAAGTACTTCATCGTGCTCAGTCGGCCTCGAGAAGCTGTGTGGGCGGAGGAGAAGGGCTGCCGACGGTTCGCCCCACCACGCGGTTCCTCTCCCTCTCGCCAGTCACTCTCGCTCGCTCGGCTGCCTTGCAGAGCACTCGGACACTGCCAGGTTGAGCGCCTCAGTGCATGCTGACAAGCCTGCTGTCGACCCGCCTCACACGACCCGCTACACACCGCTTCCTCAACTCGCCTCGACGAACCATGACTTTCGACTCTTCCGCGCGGCTTGCGGCTCTCCGCGAGCAGATGAAGAAGCACGAACTTGCGGCATACATCGTTGACTCGGGCGATGCGCACTCGAACGAATACACGGCCGAGGCAGACGACCGGAGGGTGCGCCCGACTGTTCTCTTTCGTCCGGCTCAACTTCAGCTCACCTTCGTATATTGCCGCAGGCCTGGATTTCGGGCTTCACCGGCTCTGCAGGAACAGCCATCGTCTTGAAGGACAAGGCATTCCTCTGGACCGACGGCCGCTACCACCAGCAAGCGTCGAACCAGCTCTCTACCGACTGGACCCTCATGAAGCATGGTGTTCCCTCTGTTCCTTCGTGGACCGAGTGGCTCACCAAGCCGGCGCACTCGTCCTCGCTTCTCCCCTCCGGTTCGAAAGTCGGCCTCGACCCAGCACTTATCACGATTGCCGACTACACGACCCTCGCGCCGGGCTTGACATCGGCAGGCGTTGAGCTTGTACCGATCAGGGAGAATCTCGTCGACGTCGCGTGGGAAGCTGAGGCGAAGGAGAAGAGCGAAGGAAAGGAGGGCAAGCCACAGAGGCCGAAGAACGAGGTGTTCGTGCTGGAAGAGAAGTACGCTGGCGAAGGCGCGAAGAGCAAGATTGAGCGAGTGAGGAAGGAGATGGAGAAGGACGACGTCTTTGGCGGCGACGCGAAGGCCAAAAGCGGAGACAAGCGATGCTGGGGAGTCGTGCTTACGCAGCTCGACGAGATCGCCTGTGCGTGTGCTTTCTCCGCTTCTCTGAACAGCAATGCTGATTCAGTCTCTTCGCAGGGCTGCTCAACCTGCGCGGCTCCGACATCTCCTACAATCCCGTCTTCTTCTCCTGGCTCGTTCTCCCGACCGCGTCCTCCTCCAAGCCGACGCTCTTCATCGACATCGAACAGGTCCCGCAGAAGACGTACGAGTACCTTGGCGGCTTGGGCGTCCTCGTCGAGCCTTATGACAGCTTGATTGGGTTCCTTGAGGGTGTTGGCGGAATCTTGGGCGAGCAGGTGCGTCAAACAGGCTCTTGGTCGGCGACTTTGACAAAGTTTGCTGACCTCTTCGAGCTGTTCGAATTGCACAGGACCTCGTCCTCCTCCCTTCCCGCACCAACCTCGCCTCCGCCCTCGCCCTCGGCCTCCCTCGCGTCGTCTCTTCCACACGCGGTCCCATCTCAGACCTCAAAGCGCTCAAGAACAACACCGAAGTACAAGGCTTCCGTCAGTGCCACATCAGGGACGGCGTCGCGCTCGTACGGTACTTCTCATGGCTTGAGAGGGAGCTCAAGAAGGGTGGGGAGCTGAGGGAGTACGAAGCGGCGCTCAAGCTTGAGGAGTTCCGCAAGTAAGTACTCGTGGGTGCCTAAGGTGGGCACTGCTGATACAGCTTCGCACAGGCAACTTGACCTTTTCCGCGGCTTGTCGTTCTCAACCATCTCGTCGACCGGCGGCAACGCGTCAATCATCCACTACTCACCTGGACCAGATGGTCAGAGCACTGTTATCGACGCCTCGAAGATCTATCTCTGCGACAGCGGCGCCCAGTTCAGCGACGGAACTACCGAGTGAGCACGTCTTCCTCGCCTGGTTCGCCGCCCCCAGCTGACCTCGCTCCCACAGTGTCACCCGCACGCTCCACTACGGCACGCCCACGACCTTCGAGAAGCGAGCGTACACTCGCGTCCTGCAGGGTCATATCGCGATCGACCAGGCCGTCTTCCCCGAGACCGCAACGGGCTACCTCCTCGACCCTTGGGCGCGCAAAGCGCTCTGGCAAGACGGTCTCGACTACCGACACGGTACGGGTCACGGTGTCGGCCACTTCTTGAATGTCCACGAGGGCCCGATGGGAATCGGCACGCGTATCGCGTACAACGACGTCAAGCTACAGCCGTCGCAGATCTTGTCCAACGAGCCGGGGTACTACCACGAGGCAGGCGACGAGTCGTTCGGCATTCGGATCGAGAATTTGGTAGTTGTCCAGCCTGCGCAGACGCCGCACCAGTACGGAGGTGTCAAGTACAACAAGATGGAGCGCCTCACAATGGTCAGTCCGTCTCTCGCTCCCATTTGCGCATGAGCTGACACGCTGTGTGTGCAGTGCCCGATCGCGACGAACCTCGTCGAGCCGTCGCTCATGTCGCTCGACGAGATCGATTGGCTCAACAAGTACAACGCCGAAGTGCTGAGCAAGGTTGGGCCGTTGCTGCGGGAGACGGGCGACAGCGAGGCCATGGAGTGCGTGCAGTCGCTCTTCTCACGAGTCTGGCGTCTGACTCCGAGGTTGACTTGCGCAGATGGCTCGAACGTAGCTGCCAGCCTCTCTCCGTCGTCTGAGCGACACCCTCTCGCTTCCATTCCGTCTCCATCTCGTCAATGCGCAACCGCACGCACTGCAACACACGATACCATAGCCTGCCTCGCGTCGACTGCTCTTGCGATAGAGCTCTGTCTCCGCGCGGAGGGAAACGCGACGAGCGGAGACCCCGGTCCAGCAGCGCGAGAAGGTCAGGCGAGACTCGCACAGCTTCAGCAGGCTCTCTACGCTGTCCGAGAGACTGTCAGCTGCCGTGCTCGTCGAGGTCGACCATTGACTCTCGTCGAGGACGTCGTCGCGAAGGTTGTCCTCCCTCTCTCATCTCGCTCGCTCTGCACGCGCTCGCAGTGACCCAGACTGCTTGCTGTGCTCGACTCGACTCGTACGAACACAGTTTCCACGAGCTCGCTGCTGCCGCGAGCGCGCATGGGACCCCCGCCTCCTCTTCCTGTCAACACTCCCTTCGCCCACAACCCGCTACGCGCGACGCTGGGGTTTGACATTCATCCTCTGTCGCCATCCGACACGTCTTCGCCCGCCACGAGTCCCCCAATCGCCTTCAGCCCGCGTCTCTTCCCCGACAACTCGCTCCCCACCTACCTCTCCTCGGCTTCGACTCCCTCGTCCGGGTCCACCTCGAGCGCAGGCGGGATGCCTCCTCCGCCGACGCAGCAGTTTGGCTTCAAGGCGGACGCGGGCTCGTCGCCTGTGCCGGTCGGGAGAGGCGGGATGGGTGGACCTGCCGGGACGGTGGGAGCGGGGATCGACCCTTCTGTCCTCTTTGGACTGGGCCAGCCTGCCTCTGGCGGATACGGCTCGTTTGGTATGGGCATGGGATCGTATGGCGGGCCGTCGAGCGTGCTGAGCGACGCCGACCTTGACTTGGAGAACATGATCGCTTCTTTCGGCAACGGGACGAACGGTGGACACGGACACAACGGTCATGCCGGACATGCGAGTTGGGCAGGAGACGCAGCGGTTGCGAACGGGCTCCTTGGACTGGCCTCGCATGCGCCGAACAACCCTTCTCTCCAGGCTTTCGCCTCGCCGCAGATGCACCACGCTCCTTCGCCCACTGCACACTCCCGCGCGGCAGCCTCGCCGACCGAAGAACGCGATTATGGCTCGCTTGGGAGCGGGCGTCGACGCGGCAGCGAAGGTTTCGGCTCTCCCCCTCCATCCCGCCACCCTCCTCCTTCTGCTACCAACTCTTCTAAGCGCTCGACCTCGACCGAGCGAACCGGTCGCGTCGGCCGCTCGAGCGGTATCGGCAAAGCGCCGAGGCAGACGAGCCGGAGTCGAAGCGCTCGCAGGTCGGCGAATGCGGCTGGCTATCAGGACAGGCCGTCGCCCGGCGGCAAGGAAGGCGAGAGGGCCACTTCCTCCGGTGGAGGTACGCCCGCAGTTACGCCTGGCGCAGGCGGTATGCCAGCTACGTCGTCTGCACACGGAACGGTGGCCATCGTCATCCCCTCTTCCTCCGCCTCCATGACCATACCCACTTCGCCCGGCGCAAACCACCTCTCGCGCTCCTTCGGCCACTCCCACCACGCCTACGCCATGTCGCTCCCAACCTACCCTTCGGCAGCTGGCACCCCCTCCTCCGTCCCAACAGCCGGCTCGTGGTTCCCTCAAGCACACCAACACTCGTCCTTTGCCGCATCAGGCTCAACAGGCGCGTTTGCATCGCCTCATGTCCCGCCGACCTCGCTTGCGATCGGGAGTCCGACGTCGCCGCGTGCGGATCCGCTGACGGGTTGGAGGCCCTCGAGCGGGGTGGGAATGCCGGCTTCGGCGCCGGCGGGGATGACGAGTGCGTCGGGAAGCTTGGGGGTCAGTGTGAGCTCGGCGGGCGGGTCGAGGAAGAACAAGGGGTTGGAGGACGTACTGGAGGAAGAGGCGGATAGCAGAGGGTGAGTTCCCGTCCTTTCAAACTCAGCTCCGCTTCTAGTCGAAACTGATGCGTCCTGCGACGGGCTCCGCAGCGACCCCATCTCGGAGAAGCGACGCAAGCGCCGCGAATCGCACAATGCCGTCGAGCGTCGCCGGCGGGACAACATCAACGACCGAATCTCCGAGCTCTCCGCTCTCCTCCCTCCCGCCCTCCTTCTAGGCCAATCGCTCGACCCCGCCGCCGCGCTCAACCCAGACCAAGCAGCGGACGAGGGACCTGCCAGTCCGGCGATTGGCGCGTTGAGCCTCATGAGCCCGATGCCGGGGACGAGTGGGAGTCCGCCTGGGCCTGGGTTTGCGGCGGGCCCTGGTGGAGCAGCAGGGACGCCGCAGAAGCCGAATAAGGGAGTGGTGTTGGCTAAGAGCGTCGAGTACATTCGGTGCGTTCGAGCGTCCTCAGGTTGTCAAGTGCTGTCTCGCTTCGGGATTCGCGCTGACTTTTGGCCTTTGACTGTTTCGCACAGCTACCTTCAACAAGTCGTCGAGTTGCAGCAGCAGCAGACTGCCGAACTGATGCGCCAGAACACGCTCCTCCGCCAGTCTCTCTCCTCGGGCACCGGTTCCTCGCCCGAAGACCGTCCCTCCGTCTTTGCGCATGTCCCGCCTCAGCCGCCCTCGTTCCCTCCGTCAACAACGACCGCGAGCTCGGCAACGTCGCCTGGACAGGTAGCCGCGGGCCATATGAGCATGGCAGCGGACGAAGGCGAGCGGCGCAGTAATTCTGGCACGGCCTTCCTCGACTATGTCGATGACGAGGCCGAGCAGGGCGGCGAGGGAGAGGCGAGGCAGAGGGGTTGGACGCCCCTGCTTGATGCGGGCGGGATGCACGTCCTCAAGTCGGAGGAGGACGCGGACGACATGGACGAGTCGTGACCACCTCGACGATGCCGACGATACCCGTCACCCGACTGAACCGTCTGTCAATACCCACCTTTCGACCTACCTTGACTCTTGTACCCTTCTATCGTCCTCGACCCGCCGTGCCCTCTCGCCAATTGTCGGCTTAATCTCTCGCGCCTCTCGCTGTTGTGCTGTATAGCGTTACCCTCTCTCTCCCGTATATCTTGGTCAACTCCTGGGTTGTAAGGATGTTTTTTCTTTGACCTTTGCCCTCGTCGTCGCCTCCCGCCGTGCGTGCGCCCACGCTGGCAGGGATCAGATTTGCAGCGGCTCTGCGAGTTTCCCGGGCGCCGGCCAGCCAACCAGCCTCTCTTACTGGGGCCGCCAAAATCGATGCGAGTTTGTATTGAGCTGATTACAACTGGTTTGTAATGTTACTAGGATTACCCCGGCCTGGCTGCGGGGGACTCTGGCGCCTCGCTCTCTTCGTCCTTTCGCTCGCCTTCACACTTCTCGCACAAGCACAGACGCAGACGATGGCACAGCAGAGATCTGTGCACGACCACGTACGTCCCGCCGTCCTCTCTCTCGCCTTTGCCGCCCGCGAGAAGCGTCGGTGGATCGTCCTCATCCCCCACACCCTGCCATCCTGGCCCCGCCCTCCTCCTGGCGCACCGCAGACGACGAACTGACGCTTACTCGCTCACACACAGCTCCTGTACGCCTGCCATCTATCCAGCGAACTCTCCAACTCGAGGCGAGACGAGCGAAAGCGGACATGAGCTGACCCCATGACGTCCCCACCCTCCATCCTCGTCGCCCTCTCCTCCTGCGCGCTCGCTCCACGACGGATCATACAGCTTTGAGGTCGCTTGGGAGGTTGCAAAGTGAGTCGCGCCTTACTCGCGGGTTGCGGTCGGGCGCAGGGACAGCGAGTGGAGGACTCGGGGCCAACTCGCCGGCGACGTTGCGGAACGACGCTTGGGGCCGCGCTCGCTTGGGCTGTACGGGGAGGAGACGGGCTGGACACGAGTGCTGACGACCCTTATTACCGCCCAACAGCAAAGGTATGGCTTCTCCGCCTCGGAACCGTTCGCCGGACTAGGGATGACCCGCGCGGCGTCAGGGAGGGTGTGGGATGGCCGTTTCGCTGGTTGCAGGGTGCTCTGAGCCTGGGAGGGTATGACTAGCTTGGAGCGAAGCGGGTGGATGCCGCAGGTTGCTCGAGAACGGCTTGAAGGACGGAATGAGGGGAAACGCCTTGTTCGGCTCAGCTTGGCCGCCTGGAGGGCGCGCTATGGTCAGAGGAGGGCAACTTCCGCACCCTAGCCAAGCTATAGGCAAAGCCCCGCGACGCACCGCTGACCTCAATGGCACCTCGCAGTCGGCGGCATCTACACCGTCATCAAGACCAAGGCTCCGGTCACCTGCGCCGAGTATGGAGATCGATACACGCTCATGGGACCGCTCAGCTACAAGTCGGCGCCGATGGAGGTCGAGGCGATCGACTGGGAGAAGCCGACGCCCCTGAACGAGGGTGAGTCCTGCTATTCGTTCGCTGAGGTATCGGGGCTGACAAGTTACGGCGCAGATGGCACGCCTACGACAACCAACGTCGCGAACGCCGCGCTCGTCGGCACGCTCTCGTCGATGCGCGACCGGGGCGTCAAGTTCCTGTACGGCCGCTGGCTCATCGAAGGCGGCCCGAAGGTCCTCCTCTTCGATACGGGATCGGTCTGGAACCGCCTCGACGAGTGGAAGACGGACCTGTGGAACCTTGCGGGCATCCCGACTCCGGCCAACGACACCGAGACGAACGAGACGGTCCTCCTCGGGTACCTCGTCGCGTGGTTCCTCGGCGAGTTTTCGGCGCGGGAGAGGTCGAGGGCGATCGTGGCCCACTTGCACGAGTGGCAGGCTGGATTGGCGATCCCGTTGTGCAGGAAGCGTCACATCGACGTGACGACCGTCTTGTTTGTCCCGACGCTTCCTCGTTCGCGCGTCTCGTGGTGCTGACTCGCACTTCGTCGCACAGCACGACCCACGCGACGCTCCTCGGTCGCTACTTGTGCGCAGGCTCGGTCGACTTCTACAACAACCTGGCGTACTTTGACGTCGACCACGAGGCGGGCAAGCGCGGCATCTACCACCGGTACTGCATCGAGCGGTCGGCAGCACATTGCGCAGACGTCTTTACGACCGTCTCGCACATCACGGCGTACGAGGCCGAGCACTTGCTCAAGCGCAAGCCAGGTGCGTCCCGAGTTCCTGCCGATAGGAAAGCTTTGTATAGAGTTCGGCGTCCTGATTCCTCTGCATGCATGGATAGACGGCGTCACGCCGAACGGTCTCAACGTGACCAAGTTCTCGGCGATGCACGAGTTCCAGAACCTGCACGCCGTGTCGAAGCAAAAGATCAATGACTTCATCCGAGGTCATTTCTATGGCCATTACGACTTTGACCTGGACAACACCCTGTACTTCTTCACCGCCGGCCGGTACGAGTACAGGAACAAGGGTCTCGACATGTACATCGAGTCGCTCGCCCGTTTGTCTTCCCCTCGTTTCCCTCCTTCTCGACTTTAAGCAGCTTGACTGACGACGGTCTCGTCTTGCAGGTCTCAACCACCGCCTCCAGCAGTCGGGCACGAAGCAGACGGTCGTCGCCTTCATCATCTCGCCCGCCGCGACGCACTCGTACACGATCGAGGCGCTCAAGGGTCAGGCCGTGACGAAGCAGCTGCGCGACACGGTCACCGAGATCCAGAACCGCATCGGCGCGCGCCTGTTCGAGCGGACCGCGCGCTACAACGGCGAGCACGGCACCGAAGTCCCGGACCCCGCCGAGCTCCTCTCGACCGAGGACAAGATTCTCCTCAAGCGCCGCGTGTTTGCCCTCCGCCGCAACTCGCTCCCGCCCGTCGTCACGCACAACATGGCCGACGACGCGAACGACCCCATCTTGAACCAGGTCCGCCGCGTGCAGCTCTTCAACCGCTCGTCCGACCGCGTCAAGATCATCTTCCACCCCGAGTTCCTCAACGCCAACAACCCCATCCTCGGTCTCGACTACGAGGAGTTTGTCCGCGGTTGCCACCTCGGCGTCTTCCCGTCGTACTACGAGCCGTGGGGATGTGCGACGCGTTCTTCCTCCTGTTCGCGACTCTTGCTGACCGCCCGTCGCGTACGCAGACACGCCCGCCGAGTGCACCGTCATGGGTGTCCCGTCGATCACGACCAACCTCTCCGGCTTTGGCGGCTTCATGGAGGACCTGCTCGAGGACTCGCAGGACTACGGCATCTACATCGTCGACCGCAGGATGAAGTCGGTCGAGGACTCGGTCAACCAGCTCACCGACCAGATGCTCTCGTTCTGCCAGAAGACGAGGCGGCAGCGCATCAACCAGCGCAACCGCACCGAGCGCCTCAGCGACCTCCTCGACTGGAAGCGCATGGGTCTCGAGTATGCCAAGGCGAGGCAGCGTGCGTGGGCGGACACTCTTTCTCTCACAGTACTCGCTGCTGACCCGTTGTGCGCGCGCAGTCGCCCTCCGCCGCGCGTACCCGGACGCGTTCGAGGACGACGACTTTGACTTCGAGTCCGGCCAGGTCCGCCTCCCTCGCCCGCTGTCTGCCCCGGCGAGCCCGCGCTTCACGACGGGAGTTGTCACCCCGGGCGAGTTTGCCACCTTGACGGAGGAGATGCAGGGTCTCGGAACCTCGGACTACATGTGCGTCCATCTTCCGCTCGACCGTTCTCGTCCAGCTTGTTCCCATTCGCCGACTAACGCATCGTACCGGTCCGCAGGGGCGCACAGCAGACGTGGGAGTCGCTCATCCGCGGCAAAGACGAGGAGGAGGAAGAGTCGGGCTACCCGTTCCCGCTCGTGCTCAAGCGAAAGGGCGGTCCTGGCTCGGTTAGCGGCACGACCTCAGGAGGCTCAACTCCCGGGGGCATCTTCCCGAACGGTCGAGGCAAGTCGCTCAGCGAGCACGACCTCGCCCGAGCCGACGAGGCCCTTTCGAACCACTCGACCCAGTAGTCGCTCGTCGCTCTTCCACTCTAATGTCCCCATCGTTTCTTGTACCCACTTACTCGTCTTCCACCACCTCACATCCTGCACAAAAGCGCCAATGCCGTATGCTCCTCCTCCTCCTCAGCGTGGAATCCGGAGAGGCGAGGTCGAGTCTCCGGCTGTGTGCCACTCTTGCAGCTCTTCTCCTTCGCTATGCTTGCGTTGCTCGACGCAGTCGACTTCCCTTGCCGCTGTCGACGAGGTCCGCCGCACTCCGCGGATCACCTCTCTTTCCCCTCGACCGCTCACTTCGTACCGCTGGATTCCGCTTGCTTGGCTCAGGATCTGCTCAGAACGTCACTCGCGATGGACACACAGCAGGTGCGTCGACTCCGCACGCCCTCCGAGCGAGCAAGGAACCCCTTGCTGACCCGCTTCTCCCATCGCACACGCAGTCGTCCCCCCTGCTCCGCCTGCCTGTCGAGCTTCTCTACGCCATCTTCACCGACGTGTACGCCAGTCGCTTACTCAAAGGCCGTCTCTGCCGCGCGCTTCTCCATCTTCAGGACGACCTCTCGAAGCGCAAGTACAGGAGGGTCAAGCTCGTCGGCTCGCAGAAGCTCCTGCAGTACGCGCAGACGATTGAGACGAGGTACATGCTCGGGCGCGCTTGCGAGTCGATGACGATCACGAGCGACGAGCAGCGGCCGCACGACAAACTCACCGACGTCGACCTCGAGGCCTTCTTCGCCAACTTACCGAACTTGCGCCGCTTTGTATGCGACAGTACGCAACTCTGCGTCGCTTTCACCAGCCTCCTCAAGTCGCCCGGCAGGACGCCTTTTCCGCAACTCGAGGAACTCGACTTGTCGCCGCCCAAGTCACTGTCCTTCCCCGTGAACTCCCTTCTCAAGCTCTCCTCGCTCACCGACTTGGAGATTGTGAACTACCGTCCGGAGATCGAGGCTTCCGTCGATGTCGAGGATGAGGAGCCGATCCTGCTGCCTCGTCTCGCTTGAATCAATCTCGACCTTCTCGACGGCGGCGACCTTCGCGGCGTCATCCAGCACTTCCAGAGGACCTGCAACCTTCGTCGCCTCACTGTCACGTCCTTCCGGCCAAACGAGGAGTATCACGCGCTACTCAAGGCCGCAGGCGACCTCGGCACGATCAACGACCTCTCGCTGAGCGGGCCTAGCAAGAAGAGCTGGGAACTGACGGAGCACCTGCGCCCTTTCAAGCATCTTACGCACCTGGATGTCGGAGGTCGTTGCGCTTTACTCGACGCGAAGACTGCCGACTTCCTCCGCCGCCGGCCTCTCGCGTACCTTCGCTTCGGTCCCGGCGCCATCCTTTCGGCAAGTTGTCTTCTTGCAGTCGTTTCCGGAACCAGCAAACATCGTCATCTGAAGAAGCTTGTCCTGGACAACGTGTCAGCGAGGTGCGACGACTTTTGCAGCTGGGGTTGGTGGGAGGGTTCCGACTGGTGCGAGGCCTGCGACGGATACAGCTGCTTCTGCGATGATGGCTACCTCGAGTACATGATCTTTGCCTCGGACTGGCTCGACCACGGATACAGGCTTCCTCGCTGGACGAAGGCCTTCTCTCGCAAGGGTTGCGAGTCGCTCATCGCCGCGACCCAGACCGGGACGATCAAGCTCCTCGGCAGTGCAGTCGCAGCTGTTACCCTCGAGGACAAGATTCGCAAGAACCAGCAGTCTGTCGAGGAGTTCCTTCAAGGCTTGGACGCGAAGAGGCGTCGCATGTGGCGTGACCTTGGTTTTGCGGAACCTTGACGGTGTAGGAACGTTGGAATAGCATCTCGCTGTACCATACCTTGTAGTCGGTTTCCATCAGCTGAGAGCGGTAGAAAGCATCAAGCTTGTTCCTCAGCCTGACGAAGCCTTGGGCAGCTAAGGTATCCAGCGCATCAAAGGGTGACAGCGCAAAGAGTGAGAAGGTGCAGACGTCCGATGGACAGCGAGGAGTGCGAATGGGTGTCGCCGAAGCGCGGACGAAACGAGCTGGACCTTCCTCACCCGTGCGTTTCCTCCTCCTCGCCAGCGATCGATTCTAAGCAGGTGATAGCAGCTAGAAGCCAGCCAAAGAAGCAGCCTCTCCATAAGCGTCACAGTGGGCAGTCGCCCTCGCCGCGCAAACATGTGCGTCCAGCTTCCGCCTGACCGTCTCATACAGTTCGTTCCGCCGTGACTGACGCATCGTACCGGACCGCAGGGGCGCACAGCAGACGTGGGAGTCGCTCATCCGCGGCAAGGACGAAGAGGAGGAAGAGTCGGGCTACCCGTTCCCGCTCGTGCTCAAGCGGAAGGGCGGTCCCGGTTCCGTCAGCGGCACGACCTCGGGACTTACAACCCCCGGGGCACCGTTCCGAACGGCCGAGGCAAGTCGCTCAGCGAGCACGACCTCGCCCAAGCCGACCAGGCCCTCTCGAACCACTCGACCCAGTAGTCGCTCGACCGCCCGCTCCTCCTCCAATCCAGTCTGTATGCGCTGGTAGGGGTTACGTAGCTCTATAGCGTGTATCGCCGCCTTCATCAGCCTTAGCCAAACGGCGGCAGAGCCTGATACACTTTCTCCGCCCGTCAGGTGTCGACAGCGAGGAGCAAGCCGCAAGGAAGCCAGGGAAGCAGCGAGCAAGGTCCGGCGTCTTCAATAGAGTCGTCAAAGCGGTCCCAGCCTGTCTCGACGAGAGCGAGTGTGTGGTCGCTGTTCAAGGGACTTGATGAGGAGGCCAGCGAAGGGTTGGTCTCCAGCTCTCGCGCCTCGTCTCGCTCGACAGAACCTGAGCAGCTCGCGTCCAACAGTGCGCTTACGGTGACCCTATACAGCTCTTTCTGCGGCCGAACGAGCGGTGTGGCCTGGCGGTGTGACTGCGTCAATGCGGACGAACAATTCTCGGTGGGCGTGCTGTGGCGGAGGACTTGGGCAAGCTGAGAAGAATAAGGACGCACTAGGAGGATACACTGCCCAGCTTGCGGCCAGTCCAGGCGCGGTTAGGCAGCGGGACGAGATGGACTCGCTCGTCGGACCCAGCATACGCTCACTTCGGATCAGGAGAAAGGAGGGACAACTCTCGCTGACGGGCTTCTTTCGCCGCCGTGCAGTGTCTGGAGGCTTCAACCCGAACGCCAACACGTTCAACCCGAACGCCGGCTCGTTCGTCCCCGGCGGCGCACCCCCCTTCCAGCCCGGACAGCCCTACAACCCGTACGGCGCTCCTCCCCAGCAGGGCGGAAACCCTGCCGACTACTACAACCAGTACGCCGGCGGATACGGAGGCTACGGCGGTGCGTACCGATCCTGAGGCGACAAGCAGACGACTGAACTGACTTCCCTCTCCTGCAGCTCCGGCTGGCCAGTATGGCTACGCCCCGCAGGGCTACGGTCAGGCTCCGGCCGGCTACGGGGCCCAGGGCCCCTTCGCAGCTCGCTACAACGGCGGCGGCTTCCCCGGCCAGCAGCAGCAGCAGCGACCACCTCAGCAGCCCGAGACCCGCGCCTACGAGCCTCCTGTTCGCCAGCCTGCCGCTTCCTCTGCCCCCTTCGTCCGCCCTTCCTCCGACCCCAATGCTCCTCCTCCCTCGAAGCCGCCTACCATGTCGCTCAAGATCGGCGGTTCCTCCTCGTCCATCCCCGCTCCCAACCCCGACGCCAAGCCTGCGACCGTCTCCCTCAAGATCGGCGGCGGAAGCAAGGCTTCGACCGCTTCGTCGTCTTCTGCTGCCGCGTCGAAGAATGCGACTCCCGCGACTTCGAGCAAGGCATCGACTCCCGCCGCGTCCAAGCCTGGCACGCCCGTAGCGGGCAAGCCTGCTGCTGCCGCTGCGGCGGAGAAGAAGGCCGATGCTGCGCAGGCGAAGAAGGAGGACAAGGAGAAGAAGGTCGAGGCGAAGAAGGTCGAGGAGGCCAAGAAGGACGCGGTCGAGGCGGAGATCCAGGCTGCTGCGGACCAGGAGGCGCTCGAGGACCTGTACGGTGTCGAGGATGGTGCGTTCGCATACCACTCTAGGGAAAGCGCCGCTGACCCGCTTCCTCGCGCAGCCAAGGATGTCAAGCCGCACATGAACATCGTCTTTATCGGCCACGTCGATGCCGGCAAGTCGACGATGGGCGGCAACATCCTCTACCTGTGCGGCATGGTCGACAAGCGCACGCTCGAGAAGTACGAACGTGAGGCGAAGGAGGCTGGCCGTGAGAGCTGGTACCTCTCGTGGGCGCTCGACTCGACCTCGCAGGAGCGCGAGAAGGTGCGTCCCGTCGTGCGTCGTGTTCTGTGAGAGTACGCTGACGCCCCTGAACGTGTGCAGGGCAAGACCGTCGAGGTCGGCCGCGCCTACTTCGAGACCGACGTCCGACGATACACGATCCTCGACGCTCCCGGCCACAAGAACTTCGTGCCGTCCATGATCTCGGGTGCCGCGCAGGCCGACGTCGCCGTCCTCGTCATCTCTGCTCGCAAGGGCGAGTTTGAGACCGGTTTCGAGAAGGGCGGTCAGACGCGCGAGCACGCCATGCTCGTCAAGACCGCTGGTGTTCAGAAGCTCGTCGTCGTCGTCAACAAGATGGACGACCCGACTGTCAACTGGGACAAGGCGAGGTGAGGCTGCCTTTGTCGTTTCCGCCCGTCTCCTGACGCCATGCTGATCTCTCGCGCGCCCGGGTGCGCCCAGGTACGACGAGATCGTCACCAAGCTCTCGCCTTTCCTCAAGGGTACCGGCTACAACATGAAGACCGACGTCACTTTCATCCCCGTCTCTGGCTTCACCGGCGCGAACATCAAGGAGCCGGTCGACCGCAAGGTCGCTCCCTGGGTCGAGGGCACCTCGCTCCTCTCGTTCCTCGACGAGATGCCGCTCATGGACCGCAAGAACAATGCGCCGCTCATGATGCCGATCTCGGAGAAGTACGGCGACATGGGCTGCGTCGTTGTCGGCAAGGTCGAGTCGGGCAAAGTGCGCAAGAACCAAGACTTGCTCCTCATGCCGAACAAGACGCCCGTCCAGGTCGCCGCCATCTTCAACGAGATGGAGGAGGAGGTCTCGCTCGCGCTGTGCGGCGACAACGTCCGCATCCGTCTCCGCGGCGTCGAGGACACGGACGTCAACGTCGGGTTCGTCTTGACCGACCCGAAGAAGCCCGTCTCCGTTGTCACACAGTTCGAGGCCCAGCTCGTTATCCTCGACACCAAGAACATTATCACGGCTGGCTACTCGGCGGTCATGCACGTTCACACCGCTTCGTGCGTCCCCTTTTCCTTCTTGCGTCGCTCTTCTCCTGCGAGCGGGCTCGTACACCTGCGATGACAATCACGTCAGACTCTGAACGCGCGCTGACCTTCGATCTTGTCCTCACGCTTACAGCGAGGAAGTGACCCTCTCGGCGCTCCTGAACTACTACGACAAGAAGACGGGGTCCGCAGCGCTCTCTTTCTTGCTTCTCACGTGTATGCTGACACCGTGTGTTGACCGTACAGGCGGAAGTCGCGCAGGCCGCCTCAATTTGCCAAGAAGGGTGAGCCTCCCTCCTCCTCCCTTGTCAGTCACCTCGACCCGTGCTGAACCTCTCGCGGTCGCAGGCATGAAGATCATTGCGCGTATCGACGTCGCCGGACCGATCTCGCTCGAGAAATTCTCGGACCACCCGCAGTTGGGACGGTTCACCCTGAGGGACGAGGGAAAGACCGTGGCGATAGGCAAGGTAACGAAGACCCAGCAGGTAATCTCCGAGGAGGCACCGGACGTCGCCAAGCTCGACATCAACGCGGAGTAAGGTGTTGTCGTCATCGGGAACGCGGCGTCGTGAGGAGGACTTGTTGGCGAGGAGGAGGAGGACTTGAGGAGTACCGAGTTGCCGCCCGCGGCGGAGGGGCTTGTCTGCAACGGCTGGTCTCTTTCTTAGACTGTTTCATCGCTTTCCACGCGCTACTGGACCACAGCAAGCCATGAGAGCGATGTCGACCCTCCGCTTGCCAGCCGCCAAGTCCCTCCTCCTCACCACTTCACAACATCGCGCCAACCATGGTGAGCTGCAGCGCTCAAGCTCTCAGCTGACTTGTACTGACCAGTAGTGCCTCTACGCCTTTGCCCCGCCCCTCGCCGCGCCGTCGTCGCCGTGCTCCACCCCATTCTCATCGCACCCCTCCTCACGGCTTCGCAGGCACCCAAGCTCGCTGCGATCATTAACTACCGAGTGAAAGTCGTATTGAATGATTCGCGGGCGCTCGTCGGCCAGCTGCTCGCGTTCGACAAGCACATGAACCTCGTCCTCGCTGAGTGTGATGAGTTCCGCCGCGTCAAGCGCAAGGGTCAGGCGGTCAAGGCTGCCGAGGAGGACGAAGAGGAGGACGAGATGAAGCGCACGCTTGGGCTCGTCATCCTGCGCGGCGAAACGATTGTCACCTTGAGCGGTGAGTCGGGTCGCTACCAATCCTCAGATTCTGTTGGGCAAAGGGGGAGGCTTTCGTGATTGCTCGCACATATTGACACCACACACCGTCTTCCTCTGCAGTCGAGGGCCCGCCTCCCGCCATCGATGACAAGAACATCCCCGGGGTGAGCATTCCGCTTTCTGGTCGTCCCTCGCCTCACACGCATGATAACCCCGCTAACCCGTTATTTATACCTGCAGCTCACGCCGGGACCTGGATTTGGTGCCCCTGCTGGCCGTGGAATGGGTCTCGCCGCGCCCCCGACGATGTTTGTCCTGTCCTGTTTCCTCAACTCGACGGACTGGCGCGCTGACTCCGCCTTTCATCGCAGGCGACAAGCCCCTCAGACCTTTGCGCCTCCGCCTGGCATGCCCGGCGGCATGCCTCCTCCCCCGCCTGGCTTTGCCGCCCCTCCCGGCTTTATGCCTCCTCCGTACGTTTGTTCGCTGTCGGCCTCGAGCACAGTTTTCTTCGCTCCGCTTTCCGGAGCCTTAACTGATATTCTCTGTTGTCGCAGCGGCTTTGCTCCCCGATAAGCCACTCGCCTTTCGCCCACTTCAACCTCGACCTCCTCGCTCATCCGCCTTCCTCGATCTCCCTGCCACCTTCCTGTCTCTCTATCCGTCTCGCCTCACCTGTACAGGCTTTGGCGACTCGAAAACCGTTGTACAACACCTCGACTCGCTTGGACTCGTTGTCTGCCTTGCAAAAAAAGCTACTTTCAGCGTGACCTCCCGTTTGCCTCGTCTCTTCGTTCTGGAGCGTGCCGCTTCAGTCTAGCGTTCCCCAGACGGTGTACGGACACAGTACATGCTCTATCGCTCCACCTCGCGAATGTCAACTTGTCGAGGTCCGCTCTTTCACCTCTTCCTCGTCCTCATCGCACCATGTCGGCCGGAAGCAGCTCGGCGAGCGTCCCGAGCATCGACGAAATCGTCAAGGCCATCAGCACGACGCAACCCGCCGACCTCGAGCGCCAGCGTGAGTCGCTCACCCTTCCACCGCCCCACCTCGCAACAGACGATCACACCGTGCTGAACACGCCACTGACGGACCTGTACACGCTCCGACAGTCATTCCGCAACTCAAGAAACTCGACAAAGCTGCCTCTCACTCGCGCGCTTCAGGTCCCTCTGCTGCCTCGACCTCGTCCTCGTCGGCGGGGAATGCGGCTGGTGCGGGTTCGAGCGGGGCAGGACAGGCGGGACATGTGCTCGAGGGGATGCTCAAGGATGGGAGGGACCCGCTGGACGTGCTGGACGCTACGTCGCACTCGGTCGGGTACCTCTGGATCTTGTGCGTGCTCCTCCAGCGCATCTTTGGCTGCTAGTAGTTCTCATCGGCAAGCCACTGATCTACGGGCCTGGTGGCATGACAGGAACGCTCGACTCGTCTCGACCAGCCGCGCCGAGCTCCCCAAGATGGTGCAGAAAGTCAACGACTGGGTGTCGGCTTCCGACGTCGAGCAGGCGAGGCTGGTGCCGGAGCAAGGCGAGTCTCCTGCGTCTCCTGCTGCTGTGCTACATCTCCCTCTTCGCTACGAGAAGGGGGCGCTAGACTGTTTCGTGCAATCCGCTGACGCCTCAGTCGCTCGCAGTTGACTTCCTCGCCAAGCAGCTGTGCACGCTCGCCGAACATTCGCGCCAGGTACGTCCGCCGCACAGATGCCGACTCAACGCGCTGTAGTGTGTCTATCGGGTTCACTTTCAGCTGGCTGACATACTTCTCCGCTTTCCTTCCGCAGGCCTCGCTCCCGCTCCAACCGCTCAACACGCTCCTCACCCGCTTCCCGCTTCCCGGCCACCTCACCTCTCTCCATACACTCTTTCTTCGCGTGAGTCGCCACCTCTCCGTCACTTCTTGCGTTGTGAGCTCGCGCTGACGGTCCTCCTCCTGCCGCAGTGCGTCATGGCCAGCCACATGTACCCAGCCGCACAAGAGGTGCTCTCGAGGGACATCACCGACGTCGACAAGTCGGTGCGTCCAGCCTCGATCAGCTTTGGCCGTTCCCTCCTAAAATCGGACGGCCTCCATTACACCGAAGTTGATGTAAGGACTTGATCTACAGCTCTTCCCTATCCGCTATCAAGACCACCTGCTCTACCACTACCTTGGCGGAACGATCCTCGCCCTGCTCGGCAACTACGCTCGCGCGGCTGACTTGCTCGAAATCGTGAGTCGCAAACCGACTTGGCCTTGAGCTAATGCGCACCAATGACGGCGCGCTGCTCGAGTCCGCTTCAGTTTGCAGCTTACTAAGCCGGCTTCTCGCACAGTGCGTCTCGGCTCCCAGCTCGTCAGCCAGCTTGATCCAGATCGACGCGTACAAGAAGCTCGTCCTCGTCCAGCTGCTCGCGTACGGCAAGGTGCGTCTCCACTCCTACCTCTTGCAGTGTACCTGCTCACAGATCCTCCCATGCGCAGACCCAAGCTCTCCCCCGCTACACCTCACAGGTCGTCCTCACCGCCGCCAAGACGCTCTGCGCACCGTACCTCGAGTACTGCAGTGCGTTCGCGAGCTTGAACAGGGAAAGGGTCGATCAGGCGAGGGAGAAGGGCAGGGAGGCGTTCGAGAAGGTGCGTTAGCTGTTGCGTCGTCTTTGCGGTCCGCCGTGCTTCATGAGCTGTGTGGTCCGCTTGTTGAACACGTACGAGGACTAACGCTCCCGTCTGGATCAGGATTACAACTCTGGCCTCGTGGCCTTCTGCGACGAGTCCCTCCGCCGCCGCCAGATCCAGAACCTCACCGAGACGTACATCACGCTCTCGCTCGGACAGATCGCTTCGTACGTCGGGCTCGATGCGACGAGCGAGCGCGATCTCGAGATCGTCAAGGGCGAAGTCGAGGGAATGGTGAGTTGGCCAGTTGTCTCGACGGCATCGCTAGAACCGCAGTCTCGTCTCGCCGTCGCTGTAAACGATAGCTGACACGCTCTCCCTCGCTGCAGATCACCTCGAAGCAGATTTACGCCGAACTCTCGCCCTCGACCGACCCTTCCGCCTCTCTCGCTGCGACGACCGTCACCTTCACCGACGACCCCGAACCGTACCTTTCGCACGAGACCGTCGCTCGCGTCACGCAGGCGATTGAGAAGGCGCAGGTGTTGCAGCAGAGGTGGGACAGGGAGCAGCAGAAGGTTGAGGCTAGCAAGGAGTTTGTTACCAAGGTACGTTCGCGGTGCTTGCCTGTCACGATATGCATGCTGCCGAGCGCATGGGCTGACTGGGTATTGCCGCTGGCGGTACAGGCCTGGTCTGCAGCTGCCAGTGGCGCATCAGCCGCAGCCGGTGGCGCATTCGGCAGCATGGGTTTCGGGGACGACATCGACTTTGGCTCGACGGGCGGCAGCGGGATGCCCGGCGGAATGGAGTGGGTCGACAAGGGCGACATCATCGAGATGGACAGTGATTGAGCGGCGGAGACGGACGCTTGAGGAGGAAGTAGGCGTGTTTGACTGTACCATACCCTTCGCAACTTGCAGTTCAGTTTGCATCCGCTTCCAGTTACAGTCGTTGGGCAGCCTCGTCGTCGCCGTCCGGATCCAGCGGTACACACGCGAGCGGAGCGATGGGGGACACAAAGGGTCGCTATTCCTGCGCAGACTACGGCTACAATCACTTCCCCGCGGTTCTCAGAAGTACGACTGCTCCATATCCTCGAGGAGCTTGACCTGCTTCGGCGCCCATCCAAGCTCCGCTTTCGTCTTCTCGCTGCTCGTCAGGTTGCTGAGCGAGGCGAACATGCCGAGGAAGCCAAAGTGCGGTCCCGCCTCCTCGCGCGAAATGCTCTTGACGGGGACGTTGAGCTTCTTGCCGATGACGCCGGCGATGTCCTTGAAGGGAATGCCCGACTCGGCGACGGCGTGGTAGACGGATCCGGCGGTACCTTTCTCGAGAGCGAGGCGGAAGACGATGGCTGCGTCGTCGCGGTGGACGGCGGGCCAAACGTTCGCGCCATCTTCGACGTACGCTGCGACGCCCGACTCGCGAGCCTTGGCGATGAACCTGGGGATGAAGCCTTTGTCGCCGGCGCCGTGAACGGTCGGAGTGAGGCGCACGACCATGGCGCGGACGCCCTGCTTCGCGAGCTCGTACGTCGGGAGCTCAGAGTGCATACGATGCATCCAATCGGCGCTGAGAGGATACGGGTCGTCCTCTTTGAAAGGCGAGTCGACCTTCCTGTCGGACAAGCCGAGTACGACGCCCGTGCCAGACGTGACGACGAGCGGCTTGTCGGTACCGACCATCACGGACCCCATCGCGCGGACGAGGTCGCCATCCTCGACGCAATTCTCCTTGTACCGGGAGAAGTCGTGGTTGAAGGCGAGGTGGATGACCTGTAGGCATTGCGAGGGTCAGTGGCGCCTCACGGGGATTGTGGGTGCACTACGCACGCCGTCAACCTTCTTGACCGTCTCCTTGACGAGTTCATGGTCGGTCATCGAGCCCTCGACAACTTGAGCGCCCAAGTCACGGAGTTTCTGCGCCGATTCGGGAGAGCGGGCGAGACCGAGGACTTGGTGGCCGTTGGAGAGGAGCTCCTTGGTTACAGAGGTGCCGACGAAGCCAGAAGCGCCAGTAACGAAGACGAGCATGCTTGGACGAAGTCGAGGATGTGCGTGAGGAGAGGTGAGCGAGCGAGGCGAAGCGGTGTGAGGGTTCGCAGGCGAGGTGAGCTTGTGAGATGCGTGAGAAAGAGCAAGAGCAAGAGCAAGAGCTGTTCAAGCCTTTGAGCGCTTCATCGAGCGGTGTGGAGGCGAAGGTTCGGAAGGTCCGAACTCCGCTGTCGGCGCACACGGCGGACTACGGGCACGGGAGCAGGTCGGGAGTTTCCAGAGGAGTACGCTGGGCGTGTCAGCTAGGCCTGCGAGCGCCGATGCAGCGAGAGGGCGAGCGGAAGGAGGGAAAGAGAGGAGAGGCTCGCGCGGGCGGAGGCAACGCAGGGCTTCGGCGAGTTTGCTCGCGTCCTTGCTGTTCTGGGCGGTTCACACTCAGTAGAAACGAAGGTCGCCGTCCAAGTTGCGACGAGGTGCGAGGATGCGAGAGAAAAGGCAAAAAGACGAGAAACGCGACGGCCGTTGCAGGACTTCTACAGCTCGGATCCACAAAACTGTCAGAAGTACGACCCGCTCTCGAGGTCCTCCAAGAGCTTCACCTGCCGAGGCACCCATCCAAGCTCCGCCTTCGTCTTCTCGCAGCTTGTTGGGTTGTCGAGCGAGGCAAAGTGACCGAGGAAGCCAAAGTGCCGGCCTGCTTCTTCAACGGGGATGCTCTTGACGGGCACGTTGAGCTTCTTGCCGATGGCACCAGCGATGTCCTTGAACGGGACGCCCTGCTCGCCGACGGCGTGGTAGGCGGACCCGGCCGTTCCCTTCTCCAACGCGAGACGGAAGACGGCGGCCGCGTCGTCGCGGTGCACAGCCGACCAGACGTTTGTGCCGTCGGCGACAAAGGCAGAGAAGCTGGCCTCGCGAGCCTTGGAGATGAACATCGGGACAAAGGCATGGTCGCCTTCGCCGTGAACAGTCGGGGCGAGCCGCACGACCATTGCTTGCACGCCCTGTTTGGCGAGCTGGAAGGTGGAGAGCTCGGAGTGCATGCGTGGCCGCGAATCGGCGCTGAGAGGGTAAGGGTCGTTCTCCTTGAACGGCGCGTCGCCAGGCTTGCGAATCGCGGAAGGGGCGGTCGTGCTTGATGCGACGACCAACGGCTTGTCCGTGCCGATCATGGCAGATCCAATGGCGCGGATGAGCTCGCCGTCCTCGACGCAGGAGTCGACGTAGCGAGAGAAGTCGTGGTTGAAGGCGAGGTGGATGACCTGCAGGGATTGTGAGGGTAAGTAAGCGCGCTCTTGGGAGCTGAAGAGTGAAACGCACGCCGTCGACCTTCTTGACAGTCTCCTTGACCAGCTCGTGATCAGTCATCGAGCCCTCGACGACTTGTGCGCCCAAATCGCGCAACTTCTGCGCCGACTGAGGAGATCGCGCGAGTCCCAAGACTTGGTGGCCGTTTGCGAGAAGCTCTTCGGTGACGGCGGTGCCCACGAAGCCAGATGCGCCGGTGACAAAGACGAGCATGGTTGAATGAGCGAGAGGAGGGTCGGTTGGGAGAAGTGGGCAAGCGCTGAGGAGGGCAGGGCGGGCTAGAGGGCGAGCTGGATGAAGTAAGCGTGTGCTGAGCAAGCAGAGAGCAGAGCGCGATGCTGCCATCGAACTCGTGCTGGATGAAGTGGAGGCCGTGGAAAGTCCGAAGTCCGCCAACGTCAGCGTACACTGCGGTCAATGAGAGCAGCTGACGAGGGCATGAGTGGTTTGAGGCAGTGGCTGAGCATGCCAGCTAAGCCTGCGAAGGGTCGTGGCGTGAGGAAGCGAGCGGGAGGAGGTGAAGAGCGGGTTGGCGCGGGCGAACGACTCCCAGTGAGTGAGCGGTCTTTCCTGCAGATCTTCTGCTGTAGTTGCTCGCAGGTGTCTAAAGCTCGCTCATGCCGTTAGCGGCGGAGTTGAGAAGCGAGGCGTCAGTCGGCAAGGTCGTCTCGAGGCTCTCGAATCGAACATGCAAAGATAACCCAAGTCGATGATGGCAGGTACACAATACAGGTACAAGCACGACTACTGTAGCTAGCCGAAAGATTGACTCGAGCGCGTCGCCCTCTTGAGCTTCGACAGACGCCAGGCGTCCTGGTGCTCGGCGTACCTGCAGGTCAGAAGCAGGTCAGCATTGGTGCTCCGGATGATTGCGAGGGTTGATGAAGCGAGTTGAAGGAGCGATGCCAACCGAGCAGGCTAGCTTAAGCATCCTTGAGACGAGCTCGACCAGGAAGAGCCACTGCCTCGACTTCCACCGCACCAACACCCGCCTTTCCCGCTTATTCGAACGAAAGAGGAACTCCCGGACGCACTTGTCAAAGAGAGGCTGAATCTTCTCCTGCTTCTTGCGCTTCGAGATCGTGTTCTGGTCGGCGACCTTGAAGAAAGCCGGCGCGACCTCGACAAGCCACTTGGGTTCGATGGCGGTCACCTCGCGCATGTACTCGCGGCTGCAAAGCAAGCATCAGTTATGTGATCCGTACGAAGCGAGAGCGCGAAGACTCACGTCGTCAAGACGAGCTCGTGGTAGACACACCACTCGGGCGCGCGGTTGAAGAGCGCCGACGACGGGTGCAGGAAGACGGGCGTTCTGCGGGCGAGAATGTGTCAGCATACTCCGTAGAAGATGCGCAACAGGCAGTCTCGGCACGCACCCCTCGACGAGCGTCTTGTACCCTTCCTGCGGGTCCTTCTTGGCGGCGTGCCGGAAGTAGCCACTCGTAATGGCACGACGTACGCGGTTGTAGTTCTTGCCGCACGAGAGGATGTCGTGCTTGTAGCTGCGAGAGAGGGGGCGTCAGGCTCGGCGCGGGAAGCGAAGGCAGGGCGACGAAACGCACCGATCCATGATGCCGAGGAGCTGCTTGCGGACATCCTGCGCGCGACGCATAGCACGACCCTGGATAAAGTTCTCCGAGCACCACGGGTTGCTGGAAAGTGGAGGAGACAGCGCGTCAGCGAGACAGTCGCCCACAAGCCAATTCGCGCGCACGCACCTGAACTTGGACGCCGCCCAGCCGTTGTACACAGTGAGCAGGGTGAGGTGGTCGCCTTCGGGCTGGTGGAACTTGGCCTTCTTCGCGTCGGCCTGCGCCTGCTTCTCCTTCGGGCGGTAGAAGATGGTGCCGCCGACCGAGAGCATCGCGACGATGGTGAGGATCTCCTCCGAGCACTCGAGGTCGACCGACGCGATGAGCATCTTGGCGAGAGGCGGTTCGATCGGCAAGTCGGCCATCTTGCGTCCGAGGCGGGTGAGGAGGCCTTCCTCGTCGAGGGCCGACAGGGCGTACAGGTTCTCGAGCGCCGTGATCATCGTCTGCTGAGGCGGCGGGTCCATAAAGTCGAAGTTGAGGAGGTCGTTGATCCCCATCGCCTTCAACATCAGAATCGTATGGGCGAGATTCTGACGCTGGATGTCGGGGATGCTGTTGGGCAGCATCTCGTTCCGGTACGCCGCCTCCGTGTACAAGCGGTAGCACTTGCCCGGTCCCGTCCGTCCTGCACGTCCCGCACGCTGCCGAGCCTGCGCTTGCGAGATGGGCGTGACGATGAGCGAATCCATCCCGAGTCGGGGGTCGTACGCGTTCTGCTTGACGAAGCCCGGGTCGACGACGTAGTAGATGCCGTCGATCGTGAGCGACGTCTCGGCGATGTTGGTGGCGAGGATGACCTTGCGTGCGCCGGGCGGGGCGGGCTCGAAGATGCGCGACTGCATCTCGGACGGCAAGGCGGAGTAGATCGGCAAGATGATGAGGTCGGGCACGTTCGGACCGAGCGACTTCATCCGCTCGTACAAGATCTCGCACGACGTGTCGATCTCTTCTTGTCCAGTCAGGAAGAGGAGGATGTCGCCGGGCGGCTCGGAGAGGTGGATCTGCATGATCGTGATGAGGGCGGCGTCGAGGTAGTCGGGCTCGGGCTCCTTCGTGTACAAGATCTCGACGGGGAAGGTACGGCCGGGGATGGTGAAGATGGGGCAGCCGAAGAAGTACTCGGAGAACTTTTCGGCGTCGAGCGTGGCGGAGGTGACGATGAGCTTGAGGTCGGGCCGGCGCTTCAGCGATTCTGCGGGACAGGATGCGTCAGCAGTGCGCTCATCTGACCTCAAAAGACGCAGACCCACTCTTGAGGAGACCAAAGAGGACATCGGTCGCGATCGTACGCTCGTGGGCCTCGTCGAGCATGAGGACGCTGTACTGGCTCATGTCGGGGTCGACGAGACACTCTCGCTGGAGCATGCCGTCCGTCATGTACTTGATCTTGGTCTCGGGACTCGTGCAGTCCTCGAAACGGATCGTGTAGCCGACCTCCTGGCCGAGCCGGCATCCGACTTCTTCGGCGACACGCTTGGCGACGGACATGGCCGCCACACGACGAGGCTGGGTGCAACCGATCTTGAGACGGTCGGCGTAGCCCGCTTCGGCGAGGTACTGCGTCATCTGCGTCGTCTTGCCCGAGCCGGTATCGCCGACGACGACGAGGACCTGGTTGTTCGCAAACGCCTCGATGAGCTGGTCGCGGAACTTGTAGATGGGCAGACTCTTGCGCTGGTCGGCGATGCTCATGCTGGTGATCTTGCCGAACGTCGTAGCCGGGTTGAACGTGTCCTTCTTCCACGCCGGGACGTCTTTGGCGCGCTGGCCCGCCGCCTGACCCCTCGCGTCCGCCGCGAACGCCCGCTCGTGAGGAGCCGTCATCGGGTCGAGCCAAGGGGTGTTGACGTCCCTCGCCTCCGAGTCCGCCTGGTCCGACGCCTCCTGCGCCTTGAGCTCCCTCCGCTCCTTCGCCAAAGCCGCACCCGCCATCGCGGCCCTGTTCATGGTACCGTCCGGCGCTTTGACAATCTTGACAGGCGATAACTCGAGCGCGCGTTTAGTCTGGCCAGCGAGGAAAGGCGCCTCTGCCTCGTTGATCTCGACATCGAGTTCCTCGTCCGCTTCGTCGACGAGACTCTTCCCGCCCGGCCCTGTCTCGAATCCGCTGTTGATGTACTCGTCGTCGAGACCGGGGTAGTCGGCTGCGCTCGCTGCGCCCGAGGCGATGAGCTGCTTGATCTCCCACCGCTCGGGCGAGGTCATCCGCCGAACCGAGGCCGTGCGGTTGTCGTCGGCGAAGCTCTTGCGGACGGCAACTCCGTTCGCGCCCGTTGCTGCGCGCTCAGCCGCCCGGCGAGTCTCCTCGAACAGCTCTTCCTCGGTCTTGATCCGCAGGTGAGGCGACAAGTCGGCGCCGGTTCGCTGGTCTGCGTCCTTCATCGAGAGCGAGAGACGGTTGCCCGCGACCGACATGACCTTGACAAAGACGGACTGTCCGCGCGCGAGGAGGTCGGAAGGGTGCGAGACGCGTCCGGTCGAGATCGAGCCGATATGAACCATGCCCTCCGCCTTGCCCTGCACGCCTTCGAGCGTGACGAACGCGCCGAAATCCTTGATGTTGGCGACCCGACCCTTGTAGATCTTGTACAAGACGGGCTTCTCGTCGAGTCGGCCGGGCCCTGCGCCGCCTGTCCGCCCGTCGCGACCGTACCGCCCTCGATCGTCTTCGCCGTGGCGCGACGAGCCGCCGCGCCCGCGGTCCCCGTAGCCGTTGTCACGCTCGCGACCGCCTCCGCCTCCTCGCCGCTCGTAGTCGGGCGAGCGGTGCCTCTGCCTCTTTGCGTCCGCTCCTCCGTCCCGCCTGTCGTCGTCCTCCTCAGGCCTCGTCGCGCGCTTCCTGACACCCTCAAGCTGCGCCATCAAGTCATCGACGCCCATATTGTCCTCGTCCCTGCTCCGGAGGTCATCACTGACGCCTTTGACGTCCGCCGGCTGACCCATCCGCATCTGTCGCTCCTTGACTTCCTCCGGGTTGTCGGCGCGATAGGACGGCTGCCACTCGGTATCGGGCATGGCGAGTCCGGGAAACAGTCGGGCTTGTTTCTGCTTCTCTTCGCTCAGGACCGCCTTCTCACCTTCTTCCTTGCCCTTGCCTTTGTCCTTTGAAGAGGAGGACTTGGACTTGAGCTTGTATTTTGGGTGCATCGAGAGGATGAGGCGGTCAACGGAGGAGAGGAACGAGTCGGGAAAGTCGGCGCCCACGTCGCGGCATTTCGACTTGAAGGTGTTGAAGTCTTTTGAGTCGCCGTGCAGGTGGATCAGGAACTCGGCGAGAGTCGAGTCTGCGAGGGGAGAGGGTCAGTCGGGGGTGACTTCGGATGGTGGGAAGAGCACGGGCGAGAAAGCGCGCCGCACCTGAGAGACCGGTGTAGTTGACTAGCTCGTTGGTTATGCTGTTGACGAGAGAGAGCAACTCGAGCTTCTCGAGCTCGTTGGCCATGGTGGCGCCTTGTCGAGGGAGGTGAGTGCCGGTCGACGGCGGCAGGACACGGGCGGGGGCGGTTCGAGTTGGAGGGTGTAGCTGGAGTTCTGCTCAGTACTGCCTGAGTCGAAGCAGCGGTCCCACGAGCGGTGTGAGCGGGCGAGCGGCGAGAGCGATGAGAGCAAGACCGGACGGGGCGAAGTTGCGAGGTCGCTGCCTTCGACACCTTCTGCCTGGCTGAAAACAACTGCAAGTGCTGTAATAGTACATGACTTAATTTACCAGCACCGGCACGAGCCACCAGGAGCGGTGTAAGCGAACTTACTCGCAGAAAATCAGCCAGCGCCTGGATAAATCCGCCGAGTGGCTGGTACTGCACAATAGAATGTATTTTAGCAGTACAGTACCAGAATGAAGCACCTTGGCGGGTGTCCCGGATCGACTTTGGCGTCGAGGCGCGGTCTCCGTCTTCCCGCCATCCTCCCCTCGCTCACTCTCCCTCTTTGACACGATGAGCAGCTCAAAGAACGTCATCCTCGTCCCCGGTGGAACAGGTGCGTCAGCCCAGTCCAGCTCCCGTCCCGCCACGCGCCGCCGCCGTCGAGTTCTCACCCTCGCTCGCTTCCCGCGCAGGCCTCGTCGGCGCCGCCATCGACTATGTCACCCAGCACGAGCCTGTCGGGTCACGCTACGGCAAGTTTGCAGAGGACGACCAATGGGTCTTCCTCAGCAGCAAGGACGGAGACTTGAGGTGAGCTGGACGGACCACCGGGAGCGAACACGGGAGTCGCTCGCAACGACGCGACGGCGGGCGCATGGGGGCTCGGCTGCACGCTCAGTGTGTTCAGTAGGATGGCTCAGGACTGCTGGGACGCGCACGCTGCTCTTGGACCCGCCACCACCGACTCTCGCCTGCTCACCTCACCCGCTCCTCGTCGACTTTCCTTTACTGACCATGCCTTTCGACGGCCATTCACGACGACAGGGACCTCGCGCAGACGATGGCCATCTTTGAAAAGTACAAGCCGACGCACGTCATCCACCTTGCTGCCCTCGTAGGTGGACTGTTCAAGAACATGAAGTACAAGGTGCGTCGTTCGCTCCTTCTGGCTCAGGCTCGCATTTTTCGGGAGCTGCAATTGCTGCATGCTCTAGGAGGATCGCGAAACGCGAAGAAGAAGGAGCGCTTGGCTGACGAGGCTATCTCGCGCAGTTGACTTTCCTCCGCGACAACCTCCTCATCAACGACAACGTTCTCTGGGCATCGAAGGAGCACGGCGTGCGTCCGCGTGCTTATCCTATCCTCGACAAATTGCGCTAATTCGACCCTCCTCGACCTACAGGTGAAGAAGGTCATCTCGTGCCTCTCGACCTGCGTCTTCCCCGACAAGGTCTCCTACCCGATCGACGAGTCGCACGTGCACCTCGGCCCTCCTCACTCGTCCAACTTTGGCTACGCACACGGAAAGCGTCTCGTAGACGTCTACAACCAGTTGCGTCTCCCTTCCTCCCTCCCTCCCTCTTCTCCCTCAAGCTGACGATTGGGAACAGCGCCTACAACGAGGAGTTTGGCTGCAACTTTACTGCTGCGATCCCGACTAACATTTTCGGACCGCACGACAACTATGACCTCGAGGACTCGCATGTCATCCCTGGGTTGGTGCACAAGTGCTACCTCGCCAAGAGTGCGTCTCGGTTCCTCTCGCCTCGTGTCTTCTCCGTTGCTTCCCCGCAAGGAGAAGCCGGTGGAGTGGGCTTCTCCGCAGAGGTGAACTGACACCCTGTCCGCTCGTCCCGCAGAGAACGGCACCCCCTTCACCGTTTCCGGATCTGGCACGCCCCTCCGCCAATTCATCTACTCTCGCGACCTCGCAAAGCTCTTCATCTGGCAGCTCAAGGAGTACCCCGAGATCGACCCCATCATCCTTTCCGGTTCGTCCCATCCCACCTCCTTTCGCGGGCGGAAAAGGTACTGATGAGTTGTGTGTGGGCTGCAGTTGGCGAGGAGGACGAGATCACGATTAAGCAGGTTGCCGAGTCGATCGTCAAGGCTGTTGGGTTCCAGGGAGAGGTGACGGTGCGTTCGACGACCTTGCTTCCCGCTAGTTCGTGAGATCACTCGCTGACGGTGCCTCGGGTCGGTTTTGCACGCACAGTGGGACAGCTCGAAGGCAGACGGCCAGTGTACGTCTCCCCTGCCCACTTTCCCCTCTCCCGCCCGCTCGCTAACGCTCTTTCACTCGCAACGCAGACAAGAAGACTGCCTCGAACTCGAAGCTTCGCAAATACCTCCCCGACTTCCAATTCACCCCCTTCGACGTCGCGCTGCAAGAGTCGGTCGACTGGTTCGTGCAGAACTATGACAAGGCCCGGACTGGAGCCGCGGCGAAGAAGCAGTAGACGCCCATCGCCCCTCCCAGGTTCGCTTGGCATTGGTCATCGTTTGTATACTCTCTGGGTCGCGACGTGTTCCTTGCGAAGACGGCGTAGAATCGTAGACTTTTCCTTCCATTCCTTCTTTTCGTCGCCTTGCATTTCTCGTTTGCTCACACTCTGCTTCTCGTCCCGCTCGCTCACGCTTCTCGTCAAGCGTCAGGAGCTTCAATTACGATGCGTCTGCGTTATCCAGTACTCCCCCGTCCGCCGTCCCAACTACGCCTTCTCCCATCATCCTTTCACCAGCACGCCCACCGCTGCAGCTTCATCTGCCAGTGTCACTCATCTCGCTCCGCTTTTTTGAGCTCCTTAACACGCCGCTCGACCACGCGCAGCGTATCGAAAACGCTGCAGTCGACGAAGAAGGCTTCCCTGATTGAGCCTGTCGACTCGACAGACTCGACGCGTGCTGCGTCACAGAGGTTGACCCAATGAGTGATTGAGAAGCTCGATGGGAAGTAGACGAGCTCATAGCCCGTCTTGAGCCATTCTTCGAGTTCCGCCTCTGGAGCCTCCTCCTCGTCGATGTCTCGACAGAATCCGGGTCCGAGGTTGTCGAGATTCAGTGAGCGGAGGGTAGGGAATTTTGTGGGGCCGGTGATGAGCTTGAGGAGGTGCGAGCCGGAAGGCTTCGTCTTGGGACCGAAGGAAAGCGATTCGAGAGGATGGCGGCGAAGCAAGTTGTACGTCGGTGCTCGTCTCGCGGTACAGCCGTGCGCGAGCGAGAGCTTCGTCAACCTCGTGAAATGCGCTACCTCCTGCGGCACCTTCCATCGCCCGGCGGCAAGGGGCGCCCTCGAGGGTCAAGTCGGTGACGCTTCCGAGTCGAGCGGCGGCTTCGAGCAGGCGGTGGAAGTTGCGCTGCCGGACGTAGTCGTGTACTTCGAGCTGGCGCAGGGCGGGAGAGGCTTCGATGATGCGGGTGATGCCGGTCAAGTCGTGCACGATGCGGAACTTGAAGGAGAGGTAGCGGAGGGAGGGGAACGAAGGGGCTGGATAGTCATTGGCACCGCGACTCAGGTAGGAGATCGTAATGGAGAGGCGCTCGAGTCGGTGGAAAGGGTAGAGACCTTCGATGGGAAACGGGGAAGAATAGTCGACCTGGTCGGAAGATGTCAAGGCGAGGGTCCGCAGGTCGGGTAGCCGCTTCTCGTCTTCAAGTCCCGATGCCGCGTATTCAGAGAAGTTTGTGACGAGAGCTGAGCCTGTAAGGTCGAGTTTGACGAGGTTCGGGAGGCGAGGAAGCAAGTTGCGAAGGTCGACAGGCGGGACGTTGTCGAGGAAGCGTCCGCCCTCCTGCGTGACCGTCAGCGACTCGCACAACTCGCCCACGATGGGTCGCCATTGGACAGTCCGACCGTAGTCGAGGAGCGCTTCCGGCTGTCGAATCTTGACTCGCTTGTGCCGCTGGCGAGAGAGGCTGTCGAAGAGAGGCAGGAGCGCGCGGCAGAGTGGGCGAGTCGGCGGTGCGTCGTTGCAGGCGTCATCGAAGATCTGCTCGAGGAGCTCGACAGGCAGTCCGAGCAGTGGCGAAGCCTGCGGGAGGAGTTGACAGGCGAGGTGAGCGGGCGTTCCGGAAACGAAGGGGCGGCTCGGAGGGACTCGCCTGTGCTGCAGGGACGCTAGCCAACCCGATCAGAGCCATTGCGAGCCAAGTAAGAAGATAACAGCGGAGAACGAGCGAAGTCGAGGAGGAAGAGGAGACAAGGAGCGAGAAGGGAACAGGGCGACAAGCCAGCCGCCTTTCCTTCGCTGTCTCGTAGCGTCACAAAGCGCACTCCAAGAAGCTTCGCACACAAGCAAGCGGTGGCGAAGACTCGAGGAAGAAACAAGCGATGCGCGATGCGATTCCAACATTCCTCCCCCGCTGCCACTGCCGCCACCCTTCGAACCGTCCACGAACTCAAGTCTCCGTCTGGAGGATGTCTGCCAAGTCGAATTCCGCCAGACGCCTCAAGACACGCCGCTTCCTCGAGTTGATGCGATCCTCAATCTTCGCCGCCCTGACCGCGCCTCCCGAGAGCGTCACGCCTTCGCGGATCGCTGCCTGCTGCATCTGTTGACAGCCTGCGCGTGAGAAGTCGTCGGTCCACTTCGGCAATGCGTAGCCCTCCTCGAGCCAGGTCTCGAGAGCGGCGCGGTCAGCCTTGTTGATCTTGATAGGGTCGCATCGCGCGCTGACGGTCTCGACCATCACCTGCTTAAAACTAGCAGGCTTGCCAGGACCGCTGATGAGGTCAGTGATGGAGCTGAAAGACATCAGGGCGCCCGCGCAGATGCGCAGATTCTCGAGGGGGAGTTGGCGCAAGACGTCGAGCGAGGTATCGGAAGTCGTGTATTGCGCGCCCAGAATCAATGTCGTAAGTTGCTTCAAGCTGATCAACTCGCCCGGAAGCTGCCAAGCTTCGCTGAACTTCTTCCCATGAAGCGTGAGCTTGCAGATTGAGTGGAGGTTGGTTTCTGCGACGATCAGGTTGCGCAGCACTTCGTTCGGTGGTCTTCCGATAATTTGAAGCGACTGCAAGGCGGGACTGGCGTTGATGAGCTGGGAGACGCCTGCAAGGTCGCCAGCGACGTCGCATTGGAAGGCAGTCATTGCGGGCAGCTGAAACTTCTGGCCACGCCGCAGCTTGACGCTGAATGTAGGAAGCGTCATGCGAAGGGATTCGATGGTGGGGAGCTTGTTCAGCCCTTCTACCGAGAGGGCAAAGGGAAAGTCTGCTTGCTCGGGGTAGGCGATCAAGGCGAGAGCTGAGAGATTCGGCAGCGCAGGATCGCCGCCGTACGACAGGTACGCCAGGAAGCTGCTGACGAGCTGCAGACTGGCGAGTTCGAGTGTGCGCAGGTTCGGCAGGGCGGAGAAGACGTTCCATGGGTCGCTCGGCGGAATCATGCCCAAGAGTCGGCGTCCGGGGTTGGCGACCTTGAACGACTGGCACAGCTCGCCGATGGTGGGCCTAAGAGCAAGGCTGAGGCAGAAGGCGGAGATCGTGTACGGGTGGTCGATCTTGACTTTCGCATGGCGTCGGGAAAGAAGACGGTCGTGAAGGGAGAGAAGCTTGCGGCAGAGGGGTACCGGGAGAGGCTCATGGTCGTAGACGTCGCGCAGGACGAGCTCGAGAAGCTCGGCAGGCAGTCTGAGCAGCCTTGATTGCTGTAGAACGGGAAGGAGGAGATGAGGATTCAGCGGTGCGCCCTCGTCGCGGGAAGCGTTGCATGTGGGCGTACCTGGTGCGCACGGCTCATGCGATTCATGCTGAGCAGTTCCGGACTGAGCAAGCGAGGTCAAGCGGGAAGCGAGTGAAGCGGAGGAGACAGAAGGGAGGGTGCGCCTGCTTTGCAGGCGTCAGGCAAGCTCGCAAACGCGCAGACTGCTCGTGCAGACTCATTTGATCTCCCAGACGTGCACGGTACGAAGGGAGACCTTCACGGCTGAAAGCAATGCATTTCCTACGACTCCAAGCAAGCGTCCTTACCCTCGCAATCCTCACCACCTGAAGCCAAATTCGCGGCGGTCATGACGCCTCTGATGCTCCAGGAAGCACTCAACGTCATCCTTGTGCATGTTGATGTGGTCCTCGATGTCGATCGCTTCGACCGAGCTGCCCGACAAGATGATCCCCTCCGACTCGGCGGCGTCGATGAGCTTTTGACAGCCCTGACGCGAGAACGCCTTTGTCCAGCGCGGCTTTGTGTAGCCCTCCTCGAGCCAGTGGTAGAGGGCGTCGATGTCCCTGCGCCAGTCCCACCGGTGAACGTCGTCGCAATGCGCGTAGATGTTGTCGAGCGTGACAGACTTAAGGCTGTCCAGCTTGTCGGTACCAGTGATGAGGGAGAGGACGTGGTCGGATGAGACGATCGTGTCGGGACCAAAGCGGAGAGATTGGAGGGGAAGGCGGCGGAGAAGCTGGAACGTCGGTACGTCGCGCGGCGTGCAGCCCGATCCGAGCGTGAGATTCGTGAGGCAAGTGAACGACTTGAGCTGCTTGGGCGCTTTCCAAGACGGCGAAACTGGCGAAACTGCGCCTATCAAAGTCACTTTTGTGACAGTTCCGAGCTTGGCAGCCGCATCGAGCAAGGCGCCGTAAGCGTCGTTCGCTGCGTAGTGCTTGACGACGAGGGTGCGAACCGCCGATGCTGAAGCGACGAGCTGGACGACGCTGCTCAAGTCTCCATCACGAATAGCAAGACTGATAAACGTCAGCTTCGTGAAGGAGGTCACGCTTGTCTCGTCCTGATCTTCCATAGCGATGAAGGGGCAGCTGAGGGCCAGGGTCATGCTCGTGAGCGATGTGAGCTTGCGAAGGGTGTGGATCGCGACCGGGTCATCTTCGGACGGCGTGAGGGCGAGCGACGAGAGGTGCGGGAAGGGCGAGGCTGCACTCTTTCCGAGGTGCTCAATAACTGCGATCACAAACTGCGTGTTGTCGACCTCCAACTTGCGCAAGTTCCTGAGCGGAAGGAAGGACTTCTGGAAGGCAATGCCGGAAAGCTCGTAGTGCGGAAAGAGGTCATTGCTCGTGATCCTGAGCGACTGGCACACCAGTCCGACCGCACTCCTCGTCTGGACGGCCCTGCTGTAGCGCGCGAGCGTGTCGGACCCGACAATCTTGACTCTGACGTAGCGAGCCTTCAACAACTTGTCGTGCAAGGGCAAGAGGGCGCGGCAGGGCGGGACGCGCGGCGCAACGTGCGTGTAGACATCCTTGAAGATGGCTTCGAGCAACTCGGTGGGCAGGCTGAGGAGAGTAGACGCCTGCGGGAGCAGGGACATCAGTACTCGCCGTCAAGAGCGCGAGGAGACTGCTGGCGTACCTGCGGCGTGTTCCGGCGATCAGAAGAAGACATTGTGCAGGTCGACACAAGCAGTACGGGCAGTTCAAGCGAGACGAAGTGAAGGGAAAGAGGCGAAGAGAGGCGCGAGCGGCTTGAGCAGCCTGGAGGCGAAGTTGGCGGGTTCAACGGCAGTCGCAATTTGTCGTACACTCGGCTCGTTCGTTTGGACGCCTCAGAAAGCGTGCTTGCAACGCAGCGACAGCTGGCAACGCCCGGGAGGAGGCCGAGGTCCGCTGGTCTTTCTGGGGCTCGGGGCGGTCTGTGGCGGATTGTTCTGGCGGCGAGAAAGCTTGAACCAGCGACTGACGGCAGCAGCAGCCCCACTCAGCGGTTGAGGTGGACGGACGGACGCCAAAAGTCTCTCTCCCTTCGACCATGCTCTTCAGTGACGCTACATGGCGCAGCCCGTGCTGCCGGCACCTCAGACTGCTCTACAGGACCCCGCAACAAGCTGGCAGGTCGTCCTAGTCGACCCGTCGAAGCGCAAGGTCGTTCTCTACTCTCCCCACCTTCGTCGACTCGCGGTCTCGGAAACGCCGCCTGGCTCGCCTCTAGCGACTCCGCCGAGACGTGGAAGGTTCGGCAGGAGCGGTGGGAGAAGCTGGGCGTCGGTCTCAACGGGCTCTATCGGCAGCGACGGCGAGGAAAGGGCTGGACGAGCGGTTTCGCCCCTTCGCGAACCCGCTTCGCCCTCACTGTCGACAGTCAGCGACGCCACAGACGATGTGAGGATCACAGGACCTCCTCCGAGCCACTGCCCGCTATGCTACCAACCGCTCCCTCCGCCCGCTCAGCGACGACGTCCCAGTCCCTCCTCTCACGAGACGACCAGAACTCGCCATTTTCCCCTTCTTCCACCTCCTGCTTCGTCGACGAGCACAGACGACTCTCGTCAGGGAGAAGACGGGCTCGTCACGACGCAATTGACGAATGTGCGGGACGTCCGAGAAGTGGACTCGAATTGGTGGGGCATGCTGAGCGAGGCCAGCAGTCTTGTCGCAACGCCGATGTCGACCGCCAGCCGAGCGTTACCGAGCGACGATGAAGGCGATTCGGCGAGCGGACAAAGCGGAGCCGAGCACCTCGATCAGAGCCAGATGAACGAGGGCTACTTCGCCCGCTTCTTCGAGGAGGTTCAGCTGCTCGGTCAGTCGCGCCCACCTGTGTCGCAGAAAGCGCAGTCACTAATGCCTGACATTCACAGGCAAGGGAGGTCAGGGGGCGGTCTACCTCGTCCGGCATGTCCTGAACGGCGAAGCTCTCGGTCTTTACGCCTGCAAGAAGAGTGCGTACCGGCCAACTCCCACGCTCGCGCATTAGATGCTGATCAACTTTCACGCCCAGTCTCCGTCGGCGACTCCCCATCATACCTCCTTTCGATTCTGCGCGAAGTCCACCTGCTCGAGTCAGTTTCGCACCCCAACATCGTCGCATACCACCACGCCTGGCTCGAGACGTCTTCCGCCATTCCCTCTCGCTTCGCACCGCAAGTCCCGACGCTGCACATCCTCATGAGCTATGCGAACGGCGGCAGCTTGGCCGAGTTTATCGAAGCGCGGCGAGGGAGTCGTGATGAGTCGGCGAGGGGAAGTGTCGGCGAGCGAGCCCGGCACAGGCGACAGGAGGAGAAGGAGCGCGCGGTACACCTGCTCAGACTCGAAGACATTGTCACGCTGTTCGAGGATATCGTGCGCGGCTTGGCGTTCTTGCACAGCAAGAACATCCTCCATCTCGACCTGAAGGTGCGTCGCCCCTGTTCAGCATTCCTACACGAGTGCTGATGCCGCTAGCACAGGCCGAGAACGTCCTGCTCAACTGGGACGAGGACGCCTTGTTGCCGACTTGCCAGCTCAGCGACTTTGGCTCAGCCACGAACGACAGCTACCACCGCGAGCGTCGTACGTCTCTTCCCGTCCCGGCGCGTTGCACTGGCGCTGACGGCATTGTGTGCAGATGGCGGCTCCGGAACTCTCGCCTATACCCCGCCCGAAGCCTTCACTCCCTCGCCAACGACCGGCGCTCTCCCCTCACCCGACCGAGGAAGCGACATGTGGGCTCTCGGCCTGATTTTGCATTTGCTCTGCTTCTTCTCGTTGCCGTTCGGCGAGGCGAGGGAGGAAGGCGATACGAGGAAACTTGAGGAGGAAGTAAGGTCTTACAAGGGGTGCGTCGGCTGTCGAATCTGTGCTCTGTCTCGCCTTGCTCTTATAGCAGTGCTGATAGTGCAAACGCTTCTTCACCGGCAGCTTCAACCCCTCCGACCCTCTCCCCCTCTCCGCCTCAGCCCGTCACGATCTCCCAACCTCACTTCTCCACCTCCTCTCGCAGTTAGTCAACCTCGACTCCACCCGTCGCCCGTCATGCGAGAAAGTCCAGCTCGCCCTCACGCGCATTCGGCGAGACTTGCAACTTCAACGGTTACGCGGCGAGCACGAGGAGGCGGTCGGGACGGCTGTGGCGAAGTGGCTGCCCGGTACGAGCAAGGCCGGGAATCTCCTGCCGCGTGCTTTCATTGATGCGCGACGGAGGAGGCTGAGTGAGGCTTCGTCAGGTGTGAGGTGGGAGGAGGTGGAAGTTGAGGTGGAGTCTGAGGCCGGTTCGGACGAGTGGAACGCTCCGCCTAGTCGCGCAGTACGTTCTGCTCCCTCCCTTTTCGTGTTGAGCGAGGTGGAGCTGACAGTGTCAACTCGAAAGTCATCCGCCTTGCTCCGTCGCGCCTCTTCGCCCGCCCTCTTCCGCCGCCGCAGCCCGTCGCCGCTACCTTCCCCGCCAACACCCCGACCTCGCCTCTCACCGCCACTACCCTTGCCGGCACCGCCATCCGCGACTCTGCCGGCAGGCCCATCATCGTCGCCGCTTTCTGCGATTCTTGATTTCGGGCGGAAAGGAACGGGAGTCGTACGAGTAGGTTTGAGGGAAGGAAGTGGGAGTGGTATGCTACAGGGGACAGTGCTGGCAAGTCTTGCGGCAGCGGTCAAGGCAAGTCTCCCGTACGCCCCTTTCCGGTCACCCGCTGACTTCCCGATGTCGTACAGCTCATCCACCTCCGCCGCCTCTCTCCCGCCATCTCCACCTTCCCTGCACCCGACATGTCGCTCGACATATCGCCCGCCATCCCGCTCTGGCTCGTCTCAGCCCTCGTCCTCGAAACGCTTATCGACGTCTCGCTCGCCTCGCCTGTCGTCACCGCCGGCCTTCTCGTCGTACATATGGCGGTTCTGCGGCTAGTGGCGCGATTGGGGTGACGGAGGCGTGGGAGTGATTGTCGGAAGGAGCGGCGATTGCAGGCGAGGAAGGAGGACGTCGATCTGGCCGGTCGCTGTTGTTGTACGCTCGCGTCTCTTGCAGTGCACAGGATGCCCACAGCTCGTCTGCGCCGCCAAGGGAAGCGGGCGCCGTTGGCTTGACCGGGACGAGCCATCGTTTATCTTTTCGTTTATCTTTCCCTTGCCGACGGGAGCCGCCGGGGAGTTTTCGACTCTTTCCCTCGTCTCGCTCTGCTCCTTGCGCTGTCGCTGTGTCTGAAAGGGCTACCACGCTCTGCTAGCCCACCTGAGTCCTGCTACACCCCGCCAACAACTTCTCTCGTCGAGCCAGCACCCCTCATCGCGCCATCAGCCGGAACTCATCTCCGACATGGCAGAGTACCTCAAGACCGAGTACAACACGCCTGGGACAACGACAGCCGCCACCAGCGACGCATCCACCGCCATCGAGCAGCGCCGACGGGTCTCCGCGCGGAGCTTCTTGAGCGGGAACGTCGATTCGAACAGTAGCTTGCTGCAACTCATCCTCTTCTGCTTCTTGACGGGATTCACGAGCGCACCGACGTTCCTGGCATGTTATCTGTGGTGCGGGTTCCAGAGTGCGCCGCCGTTCCTTCATCTCGACGACCTGCTCCTCCTCGCCGCTCCATCTGATCGTGTGACTTTCCCCTGCAGCCGGTGGACTCGTTCAGCTGTCACTCGCCGTCGCACGACTATTCGCAACGAACGACCGGACGTTTCACAAGCCCGACCAGCAAGCCTTGACATCGCTCCTCGCCTTCCTCCTCGGCAGCTCTATCGGGCGCATTGGCGACAAAGTCGGGCCGAAGCGGAGATGGTGGATCATGACGGCGACGTTCATCATGGCGCTGTTTACGATGGCGGCGGCGCTGTGTGCGCACTTTAGCTATGAGCCGAGTGTGGCTGAGTAAGTCTCCCCTCCCTTGTCTCCCTTCCCGCAATTGGGCTGATCCTCCGTGCTGCACAGGTTCCGAACAAACGCTTCATGGCAGAATGCGAGGGGGATGGCGGCGTTGGCCTTCGCGAGTGCGAGTCTGGGTCTCCAGGTGCGTCCCCGTTTCTCTCCTCCTTAAGCGCTCCCTCGATCCTCTCCTTCAACACCGTCTCTCGCTCCTCTACTCTTGCGAGCTCGTTGGACTGACGATCTGCCTCTCCTCAGGGCATCGTTGCAAAGGTTTGTTTGTCGTAAGCGGCATGCATGGCGGACTAGCTGACGCAGCCTTCCGCACGCAGCGCCTGAACACAGCGTTCGGCGTGAGTCTCGTCTTGACAACGGTTTGGGTCGAACTCGTCAACGACCCCAAGCTGTTTGTCGCCAAGTACGTCAAGTCGCGCGACCACCGAATCTTCGCCGTCTTCTTCGCCTTCCTCGGGGGACTGTGCTCGGCCGGCATCGTCTTTGCCAGCTCGAGCGCCGTCGCTTTCGCCGCATGCACAGGTGAGTCGCGTCTCCGAGCCATGCTTGGGAGGAAAGCGCTGACTTCCTGGCCCTCTTTCTCGCAGGCATCCGCCTTGTCAGTGTGTTGTCCTGGCTCTTCATCCCGCTCGAGAAGGAGAAGTAGGCCACGAACCACAATCCGCTGGCCGCCCTACCCTTTCGACAGCCTCTTTCCCTCTTCAAGCTTCGAGACCAGAATCTCGCCTCCTCCGCCTCCTCGCACCTAGCTCTCCTCATCTTGTTCCCGTATTTACGCATCTAGAGGTCTCTGGGCTGTACTATACCCGCTGTTGTTCCGGTTGGGCGTTTCCTGCGCGAGTGGAAGCGGGACGACGTCCGCGAACCGTCGCTTCGAAGCGCTTGACTAGCAAGCCTTGTCAGCTGCTTCGTAAGACTGTTCTACAGCTACTCAAGTCACAGCAGGAGCACAAGTTGCAAGTCGCCCCGCCCAACTTCGCCTTGAGGCTCGAGGTGCTCTCCCTCTCCCTTTACCCGCACACAGGCGTGAGTGGCCCGCCAGATGTACACAGAGGTCCAAACTGAAGCTGACTAGACCACCCACACGCGCACACAGCCTCCCATCGCCTGTATCCACCCCATTTCCCCCTCCTCACTCCCTCAACCGCCCCCTTCCCGCACACCAACGATGCAAGCCGGACGCCGTCTCTACGTCGGCCGCATCCCGCAGGCCGCCACTCGCGCCGACTTTGAGGACTTCTTCGGCCGCATGGGCAAGCTCGTCGATGTTCGCATCATGGCGGGATTTGCTTTCATCGAGTATGCGGACTTGAGGGTGCGTCGGAGATCGAGTCCGCTGGGAATGTCACTGAAGAGTGTGCTGACCCGTCGTGGCTGGCAGGACGCCGAGGAGGCCGTCAACGAGCTCAACAACAAGGACTTCCTTGGTGACCGGTACGCTCGCCTCCTCCCCCGTGCATTCACTCATAAGCCTCTTCAGCTAACAAACTTATTTCACCACAGCATCATGGTCGAGTTCGCCAAGCCTCCCCGCAGCATGATGGACGACCGGTTCGTCGCACTCATCTCACCTCTTCCAATCCTCGCTAACTCTCACCCACGCAAATCACAGCTTCGGCGGCCCTCCTCCTCGCGGCGGTGGCTACGGCGGCGGATACGGCGGACCTCCTCCTCGCAGCTTCGACCGCCCGCCTCCCCCTCGTGCTGGAAGCGGCTTCCGCATCACCATTCAGGGCCTTCGCGAGGGCACTAGCTGGCAGGTACGCTCGCTTTCCATTTCTATGATTCGACACAGAACCTGTTTCGAGAGCGAGACGCGCGAAAGCGAGATTCGCGAAACCCGAGACGACCCGGACTGACGCACGGAGGTGCAGCCCGTTCCGCTTGGAGTCGCTGTGGCGTCGTGATGGGGCTCGCTGGCGTCGTCCTGGCTCACGTAGTACCGGAGAGGCATCGTTCTGGCGTCGAGAGGATCGTCGTCTGGCGTATCGGGACGGAACGGTCTCAAGGACTGGTCTCGTCGCTCGTGGTCGTCGCGTCTGGTCGTCCGCGTCGTCGTCGTTCGTGGCTTCGTCGCAGTCAGGTCTCGAGGATAACCGCACAGTGGCGCCGTCGTTCGTTTGGAGGAGGTCGCTGATCGTCGTCGTCGACCCTGGATTTTGGCATCTCGCGCACATAGGACGTCAAGGACTTTGCTCGCCAGGCCGGCACCGTCTCGTTCGCCGACGTCGACAGGCGCGACCCGACTGTCGGGTGCGTCCCATTGCAATCTGTCCGCTTCTCGCATCGAACTGACTGGTCTTCCCGCCGCAACAGCTTCGTCGAGTACAACTCGCGTTACGATGCCGAGGACGCTGTTCGCAAGCTCCACGACACCGAGCTCAACGGCGCCAAGGTCAGCGTCGTCGAGGACGTGCGTCTACCTTCCTTCCACCCGCAGCTAGCGCTCCCAACTGACTCCCTCGACCCGACAGTTTGACTCGCGTGGTGGTGGACGCGACAGCGGACGCGACCGCGACTCTGGCCGCGACCGTGACCGCGACGACGGCTACCGCAAGTCGACGCGGGACCTGTACGACGAGCGCGACCGCCGCGGTTCTTCGCGCCGCACGCCCTCGCCTCGCCGTTCCCGCAGCCCCGCCCGCCGTCGCTCGCCCACCCCTGACCGCAGGGAGAGGGACCGTTCGCCCAGGGACCGCAGCCGCTCGCCTCGCCGCGACTAGGCGCAGCGTGAGGAGACGACTTCTTGAAGGTGGAACGGGAAAAATGCAGATGGGAAGGATCTGTAGCTTGTCTGTGGTGTCTGTCGCTTCTCTGCTAAACCATATTCGTCTTGGACAAACCACTTGTCGTCGTCGCCAAGTTCGCCGCGAGCTCCGTCATCGCTTTTCGCTTCTTTCGCTTCGCTTCCTCGCTCTCACCGCTTCGCAGGCTTAGCTGACGACGCGAGCATGCTGGATCTCAGACGGCTCGTCTCTGGCCGCAAAGCGCGCTACACGGAGGATGGCTTCGACTTGGACTTGTGCAGGTTGACCGACCGGTGAGTGCTGTTCGAGCGGTGTAAGAGGGACAAGCTGACCTCGCAGACCTACAGAATCATCATTATGGGTTACCCTGCGACTGGTACTGCATCTCTGTACCGGAACAAGCGGTTCGTCGGACCCTCTCCGTCCTCCTCGCACCTACCTCAACTGACCTCTCGACCCCGCAGATCCGACGTGATCCGCTTCCTCGAACCCTACGCTCCCCACTACCGCATCTTCAACCTCTGCCCGCTCTACGAAAACTCCTACAAAGCTTCAGCATTCGCAACGGACGGCGCTTCGAATGAGGAGGAGGCGGGGGAGAAGGTGCTGGGCGGGCCGGTAGAGCGGTATCCTTGGCCTGATCACCATCCGCCGCCTTTGAGCATGGTACCGGTTATGGCGACGGGTGCGAAGCGGTGGTACGAGAAGGACGAGCGGAATGTTGTCGTGATTCACTGCAAGGTGCGGCTCGACGTCTTGCCGACTCCCGCCCTCTTCTGGCTGACGTTGCTCCTTACAGGCTGGAAAAGGACGGTGAGTCAGACCGAACCCGTCTTCGGCCCTTGTGACGCTCATCCATACTTCCGCAGGTCCGGCACCTTCGCCCTCTCACTCCTGCTCGCCCTACCCGGTCTTCCTTCAGCGCCTGCTCTGCCAAAGGACGACAAGGCGAACCAAAGCGACGACCTGAAGACGTACGGCCCGCTCGACCCGCGCGCAGTACTCGCCAAGTCGGGGTCGGACATCCAGGACCTGCCGATGGAAGACAAGCTCGAGTGCGTCGCTTCACCTTCCTTTGCCTTGCATCCCTTGCTGAACAATCCTCCGCAGGTACTTGCTCCGCTTCCACACCCTCCGACGAATGAGCCCGGGCGCGAAACGCTACGGCGTCTCGATCGCCAGTCAGCGCCGGTGGCTCGGCTACTGGGTCCGTCTCCTCAAAGGTGATGACCCTAGAGACAATGCGTTGTCCGGCAGCAAGCGAGTCGTGCTCGAGTACGTTAAGGTGACGGGACCGGGCTTGCATGGGGTTGGAAAGGTTGTTGCGGGCGGCAACGAGCGGATGGCGGTGCAGGTGCGCGGCTCCCACCTCTTATCATCGCTCACGGGCTGACACCCTTTTGAGCAGGTTCTCCGCTACAAGGACTCGATCGCCGCCAACCTCCGCGAGCGAGAACTCACGCTGGCGCGAGACCCAAACACGCCGACCACCCTTGACGACTGGGACGACCGAAGCGAGATGTTCGTCCACGTCGGTTCGCTCTCAGAGGCGAGCGACAAGCAGGGCTCTCATCCGCTCCGGGATGATACCCCAACCCAGCTCGAACCGACTCAAACGGACGCAGGCGCAAGCGTTCCGCCCTCAGCTTCCGCCTCAACCGGCTCGCTCCCTTCGGCGGTCATCAAGACTCCGGCCTCGTCTATCGCCGAGTCGCCCGACCTGCCGCCCCCTTCACAAACCGCCGCCACACCCACCTCGACTTCCGCCAACCCTGGACCTTCCCGAACTCGCGTACTCGTTCCTCGCACCTCCTTCCTTGAGCCGAACTCGACCAGCAACAAGCGACGATCCGAGAAGGAGGCAAAGGCGGCAGTAGAGCAGGACGGAGGAATTGTGTTAGACGGAGACAGGGAGGTTCAGCTCAAATACCTCGTCGGCAAGACGGGTGACAGGCATGGCAAGCTGCCTGACATGGTGCGTATCCGACGCCGCCTGCTTGCCGGATCCTTGCGCTGACGACGTACGGACCGCAGGCGGCTCTCGCGATCACCTGGTTCGTCCCGTCTTTCGAAGCGAGCGCACCGACGAACGGCGGAGACAAGCGCTCGAAGCTCGTTATCTCGGGCAAAGACCTCGACTTCCGCAAACCTTTCGCGGGAATCGAGGAGGTCGAGGTCGGATGGCGCTGGCTGGGTTAGATCGCTTTCGCGGAGGCAGAGCGAGGTGTTGTTGTATGTTGTATGCATTGCTCTCAGTATGCAAAGCAGAGTTTGATGGACGCAGATGGAGACGAGACGAGATCACCGTTTCCAACCCGCAAAGACAGCCCGCCCCATGCCCCAGGGATCCTCTATCACCTTCGTCTCTAGCTGCGCCCCCTTCGTGCCCCGCCACTCGCGCAGCATCCTCTCTACGTCCCTCGCCTGTCCCTTCCCAACCTCAAACGCAACAACCGGCCCTTCGCCTCCTTCCGCCAGCAACTCCTCTAACAGGCTCACGATCCGCCTATAGAAGACCAGCCCGTCGTCCTCCTTGCTCCGCGGCACGAGAGGTCGTTCTGCTGTCTCGCCGACCAGTGCACCGCGGTCTTCCCATTCGCGGACGCTGCGGTCGAGTGTGGCGTATTCGTGGAGAGGAATGTAGGGCGGGTTGGAGACGACGAGGTCGAATCCCGGCGGTTGAACTGCGTTGGCGAGTGAGTCGGAAGAGCGGATGTGCTGGAGGTGCGCGAAGACGGTGGAAGAGAACGAAGGGGAAAAGAGGTCGGCTTGGTGAACGGAGACGGCGGCGGACGGAGCGTCTGGTGTCGACGGGTCGTTGGGTAACTCAGCGCTGGGATCTGAGTTGGCTTGTCCCGTACGGCCTTCGCCACCTCGAGGGGCGAAAGGAAGACCGCATCTTCTGGCATTCTCCTTGGCTAGGCGCACCGCCGACTCGGCTCGATCCACCGCCAACGTTCTGACGGCGGCGAAAGGACCGTTTGCACGTCCTTCACTCGTGCGCGACAACCCATGCGTCAAAGCGAGCGCGATACAGCCTGTTCCCGTTCCAATATCGAGGATACGGAACGGCTCAGCATTCCGGGCCGTCTTGCCTCTGACCGCCAGGATCCGCTCGGTGAGCAGGGAGACCCAGTGCTCGGTTTCGGGGCGGGGAATGAGCGTTGGAGGGCGGACGAGGAGGTCGACCGGGAGAGGGTGGAAAGGCTGGGTTCCTGCGAGCGTAAGAGCGGATGTCAGGGTCGCCCTCAGGAGAGTGAAGTCTGCACTTACCCAGCACGTACGCCAACGGCTTGTCTTCCTCGACCATCTCGCGGACCATTCGCTCAACCCGACTCTCCCAGGTCTCGCCCGTCTTCGTGGCGTCCGAGCGAGCTGCTTCCTCCAGCCACCGCACTTCCTGCCCAACCTGCTCTTCTACGTCGACCAGCGACCCCGCCAGACCCCGTGCGTAGTGCTGTGCGAGCCGTCTTTGCCAGGTTGAGCGAAGCGAGTCGTCCTTCGTGCTCAACACCCTCGCGAGCGGGATCTGCGAACTCCTGAGCAGGCGTAGAGCATGCTGGCCCTGCAGCAGTCGACAAGCCAGCCTGGCAAGCGCTAGTGAGTGGTGTCGGAGTATCGGCTGATGAACTTGTCCCTCTTGACCTCCGACTCCTCACTCTGTGGCCGCTCCACCGCTGGAGGGCTTACACAGACTACGACTATGGCTCAAAGACCCTCGCAAACCCTCTCCAGCGGCGCCACGCTCGCCACGCTCCCTCCTGAACTCGTCTCGCTCGTACTCGCCCTCGGGAGCAGGTGGGGCGAGGCGAAAGGCGAGCTCCTGCGGTACATGCTCGTCTGCAGGGCCTTCAAAGGTGCGCTTTGACTGCGCTTTCGACGGGCCAAACCCTGGCGAGCGACGCTGACCGCAGTCGCATTCAAGGTCCCGCCGTCTCGCTGCTCTACCGTCACATCGCCCTCGTCTCGGACAAGCAGGCGTACAGCTTCTTACGCTCTGTCAAGAACTCGCCTACACCTTCTCGCCTTACCTCGAGCGTCCGCGATCTCCGCCTCAACTCGACAGAGCTCGACGGCCCGCCGGGCGCCTCGCGCAATCTCGTCTACCCGGCACTCCACCTGCTGGACAACCTGCGCTCTCTTCAAGTCACGGCTGACGACGGCTTGCGAATGCTATACACGGTCCTCGCGAAAGGAGGTGGCGGAGTGACGCAGTTGAGGAGTTTCAGTGTGCAAGGTGGTTTCGTCCGCTGGGATATTGTCGTCGGCATCCTAAGCCAGGCGACCAACCTACAAACACTCCATCTCCAAGACCTCTTCGTCCTACAGCCCGCGAACGCGTCAAGCGATTCACGAAACGGGGACGATGTCGGCAGCGTGGAGTACCCTACGCTCCGCCTTGATGGCGACTGCGATAACCCGAGCCCTCACATCGACTTCGTAACCGACGAGACCGGTAAGAACGTCGTCACGACAGCCAATGTACCCGCGCTCTGTCTCCCTCCACCTCCGGAGCCCATGCCCTTTCCCTCTCTTCCCCTTCGCAGCCTCACTCTGCACCAGATCGCGGGCCCGAGCCTGCGCGACGACGCCTTCGTCTCCATCATCAATGCTACTCGTCACACTCTCGACGAACTGCGTCTCCAGGCCATCGACTCCCTCTCACGTCCCGGCCTAATCGCCGCTCTCCGCCTCCTCCCCAACCTTCGCACCCTGGCAATCACGCTGTGTCGGTTCTCGTTTGGCATCCACGATGAGAACCATCGGCTAGTCCAAACACCTCCTGCGCGTTCCGAGACGGGCAACCCTTTCAGCACGTCTTTCGCGGCGGCGTACCCGCCCGACTCGCCCCTCGTCGACGGCGCCTTCGCCTTGGCGACCAAGTTTGAGCTTCTCGAAGAAGGCAGCAAAGTGCGCGAGGCGGTCACGTACCCCGTCTCGACGGAAGAAGCGGTCTATCCGCTCGACTTCCTCGTCAAGCGTTGCGCCTTCCTCCAAGTCCTCGAAGTCGCGTCCGACCACCTGATGTCGTCGAATGGCGTCGTCGAGGTCATGACTAGACTGCCGCTGCAAATGATTGTGCTCGACGCGCGTGTCCCATGGATCGCGGTTGAGGCGGTGGAGAAAGGGTTGGCGGCTGCTGATGGGAGGATCGAGACTGTCACCCTGGGACGGAGGTGCGTTACGTACATTTCTCGGTCGTTGACTGAAGCTGACGCTGCTTTATCGCACGCAGGATGTGCTGGAGCGCCGCCGAAGTCCAGCACCTCAAGAACACCTCGTTGACGACCTCGACCGTCGTCCAGTGCGCGCCGGCGCCGTGTACGCCTACTCCTTGACTTTATGTCTCTCTTGTCGGATCGAAGAATGCCCCTGAGATCTAATGGAGGCGGAAGGAACGACTTGACCGTCTTTGTATCCCGTTTGTCGTCCCTCCCGTTTCACTTTCTCCAGACTGTAGCATGCACCTATCGTTTGGATCGTGTTGTCCGTCGCCACTAAATAGCTTTGGATGCAAGAAAGCCCAAAGTCGCGTCGACGCTGTCGGCTCCATCGGTTGACTTCGCTCCATCACACTGCTCGCGACTCGCTGCTCGGCTGGACTGGCTTGACGACTCCTTGACGACTCGCTGTACACTCACGCCCTTGTACCGCCGCGCCGCTTTTCCATCCTACCACTTCACACGCCTCGACACGCGCCTCGTCGGTGTTCCCGTCTCTCGTTCCGCCAGCAGCCAAGCAGGATGGACGTGACGTTGCAGGCGACAGCAGCAGCTGCGGAGGGAGCAGTCACCTCGTTCAACCCGAACGACAAGTACATTGGACTCGCGCTGGCCATCTCGTCCTCTGCGGCGATTGGGACGTCGTTCATCATCACCAAGAAGGTCCGCCGGAGTCTCTGGGCGAAGAGAAGGACTGTACTGACATTCTGGACACGCGCAGGGACTGATCAGCGCGGCGGATTCGCATGACGGCTTCTCCAGCGAGTCGTACTCGTACCTCAAGAACGGGCTGTGGTGGGCGGGCATGTTGACGAGTGAGTCAGGGCTTGCATCGACTCTATAGGCATCAGCGCTGACGTTCGCTTCGCTCGCAGTGGTTGTTGGAGAAGGTTCCTCCCCGTTTCCCCTTCTGCATCTCCTTCCCGCCGGCTAACTGGTTTCTCGCACAGTCGCCAACTTCGCGGCATACACATTCGCACCACCAGCTCTTGTCACACCGCTCGGTGCGCTATCAGTCCTTGTCGGGTGCGTCTTTCCCTCCTAGCCCTCCTCAATCCTCCCTAACCTTTCCTCCTGCAGCGCGATTCTCGCGGCAATCTTCCTCGGCGAGCGATTAGGCAAGATCGGCATCTCGGGATGCTCGTTGTGTCTCGTCGGATCGATCATCGTCGTCCTGCACGCACCGGAAGACAAGGACATCGCGACAGTCGACGAGATCCTCGAGTACGCCCTCCAGCCCGGGTTCATGTTCTACGCCTTCTTCGTCACCTGCTTCTCGCTGTACATGATTTACAAGGTCGCCCCGAAACACGGGAACAAGAACCCCCTCGTCTACCTCTCCATCTGCTCCCTCGTCGGCTCGATCTCCGTCATGGCGGTCAAGGGGCTCGGCATCGCTCTCAAGTTGACGTTTGCGGGCAACAACCAGCTGTGGCGGGCGGGAACGTGGATCTTTGCGATTACGGTCGCCGGATGCATCGCCAGTTCGTCCCTTTCCTCTCCGCTTCTTTCCCTTGCCTTTCCGCTTCTTTCCTGGACGTCCAGGGAGCTGACGGAACGTTCTTTCTACGAATCAGCACAACTCAACTTCTTCAACAGAGTCTGTCCAATTGCTGTTGTCGTCTTGTAGCTCCTGCAGCCAGCAGGACGCCATATCGCTTTCCGACTGACCCTTCCTCGCTTTCGCAGGCCCTCGACCTCTTCCCGACGAACGTCGTCAACCCCCTGTACTTCTCCCTCTTCTCCAGCGCCACCCTCGTCGCCTCTATCATCCTCTTCCACGGCCTGAACACCTCGGGCGCTTCCCAGACCGTCTCGCTCATCTGCGGCTTCTACACAATCTCGCTCGGCGTCTACCTACTGGTGCGCACAGTCTATCGCTTGGGCTGAACGACGCTGATGAGCCGCTTGAACGAGCAGAACCTTGCACGAGGCGAGACAGAAGCACGAGGCCTGCGGCATTCCCTCGGCGACCAACGCCACTCTCTCCTCGAGCAGTCAAACCGCCTCTCGCTCGCTTCCGACTGCGAAGGCAATGAGCGAGGACCCGACGCGCGCAACTCGACGAATCTCTATCGAGCGGGCGGGGCGACAGTCGGAGGTGTCGCGCCCATCTTCGACTATGACGAGACGGCGAACAAAGGTCGCGACGAGCACATGCGGATGGAGCGGTTCGCGTTGCGGAACGACGACAGCGAGGATGAGGAGAATGAGGCTACAGGGCGGTACCAGCGGGTATAAAGTGTGTAGAGTGTCTAGAGCGGGATGGGAACTTTGTTGGATACCCAGTGAACTCAGATCGGCTTGAACCCAGGTCGTCCGTCCCAAGACCGCAGCTCGCGCACATTGATCCCTTCCTCCCGCACTGCGTCTCCGATGTCGTTGATTGCGGCGCAAAACGTGTCGAAAAGGTACTGTGCAGGGAGGTAGAGCAGCCCCGGGTTGTAGTTCGGAACGTCGTGGGCGCCCGGCGAGATGCCCAAGCGCTTGAGCGAGCGAAAGGAGCGAAGAGTGTCGACGACTTGATCCCGGTCAAGTCTGGTCGCCCAGACAGTTTGAAGGAGGACGCTGTGTAGGTGTCGGAGTCGCGAGAACTTGGAAAGAGCGTCGGCAAGGTCAGGTATGGGGGTCTTGAGGAAGAGGACGGAGAGGTTCGGGCAACCCGTGGCGATAGCGAGCGGAAGGGATTCGTCAACGGTGAAATAGTCGGATGTGAACGTAGTGAGCGTGTCGAGACTCCCGCCATACTCTTCGAGGAACCGTGCGAGCACCCCGGGTTCCAGACGATGTTCCTGAATGTTGAGGCGGCGGAGGGAACCTCGACTGCCGTGAAGAAGTCGGTCGAGGTAGGTAAAGTCGAGCTTGACGTTCTGTTGGAAGTAGAGCGTGAACTCCTCGAGTTGCCAATCCACGACACTGTCGCCTTCGCCGCTGTGCACTGCTGAATGTAGCGCGAGGACCTTGATGCGTGGCCACGACGGAGCGAGTGCGGCCAAGTCGGCGATCGTCCAAATCGCTTTGCCCCATTCCTCCTTGATGGATACGTCGATGTTGATAATCCATGGATCTGCTGTCGCCGCATTCTCGTCAAACGTGAAGTGCTCGAGCTGTGAAAGGCCCCTGAGCGCGACAACGAGGTCCTTCTTGTCGGCCTGAACGACGAAGGGCAGTGACAAGACCTTGAGGGCTGGACATGCGGCGACGATCTTGACAGCGATGGTAGAGATGCGTCGTCGGTCGACATTCGCTTCGCTGCTACATCGTGCTGTCCATCGTCCGATGTCGAGCTCTCGAACAGAGCGAGCGAGATTGTCGCGCGTTTCGAGCGTGTGGAGGAGAGCTTTGAGCCGGGCAAAGGTGCGTGGAGGGGCGGTGTCGGGGGCATCGAAGTTGAGAAAAGGGGTGTGGTGAAGGGCGGATTGGGCGGCCGAAGACCAAGTCTTGGAGACGAGGGAGAGGGCATAGAGCGTCGAAGTCGCGACGGCGGGCGGTAGGCATCGCACGGCGTCGCAGATGTGCTGACAAGCGTCGACAGGGAGACGAGAGGCGAGGAAAGGGTGAGGCTGGTCCACAAGCCCAAGTCGGGCGAGCTGGATGTGAGGAGGAGAGCGGTGAGCGCCCGAAGACCCGCTGGAGAGTGCCAAAGCCACGCACGTCGTTTGAGAGGTCCATTCGATCCTCTCCAGCCCCTACGAATCCCAGTGAGGCCCTGTTCGCTGAGATTGATCCTCGAGGTGATGAGATTCGAGAATCGAGGACAACGACGAGGCAGGGTCGGTGGACGCTCCAGGTGTCGGTTGACGGTCTTCTGGTAGCCGACAAAGTCCCAAGACCTCCACGATAAGCCAGTTGAGCGATGCTATAGCGGTGGACGAGTCCAACCCTCCTCGCCCGACCTCTTTCGCTCCTTGACTTCACACGTTCTCGACCAGACCCAGCTGATCTGTGCGTCACTGGGGCCCGTTATCAACGGCTGCGCAGCAGGAGGCGCTCGTCCGCGGCATGTCCGGCGCCTCCTCTCCTCCTCGTGCCCAGACGGACCGGCTTCGAACCCCGCTGCACCACGCTTGCTCCTGCTGCCGCCTGCTACGCTTGCTTGTACTATCTTCGCCTGCGTGACTGAGACCGATGTCCACTGTCTCGTTGTCGAGCCATGCCGGTCGACCGCCTCCTTCGCTCGTCTCCTCGAGCGGCATCCTGGCCACCTCCCCCACTTCCTTGCGGTCGCCATCGACGTTCACGACCGTCACTGCATCCGGGCACATCCCCTTGCAACCATCGAACTTCCCACTCCTTCACTCGCTCCTCGACTCGCCCGAGTACCGCCAAGCGATGCGTAGCAACCCGGAACTCGCTCGTGGGTCGTCCAGACGGCATAGCAAGGTCGTGAACCAGGAGGCGAAGCAATCGAGGCTATCTTCCTCCTTCAGCGGTGGCGGCGGCTCGACTTCTCGCGCGCACGCCTCGAAGTCGTTTGTATCCGGCTCTTCCGTGGCCGGCAGTATCCGACGACCGCGACCATCCGCGTTTGCACACGCTGCGCCTCAGCAACGCAGCGGTGCTGGCGGAGACCGGCAGCAAGGCCGGAGAACGTTGCCGCCTCTGCCCAATCCTCCGTCAATTCCAGCGAATCCGGCCGGTCCGCCAGTTTCAGCCGATCCGCTTTCTCTTACCCCTCATCGCTCACCAAGCACGACGGCCATCCCCATCTTGCCGCCAGCGTTACCGCATCTCCCGCAGACTTACCCCTCACGCTCCTTCAGCCACAACCCCTCCAGCTCCGCGCCGCCTCCCCGCTCTTCCTTCCGCGACGCTATCGATAAACTCAAGCGCATGTTGCAACGGGGCGAGCATCGGCGACGAGATCGAAGCGGCACCGTCACCTCGCTCGACACGCTACCTAGCGGTTCAAGCATGCTTGACCTCGCCGATGCAAGGTCCAGCCGCACAAGCTTGATGAGTGATCTGTCGCGACTAGGCGACATGGCCTACGTCGACGTCGTGGCGGAACTCGTGCGCGTCGAGCCGGACTCGACACCGCAGGCGCCTGCAACGACATCCGTCAAGCCTTCCCGCGGTCCCCGCGCGCTCTCCGCGCCTCTCTCGCCAAGCGAAGCGAAGTCTCGACTCGAAGCCCGCGCACCAGCACCGACCTACGCCGCCCGAACGACCGACGTCGAAGCCTGGCGCGAATCGCGGCGGCAGTTCCTGCTCGTCCTGCAAGAAGGACCGCCTGACTCCGCCCTCTCTTCTGCGTTGTCTAACAAGTCGCGCGAGACAAGTCGAGCAAATGCGACCCGACCGAGCATCTTTCAGCGCCGTCGACCTTCTTTCCCTTCTTTCTCTCGACCACAGGCGAGCGTCATGCCTTTCTCGCTCGACACACCACTTGAGCGCTCACGCACTGTCGACGACGCCGCCCCTCCTCTCGAACCCGTCGCGAGCGAGCCGAATCGACGATACTCGACTTACGGAAGTCGCTGGCTGGAAGGAGCAGAGTTGGTCGAGGTGTTGTCGAGGACGAGCGGGAGTGTACAGGCGCAGGAGGAGAAGCGGGTATGGCGGAAGTGGTGCGGATGGGTCAAGGAGCGAGTGGAGACGGAAGCAGGGAGGGCTCGGGAGGGTTAAGGCGGGCAACCTGTACCTCTGACTGATTACGGAAGCTAGAACAAGGGGTGTTGTAGGTCTACAGCGGTATGAACTGCACAACGGAAGAAGGGGTAATAACACTGCGCCGTGACAACGACAGATCCCTAGAACGAGACAGCCGGAAGTTCCCATACAACAACCTGTCCAACAGCGCGATAATCCTTACAGCCTGCGCAGCTGGCGATGTCACCGAATGCTGCGCTCCTCGTCGACCTGTTGACGGGACCCTCGATCTCGACTCCGACTCCTGCTGGGCGACCGACTTCCTTCGCCCTCCTCTTCGCTCGACCCCTCCTCGCTCGTGTACTCCGACGTGTATTCGCTCCCCGTCATGCTCGCCAACATGCCCGTCTCTCCCGTCCTCACGCCATGCATGTCCCTCCCCGGCCCACCAGTCTCAGTCGACGTCCACTCGCCCGACCCGTCCGTCCCGCTCGTCGCCCAGACATGCGCAGTCCGACCGTGTTGAGCGGAAGTCGTGACGTGCGCGTGGGCAGTCGACTTCTTCTTCGTCCCGCCCGGACCGCCTTGGGAAGAAGTCGAGGGGAGGTCGACTTCGGCGCCGATTGTCCAGCGCGTGGTCGTCTTGATCGGACCGGCGTAATGGGCTGCGGACGGATCGAGCGCGTGAGTAAAAGAAGAGAGGAGGACGCGAAGAAGACGCACAGTTGCCGTAGAGGACCCACGCCGTCGAGCTGAGCAGCAGGACGCCGACGAGCATAGCCGAGGCGTACGAGACGTTGACTGCGCATTTCGACCGTCAGCTCAAGCGCTCCAAGAGGAGAATATGAAGGAAGACGCACGGGAAGTGACGGGATAGCCAGTCGGTAGGCACATCGTGACGATAAAGACGAGGAGGAAGAGCGCGACCGGTACCGCAAGGGGCTTGCTCGCGCCCCTGAGCGTCCACTTCGCCCTCCCATCTCCTCGCAAGACGTCGCGGTCGCAGACGAGGTAGAGAAGGATCGGGGCGACGTAGCTCGCCGTGCAAGTGATTCCCGCGCCTTCGAGGAGGGTCGTCGCGATGATCGACATGTTGATGGCGAGGAACAATAACGCAGGACAAGCGATCGCCCAGGTGACCCAAATCGCCGCCGTAGGCGTCCGGTTCGTCTTGCTCAGCCGTCGGAAAAAGTTGGAGAACGGCAAGGCGGATTCGCGCGAGAGGGCCCAGATGTAGCGCGAGGTGGCGAGGAGTTGGGCGACGTTTTGGAAGAGGAGGGAGATGACGACGCAGATGAGGATCACGGCGGTGTATTTGCGGGGGATCGAGTTGGCGATGAGGGCGATGGAGGGCTGGAGGGCGGGGTCGGCACCGTCGATGTTCATCGTCTGCGGGCGCGCGAGGCGTCAGTCTTCCGTACACGAGTCGTGAAGCGGGGAAGAGCGGACGCACGGCAAGCAAGACGCAAATCGACACCCAACCCATCGCATAAGTCGCCGCAACGCTCCAGAACATCGCAAGCGGGACAGTCCTTGAAGGTCGCTTCGTGTCCTCGGCCATGTGCGCGGACGCCTCCATACCCGTCGCGACGCAGGTGAGGACCCAGCCTGTCAAGATGGGGAGTCAGCGGGCTGCGAGCGGCGAGGAGGGAAGAGGGACGGGCGTACCGATCATGTAGACGTAGCTCTTCGAGGTGAAACCCGTCGAGTTGCGATAGCTTGTAAAGACATACTCTGCCGAGCTGCCAGAAACCCTCGTTAGCTAAATCCCGTTGCTCAGGCGAAGCGAAGGGCCGACTCACAAGATGCGTTCAGACTTGGTCAAGAGGATGATGTTGATGATGAGGAAGAAGGCGACGATCAAGAAGCCACAGACTCGCCAGAGCCAAGGCGAGCGCGAGAGGCGGGACGAGACGACGAGGGCGGAGAAGCAGAGGGTTCCCTGCTCGGATACGAACGTCAGCGGATGTTGGAAAGGGTAGAGAGAGGCGACGCACCCAAGAGATGGCGACGGTCACCCAGAAGGAGTAGTTCCGTTCTGTCCAGAGACCGACGACGCCGAGGATGATGTGTGCAAACTGCCAAGTCACGACAATCTGTGACCCCTCCTCGTCAGCCCTGACCCCGCTAGAATGAAGGGAATGCGCGCACCTGCAGCAACACATGCGAGCACAACAACAGACTCCCGACCACCCAACTCGCATACCTCGCCCAGGGATTCAAGCTCTTCTTACTCCGGCACAGTCGAAAGACCCAGGTGAACATCGCGCCTGCGACAGGCCAGGTCGATGCCATTTCGCCCAGGACGGCCGCGAGGGAGATCATGAAGAGGCCGGAGAGGGGCCAGGCGATGGCGTACATTGAGCCGCCGCCGGCTTCGAGGGCTGTCAGGACGCCCAGGACGGTGCCTGCGGATGCGCAAGAGTTAGCAAGGATCAGCGGAAGAAGCTGGGATGGGACGCACCTGGCAACCCGCCAATGTTGCACAACGAGATCCCCCAACTCGCGAAAAAGTCGTAGTCGCGCGACAACTCCTCGTCGAATCCTAGCGCCGCCAACCGCTTCTTATCATACAGCCCGCTCCTACGGCCCATGATGCTCGACTTCCACGACTTGAACGTGCTAGTCGGGTCTACTGGACCGTCTGGGTCGTGCGAGTAGTGCGAGCCGTGTGAGGGTGAGGATAGCGGGAGGACGGAGGTGGTTGTGCCGGGTGTGGAGAAGAGGACGCCATGTGTGTGCGTATGGGCGTGCGGGAGAGTTGGAGAGGAGGCGGAGGATTTCCCCTTCGATTCGAAGGAGTCGGGCGAGGGTGGGCCGAGGGCGATCGTAGTGGGTTGGAGGTGTGAGGGAGACGCTGCGGGTGGTAGAGGAAGGTAGGCTGACGGAGGGGTCGTAATGGGTCCTTCGGCAGACGACGAGACGGCGGGAGAGAAAGCGAGGTGGTGAGAGGAGGTCGACGGGGTTCGGGCGGGCTGCGGTCGCTTCAAGATGGACTGTAGAGGCGGTCTCGATGGTTTCGAGGCGGGTTCTGCAGCAGGCGGCGGAGTGTTCGAGGATGTCGACGCTGTTCGGCCGTCCTCCGAGGCGGAAGGGTCGCCCAGCAAGGCAGACGAGCGCGACGACGGCCACTCGCTCGCATGAGACGCATCCGAGCCACCCTCTGCCATCCCTGGAATGCCGTCCACGCCCTCGCGTGCGCCGTCCGCGGTCCCAGCACCCTCGCCCGGCCTGTTCGCCTCGACGACCCTCCTGCTGCCGTCGCGCTCGACGACAGCCAGCTCGATGCTCCACTCGCGTTCCTTTCCCTTGAGAGAGTGTCCTGGAAGTGCAGAAGAGTCGCCGTGCACACCGCGCGGGTGAGAGTCGCCTGCAGCCTTATCTCGTCTCTGGGGGTGCGGGGGAGTTGGCCTGGCGCGTGAAGTTGACGGGCGGAGCGAGGGCGGCGGCGGCGGGTCGTCTCGTGGGTGCACGGCCAGTGTCATGGCTGCACGAAGCGAGTCTGGCTCGCCCCTGGCCCCTCGTGCGAGTGGGCTTTGTGGCGGTCCTTGGCTGGGAGAGGAGACGGCGGCCGAAGCGGGTTCGACGGCGGGTAACTCGGTGGCTGTGCGGTGGTAGTGTACTGTCTCAGCAGGCGAGCATGTCCAGCGCCGTTCACTTAGCCAACGAGTCAAGTCGAAGCGAAGTGGAAGCGGAAGAAGCAAGGCCTCGATCGCGCACGACTTGCCCAACGACATCGTCGTGCTCACTGGCGTGTGCTCTCCGTTGGGAAATGACGCTTCCTTAGGGCTCACGCAAAGAAGCGCGAAAGAAGAGAGAGTTGCGACGAGGTAGCGAACAAGGACGAGAGCAAGGGAGAGAAGAAGGCGAGGAACGAGGAACGATACTCTGTTGCAGCTGTAAGGCGCGCAAGAATGGCATACGGATTGTCGATCCATCGAAGATGCGAGGATGGACGAGAGACGCCGGCAGGGGTCGAGGCGAGATGTAGGCGGACGTCAAAGTCGAGGCGACAAAGGCGTTTCAGGCTGACAAAACGCAAGTCGGCCCGTCCTGAGCTGCGAGGGGGAAAAAGAGAGCAAGGTCAATCACTGAAACCTGTGCTCAATGCCTGAGAAAGGCGGAGGAGGGAGGAAGAGGTGAGGCGAGACGGACCTGAGCGTGCGTAGCGTTCAGACGACTGCAGAGGAGGCAGGCAAGCGGGCATGGGCTCTTCACCTGCCGTTTAGAGACAATATCAGTTCAAGCAGCCTTGTCGGCGGAAGCTGCAAAGAGGGACGCGGACGCACCAGCGAAAAGCGTATCGAGCAACAACTGCTTACACTCCTGCCACGGCGTCTGGAAATCCGTGATCCTCCGCACGACTGCTCATAGACACCGTCAGCAGCCATTCGAGAGTGCGAAGGAAAATGAACGCACTCGCTTCAGGATCCGGTAGTTCGTCGAGCAGGTCTTCTGCCTTACGTTGACGGGACTGGCGGTCCTGCATGAGCGTGCGGTAAGGCGAGTTTGGCATCTGGTGGAGCGTCTCCGGTGCATGCGGTCGGGAGGGAGTAGTTGGAGTCCAGGTGGAGACGGAGACGGGAGGGGCGGGAGGAGCGGGAGGAGCGGGAGGAGCGGAGAGGGGAGAAGCCAAGACGGGGTCGAGTCTCGCGTCTGCGTCGTCTTCGTCTGTCGAGTCGAGCGGAGGCGGAGGCGGAGGCGGAGGTGCGGGCGAAGGAGACACCTCCTCATCGGCATGTACAGCCCAAAGAATCGGTGTGAACCAGCTCAAACACCCACTGCCCCACCCAGGCTCGTACTTGACCCATTTGATCGCGCCCGTCTCCTGTTTGAGTGGGTCGCGGAGGATGAGGTGTGCGGCGACGAGGTTGGCGTCGATCAGTTTGCGGACGCGCGGGTCGAACGAGTTCCAGACGGTCGGGCCTGTGAGGCGCTCATGCCAGAGGATCTTGCTGAGGAAGTTGAAGACGATAGCGGGAGCGGAGGGCTGCGAGGCGTTCGGTCGGGTGGTGAGGTAGCTGAAAGGCTGGAGAGGGCGTCCGTCCGCATGGAGGAGGCGTCCGTCTGGCTGAGCGTCGAAGTAGCGCGCCTTGCGCAACCGCCTACATCGAGCAGCTATAACGGCCAGGTAAGCCTCCAATGTCAAGTCGCCGTCCAAGTCGTCGTCCTCATCGTCTTCGTGTGCGGACGAGGAGTCCTCAAAGGCAAGAGCGGCGTCAGGTTGTTGCTCAAAGGGCAAGACAACGACTTCAATGCTGGATGTGCCGTATGTGCCAAGCTGCGAGCCAAGGAGGTCGGGCTTGAGAGCAACGATCTCATACCGAGATTCTGACAGCCGGAATGCGTGAAGAGCCGGTTGATATTAGTCGTCCTGCACAGCATGAGCGTCAAACCTGGCGGTGGGTCAGAGCACTGGACAAGCTCACCAAGTTGCGTAATCCAGGGCTCGGTCTGGCGCGGCCGTTCCTCGATGCCTGGCGCTTCATGGCTTCGAAGCGCACACGTCGCCAGTGGTCGCACTCAACTAGCGCATTCATGAGCGCTTTGAGCGAGGAGGCGGAGAGCGAAATGCCAAAGGAGTGGGAGCAGCTGAACGCGAGGTGAGCACCTTCAGACACTACAGTACAGGGGATGCGGTCAGCCTTCGCTCGCTCGAGAGGGGTGCACTGGCGCACTGAGCATTGTATTGGCTGGAGACTGGAGGAACTCGCCGACGTTAGCGCCAAAGAGGCCAGTCGCTTCGAGGATTGCGCTCTGCAGACGGGTCCGCGGTCAGCAAGTCACTGCGGGAAGCCGGGGAAAATCACAAACCTTCAGACCGCCATCGGTGAAGGGATCGATCAAGCGCGCCTGGACAATCGCGCCTGAAGAGGGAGCCAGCGGGAAGCATTCGCCTTCGAGAGCGAGGGTGTCATCGGGGAAGCGGGCTGATTGCAGGTCTGCCTGCGGCAGATTCCGTGCACTGTCATGACCTGGTCCAACCGGGAAAGAAGCAGGGCGCGCCTCGTGCAGCTCGTGTGGAAGAAGAGGGAGCGGTCCAGACGACATTGGAAGTCCAGGGTGTACAAGTTGGACAGTCTGACGCAGACGCACGTCAAGTCTCGGTGCGAGCTCGATAGACCGTACAGAACGCTCGAGAGTTTCAGAGCACGCCTCTGTGCGATGCGAGTGTCGAGAACGACCAGAGGGCGAAGGAGGCCGAGGCGCGGGCAGGCAATGCAGGGGCAGCAAGCTAGCAGGCGTAGCAAGCAGTCTTCGACACTCCAGCCGGCCCACAAGCAGTACCGCGGAGTTGAGTGAGCGGTCGTTGGCCAACCCAGGAGCTGGCGAGCGAAGAGGATGTGGTTGCACCTCCGCCGTTCCCCGTCCGTCGCTCCAGCCATGTCCTAGTGAGTCTAGACAGCCCTGAATGAGTACCAGCAGTACCGCACAACCACCACCATCCTCCCCCGTTGCCGCCGAGCCGCCCGTCTCATCCCGACCTCTCGTCGACCTCGAGGTGGCAGAACACGACGAGCGAGCGCTGGACTGGCTCAGGGAGGATTGTATGCTGACCTTGCGATTGCTCATACCCGCGCAGCACCATCTTTGGCAAGAAGAGTGCGTCTCGTCCCCTCGCTCGCTCTCCCCGCGCTCATCGCTCGAGGTGAACCTCGCTGAGAACGCTGTGCTGACCTTGTTTGCGCCCGTCCGCAGTGTACGTGCTCCGCTCATTAGATCAGGCTGGCCGACTGGCCGCGCCGTCGCCTCTCTCGCCATGCTGACCTTGCTCCCTCCTTCCCCTCCTCGACCTCGCTCATCTTGACCTACAACGCTCGAACGCCGTCCTGCACCATCGCCCACTCGCCGATTCGCTTCTTCGACCTCACGCCTCCCCATTGTTTGCTTTCGCCTAAACCCCGACTACGCCTCGCCGCTTCTCTCCCATCTCGCCTGCGCAGCCTCAACGAGTACATCGCCCTCGGCACCTACGGCCTTGTCGGCCTCGGCGCATGGGCTGCCACTCGCGGCGGCAGCGACGCCAAGAAGGCTGACGACTCGAAGCTCGACATTACCAGCCAGACGGACGAGTGCGTCCCCTTCGCCCCTTCCTTTCCTCCTTGCTTGAGCTGAGCTGACGAGTGTGGTTGGGGGAAACAGCAAGGAGATGATTGCGTTCATTGAGAACTTTATCAACAACGAGGAGCACAAGGCAAAGTCGGCGGGCGGTCACTGAGCGGTATAGACGTCCCGGTTCTCGCAAAACATCTTTGACGGACTTCGTGTGGCTTGTTCGAGAGGAACAGCGAATGCGCGTGAGCCGAGAGAGCCGGCTTGAGATAGCGCCAACTCAGCTCAACCAACCTTTCTTGTATGGATCGTTCCTCTCGGCGCCTGGACAGACAGCTTGGACAGACAGCAAGGCTTCTCGTACACGCCACACCGGCTCAGTCTACGCAGTGAGCGACACCTCCTCTCCCTCCCCTCCTTCGCTCTCCTCCTCATCCTCTCGCTCTCCCTCAGCTCCCCCATGCCGCACCTGCACTCGCACAGGCCCCAGCGAGCTCATCAACCACTTCTCAAACTGCTCTGTCGGTCCACCCGGTACTCGGAACTGCGTCTCCAGCACGTCCTGGATTTGCGGATCGGAGCGCGCGAGGGACGAGTCGTGCGCGGCCGAGGTCCAGAAGGTGGTGACCTGCTCAGCCCAGTCTTCAGCTGTCAGAAAGAAGCGAGGAGATAGGAGAGGAGAGGGAGGCGCACCTGTTCTCGGAACTCTTCCTTGTGCAGGATCGCCATCCTCTGCAGACTCAACGCTCGCAAACGGTCCAAGACGCCTTCTGTCTGCGCTGAGATGGCTGAGATCGCTGGTGCGAGGAGGGAGGATGCGGAGGGCGGTGGAGAGGGGATTGTCGCAGGTGGAGCGAGGAAGGAGAGGACGAGGAGGACGGTGAAGAAGAGCGCGCGCGCGAGGTGGAGTTCCGAGTGGAGCTGTGAGCATGCGTCAGTAAGATCTTGTACGGCGACAGACGTCTTGGCGCAACGCACCATCGAGATCTTGCCGCCGACTCCGCCTCGCGCGCCATCCCAAGTCAACCTCTTCCATACCTCCACCCCGGCTCCCGTTACAACCGCCAAGACCATCCAAGCCCTCCACCTCTCTCTCCCATTTCCGCTCAACAACAGTCCACACCCCGTCAATGCCGTCAAACACGCGACAGCCGTCCCAGGCGCGATAGCAAGAAGGTAATCCGTCCCGAGAAGTCCGGCTGCGCTCGCAGTCCCGGGTGGTCGACACCATGCGCATTGCATGAGTGGGCCGGCGCCATAGGCGATGTAGGCTAGTCGGGCGTCGAGGGTTTGCAGCCGCGAGGCGAGGGCGAGTTCGGGTTCGGAGAGGGGACGGCCGAGAGAGTGCGACCAGGCTCGGGCGAGGGTTTCGGTCGCGAGGCGGATGTCGAGGGGGTGACGGAGAGTCGGGAAGAGGGAGGAGAGGAAGGAATGGGGCGTTGAAAGCGAGAGAAATAGGTTCTGGACCAGGAGGAGACGAGGTCAGCTTGGAAGTCGCTCGGATCGGACAGCTTGGACGGACATGTGGAGGTGATAGAGCAGAGAAGACGGCTACAGAGACACCCAACGCAACGAGAAACAGCCGGAAGATGGCCAGTCTAGGGGAGTCGACAAGCATGCGAGGAGGAGGCCGGTTGACGAAAGCTGGGTGCGCCGGCGCCCTCGAGCCCTTTGGCGCTGGGTTGAGAAAGGACTGAACGAGTCGAATACCCTTCGGCACGAGGTACGGCGCCGAGATGACCTGCGAGAGGGGTTCGTGAGCGAATGCGCGACGTCAGGATGCGAGAGGCAGCACCAGCGCGGTCTGCACGAGTCCATTCTGTAAGATAGCAGTCATCTCGAGCTCATGCAGCCTGCGGACCAGCGTTCAGCGAGATTGAGCGGTGTGGTCCTCGTCGAACAGGCGAACTCGCTCTCGTTGCGGTCGTCCACCATCGCTGCACACGCTAAAGCGAGCTGAGACTGTACTGACAAGCTTCTTACTGCTTTCTGCTACCGTCCCTCCTACGCCCTGTCCACCTGAAGTCCTCTCCTCGTCCCCCTCCCGGTTTCACCACTTTCATCTCTTCCCGACTCTGCCACCTCCCAGCGGGCTAGACAAGGTGCGCAGAGGCTCCTCAGGCGTCTTGAGTCCGTTTCGCAGTATTAACGATCGCTCTCGCAGCTCGCAGACCCGCCTGTCCCCCTCTTCAGCACCCGGACTTCCCCCGTACCCCTGTCTCCTCCCCTTCCTTCCACCATGTCCGCCTCGAAAGTCGCCCTCAAGCGCCTACAAAAGGAATACAAGGCGCACCAGGCCGATCCTCCTCCGTTCGTCTGGGCTAAGCCGAATGAAGCCAAGTGCGTTCCGCTTCGTCTCGCTCGCAGTCCTGATTCCGGCAGGCTGACTTCCATTCGGATGCCGTACAGCATCCTTGAGTGGCACTACATCTTCCGAGGACCGCCCGATACACCCTTTGCAGGCGGAGAGTATTGGGGGACGATTATCTTTCCGAAGGTGAGGATTGCACGCTTCTTCAGCGTCTGTCGCGGATGAAACCCTGCACATACTGATTGACGGTACCGTGATCTCACAGGAATACCCGTTTGCGCCCCCTGCATTGCGGATGATGACACCCTCAGGCCGGTTCGAGTCGAACAAGTCGATCTGTGCGTACTTCCCGTCTCTCCGGCTCTCCGCGGAACATGCACTGACTTGGCTCAACCTTACAACGCTACGCAGGCACGTCCATGTCCGAGTACCACCCCGGATCGTGGAACGTAGCATGGTGGGTCGCGCCGTCCGCTCCGCCTCCTCGCTCACCGCTAACTTCTATCATTCGCAGGTCGGTAGACACGATTCTCGTAGGCTTGCTGAGCTTCATGCTGAGCGACGAGATCACAACTGGTGCGTCGTCCCTCTCCTCTCCCTGCTTTCCTTCCCGCAGAACTGACTCGCTCTTCCTCCCGCACCCAGGCGCCGTCAAATCGACCGACGCCGAACGTCGCGCTCTTGCAACCAAGTCCCACGCATGGAACATCACTCAACCCAAATTCAAGACCATGTTCCCAGACTATGCGACAACTGCGATGAAGGATCTGCCGAATATGAGCGGGGCAGCGCCGAAGCCGGCTGGGTTGCAGGGCGAGGGGAAAGTGCCGGTGCGTCCGAGCGATACTAAGCGTTCAGTCGAGTGTGCTGACTTGAAGCGCACGGCAGGGTAGCTCATGAACGGTTCGACGGCCGCGGACAGAGGCAACATAACGGCGGCGGGCGGTGCGGGTTCGGCAAGGGTACGAGGTACCGGCTTGGGTGGCTCTGCGCTGGGCGTACTCGCGGGAGGTGCGGTTCTGGCGGTTGCAGTGGGTGTCTGGCTGAGTTGGCGGTAGTCGAGGGCGTGCGGCGGGTCGAGCAGGCTTCTCGGCTGTCTTTGCAGTGCATTCTAGAGTAATGTGCGTTCGTTTGGCTCGTCTCAAGTTGCTTCTCGTGCAGGGTCGAGAGTTATCTCGTTGTAATCGGCTCATTACAATCCGGCTGTATTCCATCCTTATCTTCCTCATCGCTTCTCTTTCCCACACTCCTGCTGACTTGCCGAACCGTGAGCTCTCTGCCGTGCTTCGGACAAGCCCGCCTTGCTCGCCCAGACCCGCCAAACCCGCCCGTTCCCTGCCCCTCCTCCCTATCCTCGTCGTCATCTCCAACCTCGCTTCCACCGCCTGCACGATCCGCTAGACTCGACGAGCTGCGGTAGGTGGACATACGAAGCGCGCGCGACACTAGCCACCCCTCCAATACCAGCAGCGACGCCCTCGACCCCCCGTCCGCGCCCACACCCCCGCTGCCACTCCCGACACGCTCTCAACCCCTCTCGTCTCGCCGTACAAGCGCGCTGACTCGTTCGACGACTCGGGGGAACGCAGATGCCTGGCCTTACGGACGATGAAGTCGTGAGCGAGATGCGGAAGATGGTGCGTTTGCCATGGGTCCTCTCCTTCCGTGTCTGCTTGTTCCCGGAGGTGGCTGCTGTCCCAGTCGTTCGACTTGGACAGGCGCATGAACCTTCTCGGACGGTGACAACGCATGAGGAGCGGATAGTTGACCTTCGCTCGCTTCGCGCGATAGACGGCGTTCATCAAGCAGGAGGCGCTCGAGAAGGCTCGCGAGATCAAGGTCAAGGCCGATGAGGAGTTTGCGATCGAGAAGGTGCGTTGCGGCTTTTCACTGCGAACCAGGCTTGCTCTTCCGTCCACGACGGGAGAGGCGAGCCTGTGGGAAATCGAGGTTGAAGGCGCCGTTGACATTGGGGCGTTTGGCTCGCAGGGTAAGATTGTGCGGCAAGAGAGCGCCAACATCGACGCCAACTTTGAGCGGAAGAAGAAGCAGGCCGAGATTGAGAAGAAGATGTGCGTGTGCCCTTCCTCCGCACTGCTTCGACGTATGCAATTGCCTAAGCGCATACTCGCGCTGTCCTGATGCCGCACTTGCCGCGGTACCGACACCCGCTCATCCGACCCGCCCGCCCGCAGCGCCATCTCGAACCAGAACAACAAGGCGCGATTGCAGCTGCTCGAGAAGCGCGAGGAGCTGCTCGAGAAGGTGTTTGACGAGGCCAAGGCCAAGATTGGGGACGCGACGAAGGACCAGAGCAAGTATGCCGAGCTGTTGAGGAACTTGGTCTTGCAGGTGCGCGCCAAGCCGTCTCTGGATCACCGTCATCCTTCCAGACACGAGGGAGATACTGATGTGCAGGAACTTGTTGCGCCCGCAGGCCCTCTTCCGGCTGATGGAGAAGAACGTCAAGGTGTCGGGCCGACCAAAGGACCAGGAGATCCTGAAGAAGGCGGTCGACGACGCGGCGTGCGAGTTCAGGGAGAAGTCGGGCATTGACGTGCGAGTCGAGGTCGACGACCAGCTGAGCGACAAGTCGTGGGTCGCGCTCTCTTCGCTGCTCGAACGAGAACTTGGCGACTGACCTTGCTTTCGATTCGCGCTCGCGCAGGAACGGCGGCATCATCCTCACTGGCGCGCGCATCACGGTCAACAACACGCTCGACGAGCGCCTCAGGCTGCTGTCGGAGCTCGCGCTGCCCGCCCTCCGCGAGAACCTGTTCGGCAAGAACCCGAACCGGGCCTTCTTCTCCTAGTCCCGCCGTCGTCTCTATTTCTCCCAGCGTACATTCGTTCCGTCGTTTCGTTCTCTTGTGCAACTATCGCCCGCGGTTACAACAGCAGCACTCGTCGTGGTCATTCCCCCTTTCGTCGTCGTCGCCGGTGTTGCGTCGCTGCCGACTCCGAGCAGATTGTCATCGTCCCCGCTCAGCTTGAGCTCCTCTTGATGCTCTTGCGCAGGCTGACGAGGATGGCACCGAGCACCAAAGCAGCCGCAGACAGACTCGCGGCAGTCAACCGCTCGTTCGCATCCGCTTCCCCCGCCTCGCTCCGACTCGAAGAACGACCGCTCCTCGGACACTTGACGCTCGATGGGCTCAGGCTGCCGGTCAGGGAGGTCACGAACGAGGATGATAGGGCTCGACTGCCGAGGGAGGACTTGCTGCTCGATGCGAGCGACCCGTCTGTCCAGCGAGATCTTGCATGGTTGATGCAGAAGTGGGACTTGCGTGCGTCCTCCGTCGCTCCATCTAGTCGCTCTGTTCGATGGACGCTGACATTGTGTGTGTACGCAGGCCAGGACGTCTTCCTCCTCTCCTCTCCCGGCCTCTACACTCGCCGACTCGCTCTCACCTTCCTCCACCTCCTCAACACGCCCTTTGAGATCGTCTCTCTCCACCGCGACGTCGGCGAGTCGGAGCTAAAGCAGGGACGGGAGATTAGGGAGGGCGGACATTTGGAGTACACGGATTCGGGAGCTGTGAGGGCTGCGAAGGAGGGGAAGGTGTTGATCCTGGATGGGATCGAGCGGGTCGAGCGTGGCGTGTTGCCGTTGCTCAAGTGCGTTGGGTCCTCTCTTTGCTGTGAAGACGCCAGCTGACTCCCTCGCTTGCAGCAACCTCCTCGAGTACCGCGAGATGGTCAGCCCTCGATCCCTTCTCTCGCTTCGTTACGCTCACAGAGCTGACGTTCCCGCTATGCAGAACCTCGAAGACGGCACACACATTGTCTCAGCCGCCCGCTACGACCTCATGGTCAAGCAGAACGAGGACACGACGAGCTTTATTCCCGCCCATCCCGATTTCCGAATCATCGCGCTCGGCGTGCCAGTCCGTGCGTACGATTCCTGCGTCACGATCGTGTCCGTGCCGCTGAGCGAACGTGATTGGATGGGACAGCTCCCTACTCCGGCCTCCCGATCGACCCTCCCTTCCGATCCCGCTTCCAAGCGCGCTACGTCGACCCAGTCGAGGCGGCCAAAGTTCTCGCGCGGCAAGAGCTGAACAAGCTTCGCCAGGACCGCGGGGAGGAAGCGGTGAAGAAGGTAGAGGGGGTTGTGGGAAAGGTTGCGGAGGTCATGACGAGCTTGCAGATTGCGAGGGAGATGCGTACGTTGCCTTGTCTTCCGCCAGATCAAGGTTACCCGAGCTCGTCGCTGATGAGCCGTTTGACGGCAGGCGCAAAGATGGCCTCGGGCATCACGACCGACTCGAAAACCGAAGTTCCCCTCTTCCCGCAGACAACCCTCGTCAAGCTAGCCCGCTTCCTCGCCATCTTCCCTCCGCCCTCAGACGGCCACCTCGTCACGCCATCCGACCTCTTCAGCCTCCTTCTCGTCGCTCATCCAACTCTCGCCTACTCGGGACCCGCCGCACGACGTGCGCTCGAGACTGCACTTCTCGGCGCGGGATTTGGCTCGTGGTGCGAGGGCATCTCCGATATCGACTTTGTCGCCGAAGCTGCGCAGCGCGAGACGGGCATCTTTGGCTGGCGCCTCGTCTCCATTTTCCGCACTGGCGAAGGAAACGACCAGGCGCAGCTCACGTTCGCGCGAGACGGTTGCGAAGACGTCGTCGTACCCGTCGCGTGCGGTCCTCTCCCTTTCGCACCCTTCCCGCCCGCGGAAAGCGACGAGGTCCGCATCACCTCTCGCTTCACCCACCTCCTCACCTCTCTCTTCCAGCTCCACGCCCTCTCAACATTCGACATCTCCTTCGTGCCCTCCTCAGCATCGGTCCAGTCTTCCTCCGCATCGACTTCGCTCGTCTTGCAGACTTTCTCCTCCCTGCTCGGCTACGAACTCGAGGCGATCCACCTGTACAAAGAACTTGGCGGACGCGAACTCTGGATGCGTCGAGTCGTCGGTGGAACGAGCGGAGGCGTGACGGGATGGGAACCTGCGCCGCTTGTCAAGGGCGCCAAGGCGGGACGACTTGTTTGGCTGGACGGGATCGATACGATTGGAACAACGTTTGGCTCGTTGTCGAGGTTGCTCGGGGATCGGCAGGGAGAGTTGTGGGAGGGGAAGAGGCTGACGGTGCAGGAGAAGGAGAAGGAGTCCACCAACTCGATCCTTGACTACATCCACCCATCCTTCCGAATCGTCACAACCTCGACCAAAGCCTCTGCCGCAACCGAGTGGTTGACCGAGGAAGTCGCGTCGAGTCTCGTCTCGCTCTCGACTGTCCCCATGCCTTTGGCCGAAGAACGCGCCCTCCTCCTCGCCGTCGGATGCCCGTCTTCGCTCGTCGACCACCTCGAGTTGTTTGCACAACGGTATCGCGAGCACACCTCGGTCGCGGGTAACAAGTCGCGCAGGCTCGGGACGAGTACCCTCGTTCGTATCGCCAAGCGACTCGCGAGGCACCCACACGAGAACCTCCGAACGCTGCTTCATCGCGCCTTGCTCCTCGACTTCCTGCCCAACACCGAGCGCGAGCAGGTCTCGGACTTGATGGACGAGGTGGGACTGCAGGAGGAGCCCGCCTCGACGCTGCCGCCTGTCGAGGTAACGGACACGACGCTCGTCTTCCGCTCCGACCTGGGCGACGAACACGAATACGACCTCGCTCGCTTCGACATCTCGCAGGACCCGACTGGCGCTTCGCATGTCCCGCACGCCGAGGGCTACCACCACAACGCGCAGCAGACTCGTTACATTCGCGATATCGGTATCGACCTGTCTGTTGGCGAACACGTCCTGCTGCTCGGCAACCAGGGCACAGGCAAGAACCGCATCACGGACCAGCTGTTGCAGCTTCTCGGACGCCCGCGCGAGTACATCCAGCTTCACCGCGACTCGACCGTCCAGAGCTTGATGTTCACGACGTCGATCGAGGGAGGAGTCATCAAATACGTCGACTCGCCTCTCATTCGCGCTGTCCAGCTCGGTCGGGTGCTTGTCGTCGACGAGGTTGACAAGGCGCCTCCTCCAGTCGTCGCCGTCTTCGCCTCTCTCGCTAGTCGAGGCGAAATGACTCTCGCCGACGGTCGCAAAATCCGTCCGCGGCCTCAGCCTGGGGCCGGCGAGAACGACATCATCGTCTCACCCAACTTCCGCCTCATCCTCCTCGGAAACCGGCCTGGCTTCCCCTTCCTCGGCAATCCTTTCCTCCAGCACCTCGGTGACAGCTTCTCCACTTATCCGATCTCGAACCCCGACACCGAGTCAGAACTGCGGGTACTGCAGCAACTCGCGCCTGAACTCGACGTCGAGCTGCTCAAGGCGCTCGTCCTCGCTTTCCAAGACTTACGGAAAGATTTCGACGCCGGCACCCTTTCCTACCCCTTCTCCCTCCGCGAGGCTCTCGCGCTCGTCCGCCACCTCCGCCGCTTCCCGGACGACTCGCTCGAGCAAGCCCTGCGCAACTTGTTCGACTTTGACACCCATCGTCCCGAGACGATCGACGCTTTGATGGCCGTCCTGCGCAAGTACCGGTTGGGCGTTGAGCGCGTCGGGATGGATGCTGTGAGGGGACAGATCGTGCCGGTTGACGAGCTGAGGAAGGCGAAGGAGATCGAGTTTGACCCGGCGAAGGAAGGGAGGGATACATCGTTGAGCGAACCGAAGGTCGGCAAGGACGACGGGAAGGAGCATCATGGCGGAAATACGTTCGCTGGTGGCACGGGCGGTGTAAGTACAGCGTCAGCTTCAAGCCCCTCAAACTCGCTGACCCAGACCACTGGCAGCGCGACACCGCAGGCCTCGGCGGACGCGGCGGCTACAAGCGTCTCTACAAGGGCCACGACATCCGTCAGATCCCCGACAGCCTCAAAGCGCAAGTGCCGGACGAGATCAAGAATCGCGCGCGAGACATGGCTCGCAAGGAGCTGGCCGAAAAACTTGCCGAGATCGACATGTCCAGTGCGCAGGCTTCCATGTACTCGCGCTACCACGACCACGTCATCTCGCATGTCTACCAGCTCGTGACGTTCCTGGAGAACCTCGAGGCGAAGGAGGAGGAGCGGGTTTGGCTGAAGAGGCAGGCGGATGGCGAGTTGGACGAGAGCAGGCTGTCGGAGGGCCTGACAGGCGAGCCAACGGTGTATAAGCGCCGTGGTCTGGAGAAGCGTGCGTTGCTGCGACCTGAACGCCTTCTCGGCAACTTGGACTCGCTGACTCGGTCGTCGCTTGTCCTTTGCAGCCGAACTGGGCCGCCCTCAGCTCAAGCCCAAGCGTATTCGCTTCGTCTTCGACGTCTCCGCGTCGATGTACCGTAACCAGGCAGATGGACGGCTCGCTCGTTCGCTCGAAGCGGGTGCGTCGGCCTTCCTAATCTGACTTGACTGCTACGCTCGCTGACCGATGTCGCTTTCTCCGACAATCTCGCCCGCTCCTTCTCACCCTCTCCATGCACTCTTGCACTTGGGCGACGTTCCCACGGCTTTTCTGTTCGTCGCCTGTCTACCATTCGACCGCTACCCTCCGCCAAATCTGCTCGCCCACTTCCAGCCGTCATGCTTCTCGAAGCTTTCGATCGTCTCAGCGCGAGCGGCAAGGCCAAGTACCGGATTGACGTTGTCGGGCATTCGGGCGAGTCAGCCGAGATCCCCTTTGTCAACGTCGATGCGCTCCCGACCAACTCGGGCGACCGGTGGAAGATTGTCGAGAAGATGGCGCTCATCACACAGTACTGCTGGCCTGGTGACGAGACGCTGAACGCGCTGAACAAGGCAGTCGACGCGGTGGCCGAAGCGGACGCAGGTGCGTGCTCCCCCTCGAGAGTTTGTCCTGCCGCCTCGCTCACATCGCTCGCTTCGCTTACAGACGACCGCATCGTCATTGCCGTCACGGACGCCAACTTTGACCGCTGTGAGTTGCCGTCACCTACCACGCTCGTCGCCCGCAAGCTAACAATCACCCTCTGCAGACGGCATCGGCGCCGAAGACCTCCGCCGCTGCCTCACCCGCAACTCGAAGGTGCACACGTCGCTCATCGCTATCGGCGAAGGCGCCGAGTCGGAGTGGCTGCCCAAGGTCCTGCCAGGCAAGGCGTTCCGGGTCAAGGACAGCGGCGACCTCGCTCGCACGCTCCGCTCGATTCTCAGCTCGACGCTCGACAAGGGACTGTAGACGGTTCTCTAGAGGTATCTGTATGTCTGTAACTAGACTTCGCGCTATGTGAGAGTGACTGCATGCTCGCACAGGCCTCTCGCTCGTCTTGCTCCTCCCGCTCACTCGCTCTGGCTTGACCGCTGCTCTGCTCGCTCGCGTACACGCTCAGACTGCTCGACACGCGCCATCGTCGGGTCCTACACATTCGCAATCCTCCTCACTTGGTGCGTGAGCGTCTTCACGAGGTTGACATCTGCTCGAACTGACACCGGTCAATCCGCTTCGCAGGAGTCGTTCGAGGCATTAGACCGCCATGCCGACGCCGCCAGAAGGCTATGCAGGCCACTTCTTCGCGTCCATCCAGCGGGAAGACGCCAGTGGTCCGGCTTTCGCGTCTTGGGGGAAGAGCGGTGTCCCCGTCGAAGTCTTCCTCCAGATCATGCACGAGGTCAAGGAGGAGTCGGAGACAGATCTCGTGTGGGCGAGCCACGTCTGCAAGGGCTGGCGTAAGGCGATACTCGAGTGTGGGCCGCTCTGGGACGAACTGGAGGACGTCGAGGCTGGCTCGCTCTTCGCGCTCGATCGCGTGAGGGCGTTCGCTGAGAGGTCGCAGGTGCGTAGGAGTGCTTGCAGGTCACGCACCTTGGCTCGACTGACCGACGTGGGCGCGTTCGCAGGGAAACCTTCGCACCTTCTCCATCACGTTCGACGCCGGCTTGCAAGACCTGCACATCTCGACAGTTCCCATCGTTCTCAAACAAGCGCTGCAAGAGGTGGCGAAGCGCGACGGCGGAAAGTCGCTCGTCGACTTCGAGCTCGACATGCGAGGGTTGCGCTACCACGACGATATCGAGCCAATCTACGCCGCCATCGTCCTCGCAGCGCAGGCACGTCTCGGAATGTCGCCTCCAGATTGCATCAGCTGATATCCCACTCACGCTCAGCAGTTCGCCGAATTCTCCGCCGTCCGAAGCCTCAAGACCTTCAGGATCTATTCCACCGTCGACCGCTATCCCGCTGGCGCCCCTTTCTTCTTTGCGTTGCCCGGCGTCGAGACGCTCGTCCTCACCTCCCAACCGTACGAGCTGCCCGGCGACGCCCGCCTCCCCGACTTCTTCTCGACCTCCGCAACCCTACAGAATTCGCAGATCTCGTCATGCGCGCTGACGACACTCGTGCTGAGCGGTGAGTAGGTTTGTACACGCTCAGTGAGCCGCGCTGACTCGGAACTCGTGCAGGCGTCTCGCTCCTGGACTCGGTCTTCCCCGACTTCCCGCACCTCAAGATAATCAAGTTCTGGCGAGTTCGCTGCTCGAACCTGCTCGGGCTCCTCAAGACGTGCGCAGCGACCCTCGAGGTCTTGTGGCTGCGAGCCGTCACGACGGATGCAGCGGTGCGGTACCTCCCGCCTGCGAAGGACGGGTCGGGCGTGAAGGACTTGCCGGAGCCGCTCGAGTGCGTGCTCCCTCCCCGTTCGCTCGGAGGAAGAAGAAGAGCTAACGTTCACCTGCAGCCTCCCTCGCTTGCGCGACGTACAGGTTGCTTCCTCGTCGCCGTTTCTCTGGACGACACCCACCCAGACGAGCATCGGTTTCGTCACCCTGACGCCAGCGCTCAACAAAGCGTCTTTCACATACCAGCGTCAGTTCGACGAGTACGATCAGGAGAATGAGGGACGCATCGGCTATTGTCGAGGCATGTCGACCGCGTCCTTGACAACCTTCTTCCGAAACTCGCCAACCCTTGAGCACGTCAACTTCACCCTCTGTCCTCTTCCCGCCGATATGCTCGTCTCCGCCCTCGCCTACGCTCCCTCGACCTTGACGACTCTCTGCATCGGCGGCACGGCAGCAGCGAGCGACTCAGTCATCGACCGCCTGCACTCCCTCACCCCACACCTCAAGTGGCTTGACGTTTACGCGTACAACAAGGTCGCCACCGTCTCGGTGCAAGCGCTAGCGCGCCTCGCCCATAGGCTGAAGAAGTCGAACGTCTTGTCGTGGTGGATTGGGTCGAAGTCGTTGACTATCGTCGCCAGTGCGTCGCGGTCTGCTCAACTCGACTTAACTCTTCACTGACGGATTGCTTCCGCAGACAAGCCTTTCAATGACGAAGAGCCGACGCTCCCCGACCTTCGCACCTCTCTCCGCGCCCTGCTCCTCACGCTCTCGGACGCCCAGCTCGCCCACATCCCGCCGCACCTCGACCTCAACCCTTCTCCCTCCGCGCCTTCCTATGAGGACGTCGAAGCGGAAATCCTCTCCCTCGCCGCGCCTCCTCCTCAGCCGCCTTATCCCGCAGCCGGTCCTCCAGCAGGCGCTTCTCCCGCCGAGCTCGCCGCACAACAGAAGAAGCTTACTCCGCCTTACAAGCCGCCGGCGTCGCAGCAAATCTTCGACGACACGGTCGTCGCCCTCCAGAAGTGGAACAAGCGCCGCGAGGAGGAGTTGGCAATTGAGTGGATGGAGAAGGCCGGAGTGCAGCTTGAGTGGAGCACGAGGTGCGGAGACCTCGACTGCCGTGATTGCGATCACCCGGGTGCGGACTTGTGGGAGGCGGACGAGGACGAGGACAAGTAGCGAGGCGATGAAGCAGAAAGAGGCGGCGGCGTCGCTTGTAGTCGCTTGATGTCTCTCACGCATGGCATGCTATCCGCTTTACAGCTTTACAGACGCGCTACAAGGGCTTGGCGGCGAGAAGGCGATTGCGACCGCGCGTCTACAGGTCCGGTCTCTTGCCCGTCCGCAAGTACGCCTGCACCTCCTGCGCCGTCCACGGTCGCTTCCCCTCGCCGACCTCAGCATCCACCTGCATCTTTTCGCCACCGCCTTCTGCGCCGTCTTCGTCTTCCTCAAGATCCACCCGTGCCTTCCAGTCCCACTGCTCATTGTCGCTGTTGAACTCCTTGAGTGCGAGAATCTTGTCGTGCGCGAGAGAGAGTATCCGTGCGTGGTCTGAGACGAGTGAGTCGAAGGATGCGGAGGCAAGTTCGTGAGTGGGCTGGAGCAGAGTTGCGGAAGAGGAGGACGACGCTGCTGTGGTGAGGGCTGAGGCGAAAGGTTCAGGAAGGGAGGCGATTGTTGCGGATTGCGACGATTCGACATCGGGAGTCTGTCAAGAGCGTCTGTTAGCACAGAGTGGAGCAATGCAGCACAATCTGGCGCACCTGTTTGGTCCGAAGAAGCATTCCGACAAGCCAGTCCTTCGCCTCGTCCACCTTTTCCGCCGGCACGACACTCACACTCTCCCATCGTTCCCGCTTGACGTCTCGGTCGCGCTCAGCCCGCCTCTTCCGGCCCGCCGCGCCTCCTTGCATACCCTCCTGCCTTTCTCGCTCCCTCTCCCGCTCTTTGTCTCCCTCGCTACTGAGGAGTCCTTGCAGCGCCGACAGGTGCGTCAAGAGAAGGTTGTATCGTGCGACGAGTTCGGGGAAAGGGAGGATGCCGGGGTTCGCAGTCGAGGGAGTCGGGGCAGAGAAGGCGAGGTAGGAGAGTTGCGTGTGTAGGGCGGTGACAGCGTCGATAAGCTGGACGAGGCGGAGTCGTAGGGGGTCTAGGTCTGGCAGCCCGCCTCCCTGTCCTCCCACGACGGCTGGACTTGCCCCACGACCTGCGTTCGCCCGCGAGGATGATGAGGAGGAGAGGGCGGCGAGGGCGGCTTGCATCGCGGTCGTTCGGGTTCGTCAGGCGTTGTACGAGTCTCAAAAGCCGTCTGGCGCCTCGTAAGCCGTTCACAGCGAGTTGAGCGAGGGTCGGGTGACCAAGCCAGTCCTCCTCGCTTGTCAACCCTTCTCCTTCACCTGCTCACGCCTGAACCGCCTCATTGACCGCCTGAAAGGCTTGCGTAGAGCCCAGTGTAGCCTCCAAACGCGCCCCTCCACCTCCGCTTCCTCCCTTTCACTCGCTTCTCCCCCTCTCGAATCCTCATCGCACAACCCGAGAACACCCCGACAACGCGCGTACCTGGCGTTCTCGACGGCGTCCGACGCGCAGAAGTGTACAAGTGCGGTCAGAAAGCGCCGCCGAGCGCCTTTGTGCGCGCACAGCGGCGGGGTGATCGCCTTGACCTTGGCCGGCGAACGGCACCGGGATGTCAACGCACCATGGGTACCGTACGTTTTCTCACATTATCCGCGCTGCCTGCATGGGCTCACTCAAATGAGGGCGCACACAGTGAACGAGTTTCCCTTCATTCGGGTCGATAACTTCGACGGCGACACGAACTGCTACGGCAAGAAGCCCCACTTCTACCTCCTGACGCATGCGCACACCGACCACATCCGCGGTGCGTTTACTCTGTCCCTCATCAGGCGGGAGCGCTGAACTGACAGTGCTGTATGTCCGCGCAGGTCTCGACTCGCCGACGTTCAATGGCCAGATTTTCGCGACGGCCGTGACGAAGAAGCTTGTTCAGGAGACGATGATCACCGCGTACCGAGTCAGGCTCGAGGAGATGGCCGAGCGGAACGTCGGGAAGATGAGGAAGTTTGCCAACCTTTGCTCGGTCAGGCCAGGCGGGAAAGGGAGAGGCGCAGGCATGGACAAGATCGTGCGTCGCTACATTTTCCTCCGGAAAGAAAGCCGATTTACGATCTAGAGCTCGCAGAAGGTGCTCCCGCTCAACACGCCAACTCAGCTGTCCGGTCCCGATGGCTTCGTTACAGTTACCGCGCTCGACGCAAACCACTGTCCGGGTTCCGCAATGTGTGCCGTTCCATCCCTCTGCGTCGAGGCTTGTGACTGAAACAGCCTTCGCAGGTTCCTCATCGAAGGCGAGGTCAAGGGCAAATTCCGCTCCTGCCTCATCACCGGCGACATCCGCATCGAGCCCTGGTGGCTCGAAGCGCTCAAGCACAACCCGATCGTCGCTCCCTACATCCCCTCCCACACGAAGACTGGCACTGCCAGGTCACCCAGGACGCTCGACTGCATCTACCTCGACACGAGCTCGGTTTTGCTTACCGATGAGCTGCCTACGAAGGTGCGTTCTCGCTCCTGCTATCCTTGACCACGCGCTGATGGTTAGCGGTCGTGCAGGACGAGGCTGTAGCCGAGGTGATCGCACTCATCGAGCAATACCCGCCCGATACTCGCTTCTTCCTCAACGCGTGGGTCGTTCGCTTCCCTTTGATCGTGTTGCTGTACTGACGCTGTGTTGTGCGTAGCTGGACGTGGGGATACGAGGAGCTGCTCAAGGGCGTCCACAAGGCTTTCGGCGAAACCGTGCGCAACGAAGACATGTCCACGCCGTCGCCGTACTGACCTTGAAGCCGCAGATCCACCTCGACTGGTACAAGTACCGCCTCTACACCTCCTCAGCTTTCCGCTCCTGCGACCCGCTCCTCGCGACCCTCGGCACAACCTCCTCCTATCCTTCGTCCTCGTCAACAGCGCCCGAACCTTCACCCTCGCTTCACGCCGGTCAAGTCGCTACTTCTGCCGAAATCTCGGCACCCGATTCCGCGAGCACTCCGCCTCGACCACTCCGATTCCATGCCTGCGAGCGGCGCTGGAAGTGCGACCACGTGTGGAACGACGGGCTCGGCTGTTTCGCATGGGACGAAGGGGCCATGGACGCCCTCAGAAGTCCGAAGAAGCTCAAGCGGCCTGGCAGCGGCGAGGTTTTGCCTGAGGATCGGGCGAATGGCGGTGCGAGGGTCGTCTATGTCAACCCGAGCGAGATGCCGAGATGGAGGTGGGAAGCGTACAAGGAGGACGTCACGAAGAAGATCGAGACGTGGAAAAAGCGACAGGAGATTGAGCGCGGGAAGGGGAAGAAGCGGGCGCGAGGAGACCACATCGAGAAGGCGGAGCTTCCGAACGCCCTTGTGCGTGCCGGCCTCCTTTTCCCGCTTTGTCAAACGCATTCGACTGACCGCTGCGCCCACAGATCATCCCTCTTGCGCGACACTCCTCGTGCCCCGAGCTGCAATCTCTCGTCGCCCTCTTCCGCCCGCAAACCGTGTATCCACTTACTTGCACCGACGACGACCCTGACTCGCCCGCGCACCAGTACATGACTCTCCCCTCGATGTTCGGCGACCTCCTGGCACCCGGAGGCGACGAGCAGCTTCGCGAGGAAGCGAGGCGGTATCGTCGTGCGGTCAAGAAGAAGCGAGGTATCGTCGCGCCGAGTTCGGCTGGCCAGGACGATCCTCTGCAGGAGTGCGGGCTCATTGAGCCGAAGTGGGTGAGGGAGATGACCCTGAAGGGCTTGAACCTTGAGGGACCGTTCGAGGTCGTCAAGGAGGTCGGATTCTGGCTCAAGAGGCTCGAGAAGGATCAGTGGACGCCGAGTCGCTGTTCGATACAGGCGCAGGCTTGCCTTGAGCTCATCAAAGCGGCGCCCAAGAACCCGACGGAATCAGCAAAGGCGCCGAGCGAGACGGTAGTACTGTCGGACACGGAGGACGAGGAGATGCCGCCGCCGAAGAAGCGCAAGACCACGTCCGCCAAGCAGCTACCAGGGCCAGCGCTTGCTCGGCAGCTCTCGTACGGCGAGACATCGTCGGCATCTCGTCAACCGCCCGTTCTTTCGACTCCGGTCGTTCCGCCTACGGCGAGTCGCTCAAGTCGTCAATGCACGCCTGAGCTCGCCGCGCCAGTTCGCCTCGAATCACCTCTGTCCATCGGCCCACCTCTGCGGAAGTCGGTCACGTTCGCCTCGTCGCCCACGTCTCGGCCGCTGGACAGAAAGCAGGTCGCTCACTCGGCGAGCTCGGCTCCAACAGGCAGCCTCGGGTCTTCGCCGGACCCCTCGCCACTCTCTCGCGACATGGCGGCAAGCGCGAACATACTCGAACCTGCACAACCTGCCTCGGCTACTCCGCCGAACCGCTCTCATGCCGCCGGCCTTCTGCCGATCGTTGCTCACGCAGCGCCCGAGTCCGCGGAGACTACCACCGCGTCGAAGACGGAAGTACGCCCATCCAGCGCGACTCGAGAGCGTCGGCGCACCGTCGAGGCCTGCCTCCTACGCAAGATGCGAGGGCTTCTCTGCGAAGGAGGCAAGATTGAGCCTTTCGTCGCAGGCGATCCGCGACTGCAGGGTCGCAAGCCACTTCGCCGCTTCGTTCTCCTTGCCCTCGCAACTGTTCATGGAGGCGAGGGCAAGGAGAACGAAGCGGCGGAGCCGAAGAAGGGCATCTCTGACTCGCCATCTTCCTTCCGCACCGTCGCGCCGAGCACTAGTCCGCTTGCTTAGCATTCCAGCCTGTCTGTGTCCTCTGTGTTGTCGTCAATACTAGCCCGCAATGCGAATGTCTCGTGAAAGGTCACGTTGCGCCGATGCGCGATCTACAAGAAGAGTACGACAGGCTTGCGGAGGAAAGGATGGATAGCCAGACGATGCGAAATAGATGTACGAGGGACAGTATCGATGTAAGGAGTCTAAGTGGAATATGCGCGGAATCAAGTCCAGAGGAGGCTGATGTCGAAGACCTGCATGTCCGTCCCGCCCCTCCTAGGCCTGTTAAGCGCGACAGACCGTCCCTGCGGCTTCTTCTCGTCCTCTTCATCACTCGCCGAGTCCTCACCCTCGACGCTCTTGCCGTCGACCGAGCCCGTGCCGTCGTCTTCCGCCTTGATTTTCTTCTTCTTCGGCACGTACCACGGCGAGTCGAGGATCGGCGGCAGCTCAGGTTCTCGCCGATCGGCAGGGAGGACACCCTTCTGTCGCGGGATCCATCGAGGGTAGACAGGCTCGGGCGAGACGGGCTGCGAGCGAGTCGAGCCGGCGCCGCCGTAGCCGCCTCGCCTTCCGCCGCGGGCGCTGGCGCTCGGCGTACCTCGTCGAGAGAATGCGGGTGACGAGGCGCGAGAAGTATCGGGGCCGGCGATACGCGAGCGAGGTTGTCGGCCTTTCTTCGACGTGAGTCGGGAGGTCGACGCCGCGGAGACGTCCGATGCGGCTGCAAAAACGACAGGCACGTCAACATGTGCGGTGTGAGCGTATAGTCAAAGCGATAGGGCGCACCAGGCGAAGGGGAGCGCTTGACGCGCTTTCGGGCGGGTTGAGAAGGTCGTCCTTCGTCTCGCCTGTTTCGCTCAAACCCGTCAGTAAGGCTCCTACAAGCGCATTGACGCAGAGAAGAGACACTCACGGCTTGGACGCGCCCTTCCAGTCGTCCGTAATCTCCTCCCACCACCGCTTCCACTCGCTTTTCTCCTCGTCCGGAATCCGATCGTCACCGCCTCGCGTAATCATCCGCACGACCGTCACGTCCTTGAGCAGCGACTCGAGCTGTTTCCCGCTTGCTCGTGGACAGTCCCGCTTGGACTTGAGAGACAGGCAAGCCGAGTCGAGCACTTCGCCGAGCGGGCCGGGCGTCATGGCGAGTGCGAAGACGGCGAGTTTTGCGGTCGTGATAGGGTAGGTCGGGAACTCGAGCACGGCAGTGATGTGTGTGTAGATGAGGGCCGTGTTGTGGAGGTGGGCGGCGCGAGCGGCGTAGGCGGGCGTGTTGACCGTTTGCTGGAAGCGCTTCTGGGCGACGTCGAACGTCTCGAGGTCTGGCGGAAGTGCGTCAGGCTCGTGCACATGCGGAGATCACTGTGAAGCTCACCATGTGGCTGAGCCTGCAGTTCCGCAAGAAAGGCGGAGAGGTCGTCGCAGACAGCTCGCAGCGTTCGTCGAGGTTTTCGATCATGGGCGCGGGAAGCTGCTCAAATCGGGATGTTAGCACGTTGCACATACCTGTGCAAGCTGTACGTACGCTGAAAGAACTGTTCTGGAGGCGGCGTGACGAGAGCGGGAGGAGGCGGAGCAGGCGGAACTTGGGTGAGGAGCGGGCGCGAGGTGAACGAGTCTTGCAGTGCCGGGACTGGCGCAACTCGGACTGGAGGCTCGGGCCGTCTGTAGAAACTGGCTGTCGCTGGCTTGCTGACGTTTGAGCTGCAAATAGCGCGGTCAGTCGAGAAAAGGGATGAGGAAGGCGCGGGACGCACCTCGTGCTCGGCAGGTTCAGCAACACCTCGTTCGTGACCTCGTAGTTGTCCGCACTTCGTACGAAGCATGCCACGTCCGGCCAAAGATGCCGCGAAGCCTTGGCCGCCTCGTTGAGCGTATCGAAGATGCCTCGCACCATTCCCGCCGAGATCTGTTCCCGCACCGTGCTCAAACTTCGCAGAACTGATGCGATGGGCAGGTTCGAGTGAGTCGCGAGGACAAAGGCGACTTTGTCAGGCTGGATAGGGTAGACGGGAACGCCGAGAGAACTGCAGAGGGACGAGTAGATGCCCCAGTCGGTCCAGAGTCGGCTGCGGACGTTCGGCTCGTTCGCGTTGAAGACGGAGGAAATGGCGTGGCCGGAGAGGACCCGAATGCGGTCGGGAGAAGAGACTGCTAATCCGCGAATGTCAGAAAGTCGTCTCTGCCTCGCGGGTGAGAAGGCAACGAGGTGAAAATTGCGCACAGCCGTTCAGCACGTCGCGCATCTCCTGGATGGCAGCTTGCACCCCCTCCAGCGACGTCGAGTGCAGCAATCTCGTCATCGGCAAGTCTGGCTCGGAGTCGGAACTTGGATGAGGAGGAGAAGGCTCGCTCTTCGTGTGCGTGTGCGGTGCCTCACGGGGCGGACTGCATGTGATGGTCGGTCTGTCAGATAGTGTCAAAGGCGTACAAGCTCGCACGGACGCACCAGGGCCTCGCAATGCCTTGAACAAGTCGAGCACCGCCCCCCTCCTGCTGTACGACGTCTCCCTCGCGCTGAAGAGGCTCGCCGAGCCGCAAAGTCCGCATGGGCGGCAGAGTAACATTCGAGAAGGACTGCAAATCCATGCCCGTCGTCGAAGGCGCGTGTGACGGCGCAGAAGACGGTCCGGGGGCGAGGAAGCGCTGGGTTCGCTCATCTCGCGGCGCTGAGAACGCGAGAGCGCCCGTGCCACGCTCCGAGACCTGCTCCGACATGTCACACGTCTGCGCGAGCAAGAAGACGCGGTGTGCGAGGACGAATGGGTGCAGAGAAGTCGAAGAAACGAACTCGAGACTCGATGACCTCGCACAACCTCGACGCCCGTCATTCGCTGCGATGGGACCGGGAAGCTGTTCAACAGGACCTACTGAGAGTACTCCATCTGCCAGAACCGGTCAGGCGTGGTGAGGGCGTGTCGGCTCCCGCTTTTCGCGTCTCCGCGCAAACCGCAAGTCGAAGTCGGCCTTGGACGGCTTCCTAGCGGTCATGCTCTCGCTTGGAGCATTGCTTGACGTGCCATGGCACCGTCCATTGCGCGGGAAAGCCCTAATATGAGTGCGCCGTTCCATCTGCGCCCGCTGAGCAGGGGCGAGACCGAATCCGCGTCGCTTTGCGCTCACGGTTGCTCCGCTTGTTCCTCCTTGAGCGGGAATGCTCTCCTGAACCCACAGCTTTCGAGCAGGAGCGAGCCGAAAGCGCCTCCTCCCGTTGAGCGCTTCCCGGTTGTCGTCACGCTCTGCTCTTCCTCGAGACTCCGCGAGAATTGCCAGGCAACTTTGCCGGTCGCTACGGCGCGCTGAAACGGAGAGCACCTTTTACACGTACGGCGAGCGAGACTGAGCTACAGGAAAGCCTCAGCAAGGCGAGAAAGCCTGTCGTCTGGCCTGAGAAGGTACCGCTTAGACGCGTCCGCCTGCCGTGGCAACATGCGCGGTGCCCTCGGCAGCAGTGGCGCGGAGTCTACGCAATGTGGGTGTGCAGATTGTGGCGCCGAAGCAGGACATATGCGCGGAGGGAGAAGAGCGGGAAAGAGGCGTCGATGTGGTGCGGTGTTAAGGCCGCTCAAGACAAGTGCCGTCCAGCTGGCTATTCTGCCGCTGCTCAGTGCGCTCAAAATGGACGTAAAAGCCGTAGGGGCGGCGTGATGGCGGTACAAGGCAAGGGGAGCGCTGATAGCGGGACGAGGGATGGTGAAGGAGCGTGCTGAGGTCCCGTCGGCGGTCTCCATGCGCGTCGACTGGGTCGGGCGCAACACTGTGGCTTCATGTGAGCAATATGAGCCAGCCCATGAGCTCACTCCACCCGCCCGGCGCCTTCGCCCGACTGCAAGCCTCCGCGAAACCTCATCAGTCGATAGGTGGTCGTGGGTCGAGCTGGAGACCGGCGGGCGGCAGTGACTGCGCTCAGCGATTGCTGTAGGCGTGAAAAGTAGCCCAGCGAAGCAACCAAGCCCAACCAGCGTGTGTGAAGCGGAGCCGGGACATGGTTCGTGGCGAGAGTTTGGGGCGTCTCCTCCCCTTCACCCGCTTCCACCGCTTTTGTCGGGTCACGCGCGTGTCTGCTTGCTCGGATCTGCCATGGCTCAGTTCGCCGACCCAGAGACGCGCTTCGACCTCTTCGGCGGGGCTGAGGAGCTTCCCCCGTCGCTGCGACCCCGCACCTCGGCTCGCTCTTCCTCCTCCTCTTCGTCGTCCACGGGCACGCCAGCATCGTCATCCGACTCGGAGGAGGCAGAGACGCGCGCGACGACGCCGGGTGTGGACGAGGGGAAGCCGGCTTGGGTGTTGCCTGGCGAGCAGTGGGCGCCGAGGACTATTGAGCCTGCGATGGACGGGAGCGACTTTCTGTGGCAGATGACGGAGGAGCCGCACCGAACGCGGCGGAAGGCGATCCTGAAGGCCCACCCAGAGGTGCGCTGTCGGTGCCGACTTCCCGTTCCTTCGCTTCGAAGGGGATTGTCGTCTCTTTCAAGTATTTGTATTCACTGCCACTTCTCCCGCAGATCACCAAGCTGATGGGCCACGAACCCTTGACGAAATGGGTCGTCCTCTTCGTCACGCTCGTCCAATTCAGCACCGCCTTCTACCTCCGCAACACACCCTTTTTCTCCTGGAAGTTCTGGATATTCGCCTACCTCATCGGCGGCACCGCCAACCAGAACACCTTTCTCGCCGTACACGAGATCACCCACAACCTCGCCTTCCGTGGAGTCAGGGCGAACAGGCTGTTTGCGATCTTTGCCAACTTGCCGATTGGCGTGCCGTTCGCGATGATGTTCAAGAAGTACCACATCGAGCATCACAAAGTGCGCGCGAGGCGATGGGACCAAAGAGACGACTGCTGACCTTGGACTTGATGCCAGTTCCTCGGCGAGGACGGCATGGACACCGACCTCCCCTCTCGACTCGAGCTCCTCGTACTCAAGACTGTCCTCGGCAAGACATTCTTCTGGTGTGTTTGCTTCGGCCGGTTGGAACCGGGTCAAGGAGGCGAGAGCTAATCAACATCTTCGTACGTTCTCTCCTCAGCACATTCCAGATCTTTTTCTACGCCCTCAGGCCCGGCTTCATCCGCTATCAAGCCCCGACGCGCTGGATGGCCCTCAACATGGTCGTCCAGCTCTCGTTCAACGCGCTCGTCGTCAAGTTCCTCGGCTGGTACTCGATGCTCTACTTCCTCCTCAGCAGCCACATGGCGGGCAGCTTGCACCCATGCGCTGGTCACTTCGTACGAACCTGACATCCACTCTCCTCTCTTGGCGTGGCGAAGACTGACGAACCGGCGAGCAGATCGCGGAGCACTACCTCTTTGACGGACACGACCAGGAGACATGGTCGTACTACGGCCCGCTCAACATCCTGTGCTACAACGTGAGTATCAGCTCAACCTTTCCTTCGCTTACCGGCTGCAGTCACTAACGATCCCGCACCCGCAGGTCGGCCTTCACCAGGTACCTTCCCCTCCCCATCCCTTCCCTCCCTCCTAGGGCCTCCTCCGACCTTTACTAACAATCTCAATTTCGTATAGGAACACCACGATTTCCCCTCCGTCCCTTGGACGCGTCTGTGGAAGTTGCACGACATTGCGAAGGAGTTCTATGACCCGCTTCCGGTGCATACGAGTTGGCCGGGCGTCACTTGGAGGTTCATCACTGGTGCGTCTCTCCACTCGTCACGTGCTGCGCTCTGCGGCTCCCAGCTGCCGAGCCTGAAGCTGCTATGATGCGTGATAGACGTGCGAGACTGACTTCTTTCGCTTCACTCGCCCGCGAACAGACCCCTCAGTAGGCATGTGGTCCCGCGTCAAGCGAAAAGGGAAAGGTGACCCGCGAGGGAACGACGGAGGAGGCGGAGTCGGGTCGGTCGCGAACGCCGGAGGGTTGAAGGATGAGTAGAGCGAGCGAGGGAGGGGGAGGGGAGGAAGGGGGACAGACACTGTTACACTCGTTTTTGGGCTGGCATGCACGCTCGTTGATCACGCTCTGCGCGATGGCTTGCGGACGAATGAGCGGAACTTGCCGAAAGCTCGAACGCGCTCGCCTCAAGGCCTTAACTCGTGCGTTACTCATAGCGTCCTCAACGCTGGTTCCTCGACAAGCTACGATTCAGCGCATCGGTATGCATATCAGTTTCTACCCATGAGATACGTCTACGCCATCCTCGCACGTCTATTTGAGCGCCTCGCGAACGCTCGAGTTGCTGAGGAACTTGGCCATCCTCGGCTCGACAAAGAGGGCCCTGTACCGCACATCGAGTATCAGCAATCCCTCCTCACTAAACTCGGAAGAGAGACCAAAGCGAAACGTGCGACGCACTCGGCTTCAACCAACGTCTCCCCATCCGTACTCTCAATCTTGCCCTTGACCCAAGCCTTCCGTCCCTTCTGCTCCACCAACTCGGTCCGGATGACGAGGTATTGGTTTGCGAAAGTCGGCTTCTTGTACTTCATTGTCAGGGTTGCGGTGACGCCGATGTTGGTGGGGAGGTTGAGGAGGGCCTGCGCGTGGGTATGGGATGCAGTTCAATCAACTCGCTGTACTCGCAGTCAGACAGGCAGAAGTAGAATGAAGCGAGTCTCGCGACGCACCGTCCTGCCCAACGCCTCATCCATCACAGTCGCCAACAACCCGCCATGCACAACACCCTCATGTCCACACAGCCCTCCTCCCACATGCACAACCAACACGCTCTCCCTCTTGTCCTTGGTGGTGAACACCAGTGGAGGGACGGCGAATTTCCCGGGTCCGCGGAGGGTGTAGCCGCTTAGGGAGTGTGGGCCGGGGGGCGTGGCGGCATATGGACGGGAGAGGGTGTAACGGGGAGTGAGGGGCGTGTCGAGAGCGGATGTGGGGGAGAGTTGAGAGGCGGCGTTGGTGAGTGAGGTTGCTTGGCTTGGTGCGGCGTCGGATGAAGATGCGTCGGCGGGTGTGAGGGAAGGAACGACTTCCGCCTTCAACCTCTTCACGATTTCCAACTCGTGCAAGCCCTTCTCGATCACGTCTGTGTGCTCGACCGCTTCAGGCGAGTCGGCGCTAGGCGGGTGCGGAGTCGGATGGGGAAAGACGAGCGAGACGAGTCCTGGTCTGGGAGCGGCCAGGGCGAGTCCGTAGCCTGCCAGCAAGCCTGTCGTCGCCAATGCAGTCGAGAGGAGGAAGAGCGAGCGTTTTGGAGCCTGGCCGGGGTGTGAGTGTGGTGGTGAGGAGGCGACAGAGGGTCGGGAGGTGGTGGTGAGTGTGCGCGAACGGGGAGCGAGTGCCGGTCGCGCGCGGGCAGTCTGAGCGAGTCGAGTCGCTATCCGACGTTGTCCCAGCATCTTCACAAGCTCAGCGAGCGACAGCGAGTGAAAGGAACGACGGCAAGAGCGGTTCGACGACGAGCCGGTCGACGAAGGTGCGCTCACTTTCCCCCTCTCTCTGGATTACCCAGTCATCTCACCGTGTGCACGATACTGACGAGTGTAGTGCCAGGAGTAACAGTCTACGAGGAAGGCTCGGCCGGGAGGACCTTTTCGAGGAAGCGCTCCAAATCCCGCTGTTCCTCGTCGCAGAACGAATGGCCCATCCCTGCGGATGTTGTACTCTACTCGTCAGCGTTCCCGTTCACTCACAATAGACAGCGCGCGCGACGGAAAGGGTGGGGGACAGAGGGAACGCACGGGGATACGTCTTGAACTCGACACTCTTGAACCCGAGCTCCTCCAGCTTGGCAATCGTTTGCTGGCCCCACTTGTACTGCACGACAGGGTCAGCGTCGCCGTGGCCGTGGAAGATCGGGAGGGAGGTGGCGTGGTCGCTGAGCATCTGCATGGAGCGAGCGGACGAGCAAACGTGTGTAAGAACGCGTGAGCATCAACCAGCCACGCCCGCTCTGGCAAAGCTGGGCGCGGCAGAGGTACGAACCGAGGCGAAGCTCACCGACTTGACCTTGTCCGCCATTCCCAAGAACCCACTCAACGCGACCACGCCCGCAAGCTTCCTCTCACTCGTCAAGGCCGTCAAATAACCAATCACCGCGCCCTGCGAGAATCCTCCTACGACGATCTGGTTTGCGGGGATGCCAGAGTCGATTTCGGAGGAGATTAGGGACGAGATGGACCGCACGGAGGAAAGCATCCCCGTGTCGTCTTCGGCGCGGAGGCCGGCGGGTCCGAGGTCTTGGATGTCGAACCTGCCCGCGTGTGCGTGCACTGTGAGCTTTACCCACCCTGATCTCTTCTTTTTGAGTAAGCGCAACGCACCAACTAGTCATCCGATACCCGCCATTCGCCGTCACAGGCTGCACAGGCGCGGTCGGCAACACGAACTTGACGTGCCCAAACTGCTTCTTCTGCCTCAGCGCCGCAGCCAACGGGACCCAGCCTGCGCTGGAGTCGCCCAAGCCGTGGAGGAAGATGATCGTGGCAGAGTGTTTTTGGAGAGAGGGGAGGACGGTTGGGGAGGCCATTTTTGAGGGATGGGAAGGGCGGTGGAGGGAGGTGGGAGTGGTGGGTGGAGAGGGCGGATAGCGCGCGGAGAGGATCGAGTCGCTGGAGGAGGAGGAGCGGAGGTGGGGAGAGATGAGGAGGAGGACGAGGGCGAGGAGCGCGAGGGAGACGAGCTGGCGGGTGCGGGACTGGCGCTGGAAGGAGTGTAGCAGTGGAAAAGCCGTCTTGGCTTGCTAGCTGGGCTTTTTAGAGCGTGCGAGCGGGAGCAGGTAAAGTGACGGAGCGAGAGAGGCGAGAGGGAGCGAAGGGGGTGGTGACAACAAGCGAGGCCTGCTGGTCTCTCCGTAGATGCAACACTATGCTCTATCAGAGCACTCTCACCAAGCCAGACGGCGCCAGAGAGCGAGCGGCAAGAGACGACCTCTTCCTCCTCGACACAAGATGCGAGATGCGACCCTGCGATGCAAAACGAGTGTACACGCTCCACCTCTCACCACAGCGTCCTCCTCCGCTGCCTCTCCTCGCGCGCAATCGCCTTGCGCCATCCGTACCTCTCCTCCCTCCTCGCCTTTGCCGCGTCGACGACCCTCTTGCGCTCCGCCGCAATCCTCTCCGCCTCGATCCCCTCGCCAAACCCGAGCATCGTGACCGTGTTGCGCGAGACGCCAAACTTGCGCGCGAGGGTGCCCGTGGTCCAGTAGTTCGAGTCGCTCCGCCTCAATGCCTGCAACTCCTGAACCTCTTGAGGCGAGAGTTTCTTTTCGGGGGTGGCGGGGGGTGGTCGAGAAGGAGCGAGGAGGTGCTGATTCGCCTGCTGGGGTTGCTGGGCGTGCAAGGAGGGCGGAAGCGATGAAGCTACGGCGGGTTGGTGCACTGCGCTCGCGAACGGCGTCTGTGCGAACTTGTCGGCGTGAGGGAGTGCCGCCTCGGTTGGTGGGACTGGCAGGGTGGGCGGCAAGACGGACGGGGGAGGGCGCACGACAAAGTGTGAGCCGGAGGGGAGGGTGAAGTGCTGGGCGACGGAGGACGAGGTGAGCGGGTCGCGCGTGCGCCGCAGTCGTTGGGCGGCGGGTGCGGTGGCCTTGAATGCGCGTGCGACGGTCGCCATCCCTCTGTGCGCCGTGCGGTGGTCAAGTCGTGAAGGGGTGAGCGATGGCAGCGAGCGAGCGAGGAGGAGGTTCAACTCAATGTCCCTCTGGATACTAGAAATATCTTACAGTAATGCAATACACTCTCGCTGGATTTACCAGCCAGTCCATTCACTCCAAGGTGACACTTTGCGAGCGACCCTCGCCTTCATCGCTTCGAGCGCGAGCTCATCCAACTCTCACACTCTCCACAGGCCATGGACGGGCAGACAGCGGGCCAGCCACCGCCGCATAGGCAGGCAAAGCCACAACAAGCGACCATCCCGCCCTTCGACTCGCCAGACGCCGTCGTGCGCTCGCTCAAGACCAGGGATGCCGCAGCGCTTCAAGCGGGTGCGCTCTCCCCTCGTGGACCCGCATGACCGGCTGGACTGACGCAGATGGTATGCATGTACAGCTCTGAATCAAATCGACAAGCGGGCAGCGGCGTTGGTCGCCAGGGAGGCGCCGAGAGCGCAGCCGGACCTCTTGCTCGACTACCTCAAGCTGCACCCGGGCTGCGAGGGCGTCTTCGAGGCGTGGGACCTGGCTAACAAGGTGTGTGGGGCTGACTGACACTGCCAAGGGCGCGAGCTAAGCGCCGGCCGTTCGCCCGCAGACCAACAACTCCCCGCTCTCGACCGCCGTCCTCTCCTGCCTGACTTCCCTCGTCCGCCTCGCCTCGACAGACCCCTTCACGCCCTCCCCGGACCTGCTCAAGACCCTCCTCTCGCCGAAATACCACCCCTACCTCGAACGGAGCTTGAACCCGGGACGAAACGATGTCACGACTGCGTCGCTCAAGTTGTGTAATGTGCTTGTTGGATTCGGCGGTGGGAAGTATGCGAGGAAGGTGTTTGGGTGTTTTGGGTGGTCGCCCAAGGTGCGCACACCTTTCCGCATCATGTTGATCGCAGAAACTGACTCGCATCGTTCGCGCAGGTCACTTCTCGCCTGTACAAGACCCGCCTCCGCTCGCTCACCTCTTCCAACGCCCTCTCGAAACCCGACATCCGCACTCTCCTGATCCTCCTCGTCCTCTCATTCCTCTCCGCCTCGGACGTCCGCCTCAAATCCCAAGTCCTCGAAACCAAGGGCTTGTTGAGCGGCGTCTTCAAGGGCTTGAATGAGGATCCCGAGAGTGTGGTCGGGCTTGTGTTGGAGGTTGTGGCGAGGGAGGTGGTGGTTGAACGGAGGGTTGGGCTCGAGGCGAGGAGGAACGTGTTTGATGAGGCGTGCATCAACGAGGTGCGTTCTCCCTCTCTTGATCTCCCGAAGTTGGCTGACTTGGTGCCACACAGCTCGTCAAGTTGTACGACTACCCGCTCCCAGTTGGCGACGACGACGTTCCCCCCTCCCACCCCTCACTCTCAATCCACCGTTTCCTCCAACTGCTCACCACCTGGCTCTCGGACCAAATCGCCTCCTCACCACCCGGCCGCTCGTCCCACCCTCAACGCGTCCTCTCGACCCTCCTCCGCGCACTCAAAGTCACCGAATCCCCGCGCCAGCGAGACTTGGGTCTCGAGATCCTTCGCTCTGCACCGATCCTCGCCGGAGCGTTCTGGACCAAGTTCCCGAGCTCGTTAGATCCGAGGTTGAGTTCGAGGTGGGTTAGCGCGATCACGTTTGCGACGCAGGTGGTTGGGCTGCCTGTCGCGCGGGACTTGTCGAAGGGCGGAACGGCCCCTCCTCCGGCTGTCTCCACCATCCTCGATACCATCCTCCCGCCTTCTACGTCCTCCACCCTCAACCGCGCCTGGTACACCAAATCCATCACGCACGAAACACCCCTCGTCTCGTTCCTCTCGTCCCTCTTCCTCCTCTCGATCCTCCAGAAGGCTGCGAAAGTCCTTGAGGTTATGGCTGAGACGAGTCGCGTGCTTGAGGAGGGCGAGGGAGGGAGGTGGGCCGTTCAGGCGAGGAAAGTTAGGGACGAGTTGAGGAATCGGCTGCCGGATCCGAGTATTGTTGTGGGTTTGATGACCAAGACAGCGGCGGCTGCTGCTGCGTCGGCGGCAGCTGGGAAGGAGAAGGATGGTGAGGCGACGGCACCGAAGAAGAAGGACGACGGGATGGCTGAAGGCGCGCTCCTGCGCACCAACGTCGCACTTCGCCTCCTCTTCCTCTACCACCGCGTCGCACCCTCGCTCATCGCCACGCTCAAATTCGATTTCGCCAAACTCCCTCAGACGTACGCCCAACATGCCCGGCCCGCCTCGCCCTCCACCGACTCGACCGACGCACAAGGCTCCTCCGGCCTACTCGCCATCTCCTCTTCCTACGCCCTTCGCCTCGCCGCCGCGCACTCCTCCTCATCCAACATCTCCCTCAACCGCCCCGGAGACCACTACAAGTCCTCCCTCGTCCCGCTCTTCCAGCTCTACCGCACGCCCGCCACCCGCTCGAACCGCGCGCTCTTGCGCGAGATTCTGAGGAGACAACTCGACTCGCCGTTGTTGTTTGGGGTGCCTGGAGCGAACGCGGTGGATGAGGGCGAGGTGGATGTTTGGTTGAGAGCGTTGCCGGTCCCTGCGGCTGAGGGTACTGGAAGGTCAGCGACGAGCGAAGAGATGGACGTCGTACTCGACTTTTTCGCCAAATGCGTGCAGAAGACGCTCACGGCGCCTTTGAAGCTCGAGCACTCGGCGCAAGAGGCCGAAAGGGGGTTCAGTAGGTTGCTCGCGACGGTCGTGGCGGAACTTGCGGCGAATCAGGACGACGCGGTGCGCGCGTTCGTCAAGGATAGTGTGCTGCACTTCTTGGCGCAGCAGAAGGAGCTTTCGATGGTAGGGCAGTTGGTGGATGTTCTTGAGGAGAAGCTTCCTAAGGAGGAGGAGCTCGTGAGGTTGTTGCGCGACTGTCTCGCCGTCGCGCAGGGTCACGAGGTTGTCGATGGTGTTGTGCCTGCACTCGCCTCGCGTCTCGAGGAATCGGAGGACGACGAACTCGCTTCGGTCGTCGCGTCCCTGAGTCCCGTCAAGCAGAACGTCTTCGCCTCGCTCGCCGACTCGACACAGCTCCAGCGTGTCCTTGCTGCGATGCCACTACCCCTCGTCCTCATCCACGCGCGTGCGACCGAGTTGACCCACCCGTCCATCGCGCGAACAATCCTCGGCTTCGTTTCGACCTCGTCTTTCCACGTCCCGACTGTGCGACTGTTGTTGCACCGCTTCGTCAACGGCTCGCAAGCCGATGAGGTCACCGCATTCATCGTGCGGGCGTACGGTCAAGCGGGCGAGGCGCCGAAGAAGGAGATCAAGGAGATGTTGGTCGCTCAGGAGGGATTGCTCGGCGTGTTCAAGCGGGATGGTCTCTCCTCCGCCGGCTACACGAGTACGTTGCCTTCACAGCATTCGCGCGAGCTTGTGATTGATCTTCTCTTGCGCAGACACGGTTCGACTGGTCGGTCAGGTGCTTGACCCGACCGTCTCTTCCGATATCCTCCTCGTCCAGCCGTTTTGCGACGCCGTTCTCGCCGATCTCACCCCCGTCAATCCCGCGTCTGAGCCACCCGCGAAGAAGCGCAAGCGCCGTTCATCGCCGCCGCCACCTCCAACCGGTCTCTCCCAGCGCGTACTCGCTGCCGGCCCTCTCCTTCCCTTCTTCGCCACGACCTCCTCCCTTCCCCTCCTCGAGGCGCTCCTTTCACACTTCAGCGCCGATCCCACCACCCTCGACCCAGCATCGAAGCAGCTTCTCGGTTCCGCCTTCGCCCGCGTCCTCGACCTGCCGACTTCGACCTCCTTCCTCTCGTTCTGGTCCTCTCAGTTCTCCCGCCTAAACACCCTCTTGACCATCGACGGTCTTGAGAAGGCAGGCGACGTCCTCGTCAAAGGCGCCGACGCGCTGCTCCCTTTCTCGACCTCCTCGGCAACTCGCTCGAAGGAGTGGAGCAGCCTTCCGAAGGCAGACGACTGGGCTGCCGAGCTCCTCGCCGGTTCCGCCGTTTCGACGGCGCAAGCAAAGACGCTCGCCGCGCTCGTGTACCGCTCTACGGCCGCGCGCGTCCGGTTCGCCGCTTGGCTTGCAGGAAAGGGCGTCGAGACGGACCTCGTCGCCTTAGCCGCACCGCTAGAGGCACTCGTCAAAGTCGCTGAGGCGAAGGTCGACTCGAACGCCTCGGTCCAGCCGGACATCGTCGCAGCGCTCGTTCAGCAACTTGCGACGTCGCCCGCACGCGCGGCTGCCGAGGCCTTGCGAGCGGTCGCGGTGATCGTCTCGCATGACACCTCCAAGGAGGTTGAGGCGGTCCTGCGAGCTCGTCTGACAGGTCTCGGTCGCGACGGCTTCCGCGCTGCCGACATCAGGCTCGCCTCGACTTTGGCGAGGACGCGACAGACCCTGACGAGTATGCTTGAAGCATTCGTGAACGCGACGTTCGAGGGCCTGGTGCGACGGTTCGCGGAGGATGAGGAGGATGGAGAGGAGGTTAGGCAGCTCGTGGAGGCTCTGAGTGAGTCGCTCGCGATTGCACCCATTCGGTCGAAGCTGACTTCTCCCGAACAGCTGCGACGCTTCACGAACGCACGACGTTGTCGCTGACGAGCAATGCGCTGAGCCCGCTCATCACGGCCATCACGACAAGGCGGCTCGACCAGCCTTACGCGACGGCGCTCGGCACGGCTCTTTGTGAGCAGCAGCAGCTGAAGGTGCGTTGGTCGGGAGCTTTCTTTACGAGAAAAACACTGATTAGTCGTCGCACAGGACAACGAGGTCACTCGGCACCTCAACGAGATCTTCGCGTCGCCCCGTTTCCACGCCTTCACCGCCAACCCAACCGACTCGCCTACCGCAGTCTCCTCCGCCCTTGCACTCGTCCTCGCTCTCGCATCGTCTTCGCCCACGGCCGCCGCGAACGCCCGTTCCGTTGAGCGCCTCGTCCCCTTCTACCGAGGTACTCTGTCCCCCGGCGACCGCTCTCTCCTCGACCTGTTCCAGCGCATCGAGCTCGTCAGCGGCGCATCCGTCTCGCCGGCACTTCGCAACTGGGCGCCCTCGATCGACTCGGCCTCGCTCCTTGACGGCACCCGCATCGCTGCTATTGCCGCGAGTCAGAAGACTTTCGTCTGTCGCAGCTGGGCTCGCGCGTTCGCCTCGACTCGCACGTCGTCCGCGGCTGAAGACGACGCGAGGACATACGACCCGCACTTCATCGTGCCGTTCGTCGCGGCGCTTGCGGATGAGGACGACTTGAAGCTGCAGGAGTGGACGACGCTGCTCGAGAGTGGCATGCTCGGCACGGTCGTCGCGGCGCTTGCGTCGAGTGACAACGGCCTGCGCGGACTGGCAAGGTCGGCGCTTGCGGCTCTGCTGAAGAAGGCCGAAGTGAGTCCACTTCTCACGCTCTGCCCGTCCCGCAGCTCACCTCTTCCGCTCGCCCGCACAGCCGCTCGCGTTCCGCGAGAAAGACGAGCTCGTCCTCGTCTTGACCCAAGTGCGCCTGACGATCTACTCCCAAGCGGGCGAAGCAATCCCCTCCTCGATCGCCCTCTTCCTCGCACACTGCGTCTCTCTCATCGGCTCTCCCGAATCCGCTCTCTACCCGCCCTTCATGCGCTTCCTCCTCCAGCGCTCGACGATGGACGTCCGCGACGTCCCGCTGTTCTACAATATGCTTTATTCGAGCAATACGGATGAGTATGCGGCGGCGCCGAGGGAGGAGAGGGCTTGGATGGTGAGGTACTTGACGGAGGGTCTCGTGCGGTCGCAGGTTCGTCAGGCTGCCTTTTCAATACTCGACAATTGTGCTGATCCGCGTCTACGCCTCTCAGGACTGGAAGATCTACCGGCGCCGACAGGTCTTCGAGCTTCTCGCGTCGCTGTTCGAAGCGAGCAGGCAAGACCCGCCTCTCCGCAAGCTCGTCCTCAAGGTCAGTCCGTACACGCTCGCTTTTCGTGACTTTCCGCGCTGACATCGCACTCAATGCAGTTCCTCATCCGCGCAACCTCGATCCCGGCAGCCGCACGCGAGCTCCTTTCCCGCAACGGCCTGCTCGGCTGGCTATCCTCCCAGCTTCCGCTCGACATCGCCGAACGCCGGCTCTTCCTCCAGGTCGTGTGCAACATGGCGCAGGTCGTCCCGTGGGACAAGATGGCGGGTGTTGCGGATGTGGTCGAGGCGACGGTGAATGCTGTTGGACCGGATGGTGTGTTCGCTCTCTCTCGTCTCGCATATATACTTGCTGACGTAGCTGGCCTTCGCAGTCACCGCCGTCGACGCTCCGACATTGCTCGACCTCGTCCGGCACGTCGTTACGCATCTCTCGCCCACTTCCACCTCTTCCTCCCTCCTCCCGCTCATCCTCTCTCGCCTTTCCGACATACTCCGAGCCGTCTCCGCCACTCTTGACGCCCCCTCCGCCTCGACTAGCGTCCAGGAGCGCTTCTATACAACGGTCACCCTCCTTGCCTTCGTCCGTTACGAGGCGAACCAGCCCGAGCGCAAGGAGGACAGGGAGTTGTGGAGTGCGGCGGTCAAGGCGGGATTGAAGGCGGGCGTGAAGGAGTTGGAGAAGGAGACGATCAGGATCTTGAGCGGGTAGACGGGGGACTGGGTTCCCGCGACTGCAACGCGTCTCTTCGTCGTCCTCTACAATAAGGCGTTCCCAGGGCTGCATTGCTATGCTCGATACGCCGGAAAGTCCCCTCCTCGCGCGACAGCGATCCGTCGTCCACCCCACCCGCTCGGAATCGGCTTCCGAGCGAACGAACACCCTTCGCTCCTCGTCTCCTCCTCCGCTCGCCTCTTTGACACTTGCTACGACTTGGTATGGCTCCCGAACGAATGCTCGCACAGGTCTATCGCGGCACGCCGGCGCTCAAGCTCGAGGAGGTCGAGGTTCCCCCGCTCGAGAAGGGAGAGGTGAGGGTGAAGGTCAGCTACTGCGGTGCGTGAAGCTGCCTTGCATGAGAGTTGGAGGCGTTGGAATTGACCGATTGCGGGTCCGCGTGCAGGCATCTGCGGCTCGTGAGCCTCCCCCCTCATCCCTCTCGACACTCGAACCCTCCGCTCTCCGTGCTGACGCCTCCCTTCCCGTTCTCAGCGACTTGCATGAGGTCTACCACGGTCCCTTGACCTGCTGTCCAGCCGGTGCGGCCCTTATTCAGCTTCTACTTCTCAAAAAGTGCCTCTAACCCTCGACTCTCGCTCTTCGCAGGCCAACCACACCCGCTTACTGGCCGCACGATCCCCGAGACGCTCGGTCATGAGTTCAGCGGGACGATCGTGGATGTTGGCGAAGGCGTCGACGGGAGCAGGTTGAAAGTTGGGACGCGAGTGTGCATGTCCGTCTCCTTTTCCTGGCTTCCTGCTCCTCCCTTCTCGGTGCTGACGCCTCGTAACCACGCAGCGAACCTGTCATCTCGTGCCGAGAATGCGAGTCGTGCAAGCAAGGCTTGACGCCTCTCTGCGCGACCCCGATCGGACTGTATGGGTACTCGAGGCCCGGCGGTCTCGCGCCTTTCGTCAATGTCGCCCAGACCAACGTGCATGTCGTGCCGGACAACGTGCCTCGTACGTTCGCACTCGACGACAGGCTAGACCGTCGCTTCTGTCCCGAAATCGCTGACTTCGCCTCTGACCTCGCGGCGCGCGTACAGTCGACATCGCCGCCCTCGCCGAGCCCCTCTCAGTCGCCTGGCACGCCGTCGGCTGCTCCTCCTTCCAGCGCGGCGAGACGGCCCTCGTCCTCGGTTCCGGACCCATCGGCGCACTCGTCACCCGCGTACTCGTAGCTCGCGGTGCATCAGCGGTCTATGTCTCCGAGCCCTCTCCTGTGCGCGCTCAGATCGCCTACTCATGCGGCGCAACGGAGGTAGTGGACCCTACGAAGGAGGATGTTGTCAAGCGTGTGATGGATTTGACGAAGGGGAGGGGAGTGGATGTGGCGATTGATTGTGCGGGGATGCAGAGGACACTTGATGCGGCTATGGAGGGGGTGAGGAAGAAGGGCAGGGTCGTGATGGTTGCGCTTTGGGATAAGGACAAGAAGCCCACGGTCGACATGTGGGTGCGTCCGGCCTCTCCTTTCCCCCACTGCCCTTTGCGCACCTTCAGCTGACTGCGCGGGACGTGACGCAGAACCTCTTAGGAAAAGAATCGACCCTCACCTCCTCCTGCTGCTTCAACGCCCAAGACATGCGCGAAGTCCTTGCCGCTCTCTCGGCTGGCACGATCAAAGTCGACGACTTGATCACGTCGCGGATCAGGCTCGAGGAGGTGTTCGACAAGGGGTTGGAGGTGCTCAGGAGCGATCCGAGCCAGGTCAAGATCTTGGTGCAGCTCGAGGAGCGCGAGGAGAAGTAGGAGAGGTGCGTTCCGACGGTCCTTGCTCGCCTCCCGACTTGGTCACTGATCTCGGGTGTCTCCCACAGATGTATAGACTGTTGTACTGACGCTGGACGGGCTCAATGGCGCAGAGCAGGCAGTGAACGGGTTCCTCCTGCATTGCGAAGGTCTCCCTTTTGCCACGCCTCCACACTTCTAGCCCCGCTGAGAATGGCGATGTTCTCCGCTCGTCGTTTTTCTCTTCTCCGCTGTCGCTTGCTTGGAACCAGATTTGACTTGGTCGAGGAGAGCGATCCAAGCGGGCGTTTGGTCTCCTCTTCGTCTGCTCTTTCCGCAAGTTCCGCGGACCGTGCCAAAGCTCAGTCGCGCCCAGTTCGAGCGCCCTTCTGCTCGCTTGACTCGTCGCCCGCCCGCCGTCGGCACATCACATCCGACCCAGTCCGCCCCTTTGCGATGCTCTCCACGACCACCTCGCGCCGCGTGCTCGCCAGTGCGCACAGGCAGACGCCCAAGATGACCAGCTTTGCGTCGGCGCTCACCTCGACCCTCTTCACCTCGCTCCACCGCCAGATGCACTCGTCGGACGAACCGCGAGACCCGGCCTACCGCGTCCTCACCAACGAGCGCATGAACAAGCATGTCCTCGAGGCGCAGTACGCCGTCCGAGGTGCGATCCCGCTCCGCGCAGAGGAACTGCGCGAGCAGCTCGAGGAGAAGGGCAAGGACGCGGGTCTCCCGTTCGACACGGTCGTCAACTGCAACATCGGCAACCCCCAGCAGCTCGATCAGAAGCCCCTGACGTTCTTGCGACAGGTGAGCTCACTGTTCGCTCTTCTTGCGCGCTCAGGCGACGACGAGGGGATGCCGCGGCGGCGAGTCAAGTGGGGGAGAACCGGTTGCTGCTTATCGCGGGGCTGTATTGCGTTGTACTGGCTGAGAGGACAGGGCAATGGAATGACTGAACGAATGCGGACCGACTGAATCCGGTTCGCGCAGGTGTCGGCCTTGACAGAATACCCCGACCTCCTCGACCACCCCTCGACCTCGTCCATCTTCCCCAGCGATGCCATCGAGCGTGCACGATCACTCCTCAAGGAGATTGGCAGCGTCGGAGCGTACTCGCACTCGATGGGTGTCCCGGCGATTCGGAAACGCGTCGCCCAGTTCATCGAGAGTGGGTCGCGACACTCGTTCACTCTGGCGATTGCGAGTCTTTCTTGCTGACTATGCAAGCGAACAGACCGCGACGGCCATCCCTCCTCGCCTGGCAAGATCTACCTGACGGCGGGCGCCTCGACCGGTGTCTCCAACATCCTCCAGATCCTCATCTCGAGCCCTCTTGACGGCGTCCTCATCCCTATCCCCCAATACCCCCTTTACACCGCCGCCCTCGCACTCAACGCCGCCCGCGCCGTCCCTTACTACCTCGAAGAATCGGCCGACTGGGGTCTCGACGTCGAGAACCTCAAGGCGAACCTCGAGAAGGCCCGCCATGAGGGCACGGTCATCAAAGCTATGGTCGTCATTAACCCCGGCAACCCTACCGGCAACTGCTTGTCGAGCGAGAACATGCAGGACATCATCAAGCTCTGCTACGAAGAGAAACTCGTCCTCCTCGCCGATGAGGTGTACCAGTCGAACGTCTACGGTGACGCGCGCCCCTTCGTCTCGTTCAAGAAGGCCCTGAAGGATATGGGCGCCCCATACGCCGACAACGTCGAGCTCGTTTCGTTCCACTCGATCTCGAAGGGCCAGTCGGGCGAGTGCGGACGCCGAGGAGGGTACTTCGAGCTTTGCAACTTCCACCCCGAGGCGGAGGAACAGGTGTACAAGCTCGCGTCGATTCAGCTGTGCCCGTCGCTAGGAGGACAGATTGGTGTCGACATCCTTTGCACGCCGCCCAAGGAGGGCGACGAGTCGTATCCGTTGTGGAAGGAGGAGGTCAGCGGGATTGCGCGGACGCTGAAGGAGCGGAGCGAGATCCTCGTCAAGGCGTTCCGGGAACTCGAAGGCGTGACTTGCAATGACGCTGAGGTGCGTCCACCCCTCATCCCATCTTTCCTCCTCCTCCTCTCGCTCTTCCTCGCCCTCTCGCTCGTCTCGTATGAAGAGTGATACTCACTGACGCTACGTGGCGATCGCAGGGCGCCATGTACCTCTTCCCGACCATCACCATTCCTCCCAAGGCCATCGCCGCCGCGAAAGCTGCCGGACAAGCGCCAGACGCCTACTACTCGCTGAAACTTCTTGAGGGCACGGGGATTTGCGTGGTCCCGGGTAGCGGCTTCGGACAGGCCCCTGGAACCTGGCACTTCCGAACGACCTTCCTCGCACCCGGGACGGAGGACTACGTGAGGCGGTTGAAGAAGTTCCACGAGGACTTTATGCGCGAGTATTCGTAGAGTAACTGCTGCACGGGGTTTGTAAGCTCTATCACGCCGCAGGGCGGCATTCGCAACCAATTGCACGACTCGAAGGGCGAGGAGGAGTTTGTCGCTCTTTCGCTCTTTCGCTTCTCTCTTCACTCCATCCGCTTCGCTCTCGTTTATGTCCCTCGCAGACTCTTGAAGCGTCTGTACTGCTTATCTGCGGGCACCCGCAAAGCTCCGTTCGAGTCCCTCTACCCTTCGTCGAGTCCTCCCGAACACCGCATGGCACGGTCGAATCACTCCCCCAAGGCTGATAGCACCCGCTCTTGCTTCTCTCCCTCCTGCTACACTCTCGCTACACTTTCCTGACTCGCCACCAGCCGCCACGACGCGATGCACACGCCCATCCTCGCCCCCACTCCCTTCCAAACCTCCCGACTCGTCTACCGCGCAGTCGACTGGGACAAGGACGAGGCGTTCTTCGCCGAAGCCTTTGGGCACGAGGCGACGCAGATGGGCACGATGGGAGGCATGACGAGGCCGTTGAGTCAGAAAGCGCTCGAGGGGACGAAGGAGTTCACGGAGAAGGCGTTACTTGGGTGCGTCGCGCGTTTTCTGCTTCTCTCGACTTCATGCTGACGAGTACCGGCACAGGATCATCTTTTGCCTCCCCCGCTCACCCGAAGAACCAACTCAAGCAGGCGAAGCAGTCGGCTGGGTTAACCTCTCGATGGAAGAGATGGATCGTCGAAACCAGCATCGTTGCGCGCACTTTGGGTTGACGGTGCATCCGAAGCATCAGGGAAAGGGCTATGGAACGGAGGCGATGGAGTGGATGTTGGAGAGGGCGTTTGTTGGATTTGGGTTGAATAGGGTGCAGGGTGAGCCGTCGCTCGTTTCGCGTGTGCTGTCGTTAAAGCCTCATGAATCGACTGACGAGCTTTGTCGCGGTGTCGTCCGTCCCGCAGGAAACGTCTTTGCCTGGAACAAGCCTGCCTTCCGAGTCTACGAGAAAGTGTGAGTCCGCCTTCATTCATCCCTGCCTGCTCCCGTTTTGCTCTCACTGACATACTCCAACTGCCATAGTGGTTTCGTCGTGGAAGGGCGCCGACGGAAAGCGCTGTGGACGCAGGGTGCCTGGCGGGACGACATCCTTATGTGCGCTCTCCTCCTTCCTGCCCCGCTGTCTTTCGATTGACTGACGCTTCGTGGCTGACAGCGCCATACTTGCGGAGGACTGGTTCGCACGGCATCCGGAGAAGAAGCCGCAGCTGGTGGACGAGGTGTAGAAGCTGCTTGCTGGAACGGGGCGTTCGTTCGCGCCGAGAGATGACGAGACAACCGAATCGAGCAGCTCGTTACAGTCCGTCGCGCTCAGTGTCCTGCAAGGGGCACGTTGTGATAACAGGATGGCGACGGCACGAAGGCGGGTCTATACAGGCTTGTTGCGACGACAGCGAGGGATTGTTGCGGTCTAGTCTTACGCTTTCTTCCAGAGATACGGTAACAGCGAGCGCGAGAAGATGGATGTACAAGCGAGGGAGGAAAGGTGGACGAGGAGGGGTCAGGTGTTAGGTCTCCTTGAAGTGCAGCTCGGCGTCGATCGTGCTGAGTCGGTTCTTCCACGTCTCGACCTCGGCGAGCTTGGCTTGGAGCGACTCGATCTCCTTCTGGAACGAGAGAGACCTGCGTCCAAAGCGAGAGTCAGTCTCATCCGTCTTGGTAAGACGGAAGCGGCAGAGAACGCACTGCTCTGCCTCGCCAATCTGCGTCATCTCCCATTGGCCTTCGTGGCCCGTCAAGCGGAGGAGGTACATGTGGTGCTTGAAGAGACTCGGCCGGTGCGAGATGGTCATGAGGGCTGCGGATCGCGAAGGTCAGAAGGTCGGCTTGTGGTTCGGTGGAAGTGTCAGCACGATCGCGAACGCACTGATGCCGACATCCTTTGCGTGCTGGTACATCGAGCCTTCGACGTCCGTCGAGACAGCCGAGGTGCACTCGTCGAGTACGCCGTACTTAGGGAGGTGGTAGAACAGGCGAGCCATGCCCATCTGCGAGCGAAATGCGGTTGTTAGCGGTACTCCAAGGTACTTGAGAGACGGTGCAGCGTACCCTCTGCTTCTCACCGCCGGACAGGATGTCCTTCCATTCCTTGCGGACATCGTAGCCTGCAGAATGCGACCGAGTCAGCCAGGTCTCAGAAGGCGGGGACGAAAGACGCACCTCCTTCGCGGCTCGGCAGGTACGAGAGGTGGACCTTGCGAAGGATCTCCATCAAGTCCTCGTCGGTCTTGCCAGACTTGACGAAGTCCGGATACGAGTGAGGGTAGATGATCCTGCGCACGACGTCTCGGTCGGTCGATGCTCAGCTCGGCTAGAACGAAGGGGCTTACTGGTCGCGCAGGCTACCGCTGCTGAGGTACGGACGCTGCGGGAGGAACATGATCTTGGTGTCGTCCGGACGAACGACGACGCCGTCCCAGACAGGCCAGAGACCTGCCCAGCGGTCATATCAGCACATCTGACGGCGAGTAGCGAGAGGAAAAGACGCACCAGCGAGGACACGCGCAATGGCCGTCTTTCCCGTCCCGTTCCCGCCCGTGATGAGCAGATGCTCGCCGGGCTTGACCCTAACCGACAATTGGTGCACAAGCTCTTCTCCTCCACGCGCGACGCCAGGTGCAGGCGCGACGATGGGAACCTTGTCAAGGGTGACGCCTTCCTCGGGCGGCGCATCGGTGATGAAGCGGCCGTTGAGGGTGCCGAGGTCGTAGAAGGGAGCGTTGGGGGCGAGGTCGGCGGGACGAGGGAGGGAGGTGTAGGTCGAGGTTGAGAGGTCGTGGAGGGTCGAGAGGAGGGTGTAGACGCGCGAAGTCGAGCCGGCGAGTTCGGAGAGGTCTTTCCAGGAGAGCATGAGGCGACCGCCGGCGTCAGCGAGCGAGAGGAGCAGGCGTCGGTTCGAGATGTAGTCTGCGAAGCGATGGCATGAGCGAGCGAAACGACTGATGGCAGGAGAAGCGAACGCACTCTCGGTTCGCTGCGAGATCGACAGACCGTCTCCGCCCTTCTGCTTCGCCGGGTCCTTCGTCTCGACCGACGTACCGGCCGCAGCCGCAGCCAACTTGCGCGCCTTGGGGAAGAAGACTGGGATCGAGATGAGGCAATAGCCGGCTGCCGACCACAGGTACTTGACGACCATGTCCTCCGTCTGCGGGGCGGGGAGTCAGCGACAGTTCTACGACGCGACTTCCGGTGCCAATCACCATGCCGTAGAGGATGCGCATCTGTCAGGGCGGGACCGTCAGTAAGGCTCGCGCAAAAGAAGGTCGACGGATGTACCTTGTAGATCGAGTTGACGTGCTTGATGAGCCGCAAGTACGCCTTCGTCAAGATGTCCTTCTCGATCGGCGCTCCGTCGTAGAACCTGTCTCGCTCGTATCAGTCCAGGTTGCTCTTTCGTCAGACCTCCGAGAAGGGACTCACGCAACCTCCTCCGAATTGATGATCAACCTCGCATGCGCCGCACGGAAGTCTCCCTCGAGCTTCGCCTCAATCGCAGCGAGTTTTCCGAATGCAGGCGTGACTTTGCGGAGGATCCAGGCGGTCGCGAGGTAGGAGAGGAAGAGTCCGACTGAGCCGCGTCCGCCGATTGAGCGGCCGAGTTGGATGTTGAAGAGGATGAGGTCGAGGGTGGGCTTGGAGACGTTCGAGCTGGTGGTGAAGGCAGAGGGTTAGCGTAGTTCAGGCTGCGAAGGCGTTCCCTCGACGCACTAGAGAGCGCTGAGGGTCTCGCAGAATCGGTTGATGTCGGTCGTGACCTGTAAGTAGATGAGTGAGTACGATGCACCTCGAGCACTTCTCGACGACGCACAAACTGGTCCGCTCCGCTTGCTCCAATCCTCGAATCAAGGTTGACGACTTTATAGAACGTCGCGTTCTTGTCGAGGTACAAGTCATGCACGTAGCGCGTGAGGCGGGTGCGGAACGAGATGGAGAGTTTCGACTGGAGGAAGCGGATCATGGCGTTGGTGTAGACTGAGGGGATCGCGAGGAGGAACCAGTAGCAGAGGCCGCGGAGGAAACCTTTGCCGTTCGCCGAGACCTGTCAAACGCAACTGTCAGCAGCCCTCGCGCGGTGTGCTGGAGAACGGAAAAACTCACGAGGTCGCCGACGAGCTTTCCGTCGAGTTGCGCGACAAGCAGACTGAGGTACGTCCGCAAGAGCAGGAAAGCCGTATGCGCGCCGACGAGCCACACCTCCTTACTCGTCGCATGCGGAATGATGATCCGGAAGATGGCCGAAAGCTGTCGGAAGAACTCCTTGTTGACGCCGACTCGCTGGGCGGCTGCGCCTGCGCTGGGCGGTGCGGTGGACGAAGCGGAGCGAGGTGCGGGAGGAGGTTTGCGGAAGAGGGGGCGGTGGCGTGCAAACGTCGTCGCTTTGGTAGGCTTGATGAGGACCTTCGACACTCGTCCTCGCGCGGGAACAAGGAGTTCGCGGGCGCCGCCGGGTAGTCTGCCAAGGTCAAGAAGCGTCAGTCTATGCACGCGGCCTACATATCTCGTCAAGCACAGTGTGCTGCGAGACAGGAATAATTGTAGGATAAGCCAGACTGACGGGTTGTAGAGGTCCCTCTGCGCTAGCTCGATCTGCGGCGTCGTCAACATTTGCCGATTCCCTGCGCGCCTCCAGACCGTCAGCGTTTGTCCGCCCATGCCGCACCCAGAACCGCACTCACGCTTCTCAGCCGCTTCTGCCGCCGCCTGCACGACTTTCCTCCGGAGGTAGACGAGCGCAACGAGAGCCGCAAAGACCGCCGCTCCGCCTTTCGCTCGCAGACCCGTCAACGCTGATTGCTGCGCTAGCTTCGACTGCGCGGGCGCCATGGAGAGGGAGGAGGCGGGCGTTCGGTCGATTCACGTTCAAGTGGGGGGAGATGCCGGGAGCAGGGAGGAAGAGCGGGCGGTGATGAGGTGTAGGCGGGTCGTGGCGGTGTCTGTGTACAGCCCAGGCTGGCTCGATGGGCTCCTCGCGGCGTATGTCGGCGGCAGAACGAGCGAGTCGTCTGGTCGGCGAGATGAGGATGCGAGAGGGTCGGGCGAGCGCGACGTCGCTCTGTGGGTTCGCTAGAGGGGCGTAGCAGGCAGTCGGCAATGCTCTAGTACGGTCCAGCAGCAGCACTCGTCGCTTCGAGGTGGACGTCGTGACGAACGTCTCCTCCTCCCGGCGAACTTGACATCTCGCCGGTGGTGGACACGTCATTCTCGACGTCTGCTGGCGAGTGTAACGGTCCAACACGAGCTACAGGAAAACAACAAGAAGGGCTGTGCGATTACAGATCCGAGGGATTGCGAGGGAGGAGGCAGAATAAGTTATTACGCCGGCGAAGAACGAGCGTGTAGCTACTTCGCAGACTGGACAAGAGCCTCGTCGTGGTCGTCGAGACTGTATCTACGCGCAGCCCGTCGTCGCGTCGCCGCGAGCGCAGACGTAGGGCTTGAGAGGCGGCTCCTCGAGAACCTTGGGACCGGTAATGACCGCCCTGTTTGGGCGTTGCCAGCGTCAGCAAGGGCACTCAACAGAAGCAAGATACAAGAACGCACGATGCATCGGTGACGGCCTCTCGCAGGATCGTCGGTCCACGCTGGAAGTTGTTGAGGAGGACGTCGTCGAGGAGCCATGCGCACGAGGTCTTCGGGACCGAGTCTGGTTGCGCGGTCGACTGCCGAGTGAGGGCATCGACAGCGACGGCATAGGCGAAGCTGGCAAAGGGGATGACAAAGTGGTCGACGAGGTAGCCGGGTCCGCAATAATCCTGAAGGCGGACGTTTGTCGCGCCCGAGAGTAGACTGGTTGCGGGTATCAGCTCGGGCTGGATGACGTCGTCGAAGATGGTGTAGATGGAAGTGGTCGGAACGAGCGCGACGCCGCCGCGAGAGTTGAGCGCGTTGAGGAAGTTGGACCCGACGCTTTGCTGTATGACGGCTGTGGCGGCGAGGCGACATCAGGTCAGGCAGCGTCCGAAGAGCGAAGTCGACGCACAAGGGTCACAGCCGCCGGTCGTTGCATCGAGGACGAGACAAGCAGGCGGACCTTCTCCCGTCCCGTGGAAGTCGCCTGCCAGCGCCACAAACGCCGAGACGAGCGGGCGGTAGCTCGGCCAGAAGTCGAGCGCCCACTGCACGTTCAAACCGCCTTGCGAGTGCGAGACGATCCCGACCTTGCCCGTCTGCGATTGCGCAGCGAGCTGCTGAATCGCAAAAGCGACGTACTCGCTCGTCGTCTGCACGTCGCCGAGACTCCTCCCCGGCAAGGTAATCTTACAGACGTCGAATCCGGGTCCAGCGTTGGGCAGCAGCTGGATGTACGGCCCGTTGTCCCAAGTCTCCGGGCCGGTCGAACCTGTGCCGTGGACGAGAAGGACGACGCCGGCTGTCGCGTTGCGGATACCGTTCGGGCAGTTGATTGTCTGGGCGTAGGTGTCGCAGGGCTGGCTGTAGGTGCCTGCGTCGCCGGAGGGACTTGCGCAGAGCGTCGCGCGGACGGCGAGAGAGGCGGCGGTGACAGGCTGTGCGATGTCTGGTCAGCCTGCGATGCATACTCGTTGAGGCAGCAAACTCACCGCTGCCTTTGCGGAACCAGCAAACCCGATAGCGGTGGCTGCGATCACAGCGAAACGAGGAAAAAGCATGGCGGCGCCCTCGGAAACAAGACGCTATAAGGTCGGGCGACAACCGACAGCGACCGAAGAGCGAGAGAGTAAGGAGCACGAGGAGCCGAGCAGCTCGCAAGCGACGTCGGAGGAGGAGGCAGAGAGGTCGGCGACTCTGGCGCGAAATCAGCGAGTGGGGACGGGGAGCAGTGGCCCGGCCGGGCACGAGGGAGGGCAGACAGCTCAGTCGGAGCCTTAAGTTAGCCGCATTCAGTAGTTAAGCCCGTTATTGCGGAGCGAAGCAGGACGCGAGACAGAGATCGGGGGAAGGGGACCGGCGACCTCGACGACGTCAACGAGATGTCAACGTCGAGCTGAGTGACTTGTTCTGCGCTTGCGAAAGGAGTCGTAACGCAACGTGCAGAATAGCTGTCGAAGGAGCAACCTTGGCGAGTGTGAGCAAGTTCAGCGTAGCGTGAACTCGATAAATTGCCTTCCTCACCTGCAACCCAAGCTCCGACACAGCTTATACCTACCCGGACTCCCTTCCGCCTCATCTCTACGCTGCCAGCAGTGTAGTGATGGCAACGACGCTCGCCGCCGCAACGAGCGCCGCCCAACCGTCCCAAGACCGCCCAGCAACCCTTTCAGCCGCATTCGAACGGTCCGCTGCGGCAGTCTGCATGCCGCCTGTAGCGCCGCTCATTGCGCTGGCGCTGATGTGTGTGCCGGAGGGGTACGAGGTTGACGGGACGAGGTCTTGCGAAATGGAGGGGATCGCGGTGCCGACATCGTTGTTCCTGTCATCGCGAGGGCGTCAGTCATGCGACCTGCGGTGCTGCAAGAAGGAAGAGCTTCGACGAACCAGATGGAGGTGACTACACGCGAAGCTTCGGCCGTCACGGAAGAGAAGACGGAAGTCTCGACTGGTTGCGAGGCAGATGAGGCGCTCGAGGCGAGGAAGCACACCTTGTCGGCTGCACACGTACTTGTTAGTTTTGGCACCGCTTCAATGAAGGATGGGATGGCGTACCGGCAATCATGAGCGGCTGCCATTCTGAGCAGTACAGCCCGCGCGCCCAGCAGTTAGCGATTCGTGTGCTGCGAGAGATGGCAAAGGTCAGCTCTCCTATACGGCGATATGTGGAAGGAGAAGATACGCGCTACTGAGCACACAGCTGCGTCGCATCCGCCAACGACCCAGCCATTCCAGCGCTCGCCGTCGCCGACGGAACTGGCGGAATCGAGGCGTAAGAACCGAGGCACACCATGAGCGGCGAGCCGGGCGTCATGTCGCATCCGGTGTCGCGCCTGACGGGCGAGGCAGTCGCAATAGCGGAAAGTGTGGCGAGCAGGAGAAGTTGGGACACGAGCGAGAGCATGGTGAATGAGAGAAGGAGGCAGAGCCAGCGGTCGTCGACGTCGCGGTGTGAGGTATACACCAGCTGAGAGAGCAAGAGAGCGAAAGCAGGGAGAGGAAAGCGAGAAGTGTCGAAGGATGGAGTTCGGTCGTGTTGAAGCTCCTATCCTTCGCGGCGTCACGACCTTCGCAAAGCGCAGCATCTTGGTGATGCTGCATGGCATGCGCTCGGTCTACGTCATTTCTGCAATTCAGCGACAGTCAGCCGGTTTGCCAAGCAAGCAGGAAGAAGGATGGCGAGGAAAGGAGGGCAGGCCGCACGTAGGAACCCGTTTCTATCGCCTTACTCGCCCGCCCGCCCGTCGCTTGTTCTCCGCCGCGATCGAAGAGAATCGTATCCCTCGATCCTGGTCCTCGATAAGCTCCGTCAACATCCGCCCCATCTCGCCGCCCGGTACAGACGATCCACCAATCCTCGCCGTCCCGAACGCCGTCACGACCTCCTCATGCGCTGCGATAAGCAGCTGGCGGCCTTTCTGTCGCGCCACCAGGTCGAGCCACCATCTGAGTTGGGCGTCGCCGTCTTCGGGGGGAGTGTCGGGCGGGACGGTGCTGAGACGGGCGTGGGTCGTGCGGAGGACTGCGCGGACGGGGTGGCCGAAGGCGTAGATCAGACCAGCGCCTGCAAGTGCGGCTGCTGCTGTGTCGATAGCTTGCTCGAAGCGGTGCGCGTCGAGGTGAAGGGCGAGCAGGAGCTGACGAGCCGAGAAGAGCGGGTAGGCGGATGGAGCGAAGGGAGGGACGGGTGTGAGGGACGTCGTGAGCGAATCAATGATGTGCTGAAGGTGTACAACGGCGGTCCGCTCGTCTGCGAACTTGCACAAGTCAGCTTCCCGCTTACGAGTGTCGAGACAGATCGAGCGAACCTTCGTGCTGCGCTCGCTCAGCGTCTTCGTAGGCTAGCTTGGCGGCGTCGAGAGCAGGGTGGACGTCCTTGTAGGGCGCAGATGATCCGCATATCGGGCAAGTGACGGTTGAGACGGCCGAACCTCGCTCTGCGTGGGGGCGTGAGAGACGTGAGAAGCCGTTAGGCGTTTGAGGAATCGATGGGACGTACCGGGAAGTGCAATCAGGCCTTTACACCCGTTCTCCGCCTTTGGGCAGCTCAGCGCCTCCCTCGGGTCAATCCCCTCGCTCCTGCACTCCTCGCACGAACAGTCAAACTTGTACCGCTCCTTCACCTCCTTTTGCCGCAGTTCCTTCGTCAACGCAAGGTCGACATAGCTCGTGACGACTTCCTCGCCAGGCTTGATAGGTCGGATGGCGACGACGGACATGTAGCGCGAGGGAGAGGTGGAGGATGAGGAAGGGAAGGCGGGGAAGACGATGACGGCGTTTGGGCGGCATGAGTGGTTGAAGAGTGCGGTCAGAGGGGAGATGGAGACGCCGATGTTGGACAAGTCGGCGGACGAGGTGAGCGAGAAGGAGTTCGAGGTGAACTGTGGCGCGGCGGTAGCCCTGGTCAGCAAGCGCTACACGCGCTCAAGCCGAGCGAGAGAGAACGAACGCGTGAGCAGAGGTCGAGAACGGCAGCGGCATTCGCGCACGCTTCTTTCAGCCGCTCCTGGCCGATGTAGGATGCAAACGAGACCGAGAGGCGGAAGAAGTCTTCTTGCTCTCTGCCGGAGAGGCGAGTTTGATCTGCACGAACAGCATGAGTATCCTGGTCCATTGAAACAGAGACGGCAAGCGTACGCGATTCGAGCGATTCGACAGCTTCCCACTGCAGCTTGACTGAGCGTTAGCCGTCACTCAGCAAGATGGGACAGCCCAACGTACCATCTTCCCATCCCTTTCGGACTCCCGGAGATACAGCACCCGGCTCAGAGCACGCAGTACAACGTCTGGAGGGCCATGACGACCCTTCGCAGCAGCGTTCCTCTGCAAGTCCTTGCACTCCTTCTTGTGTATGAGCCAGTCACGCCGCTGGCAGGCCTGTAGAAGGGACACATCAGGATCTCGAACGAGCGCGGGAACGTAAAAGAGCGAACAGCTGAGCAGTACTGCACGATGTGACACATCGAGCACTGTTGCAACGTCGTCGCTCCTCCTCCTTGCGTCGAAGGTGACTTCAAGTCGTCGACGGAGCGGAAGCAGAAGCTGCATCGGTAGCGGAGGTTGCGCTGGTCAAGAACCGAGACGAGGGGAGTAGTCGTGAGGAGGGTTGTCCCTGCATCAAGCGTTGGGTCAGGCTCGGAAGGGAGTTGATACACGCTCAGCAATGCGCACCGGGCGAGACAGCTTCCTTCGCAACGACGCCTCGCCCTCGACCCGAGATATGTCTGACTTCGAGGTTGGAAGGGAGGTGTGGGTGGAGATATTCGACGGTGGCAGACGTGCCGGCGGACGGCAAGGCTACCGAAGGAATTTCAGCAGAGTACGCGTGCTTGAGATGGCGCAGGGACGCACCTTCATCCCGCTTTGCCTCCTCATCAGTCTTCGGAGCAGCAGCAGGAGAGGGAGACGCCGCAGAGCCGCTCGCGCCCGCGCGCTTGGCTTTTAAAGCAGCCCAGCTCGTGCTCATGCCAGCCAAGCGTCCTGCAGCCCGGTCTAGCAGTGGGTGAGACACAAGGTCGCGGACGATGGCCAACCCACATCTCTTGCCTCTTCCTGTTCACCTCCCGCTGCTTCCGGCTTGCTAGATCGCTCAGAAGATCTATAGCTATCTCCAGGACCCACTCACAGCACCACAGCCATGCCCGCCCCCGAACAAGTCGCCGAGAACTACTCGTTCGACGGAGTGATCCGCAAGTTCAAGGCGACGTCGACCTCGCTCGGCGGACTCGAGACCCAGTTCAACGTCTTCGTGCCGAAGGAAGCGCTTGATGGCCAGAAGGTCCCGTGAGTCGCGCTGAGCTGGGCTCGCTCGTTGGTGACGGGATGTGGGGGAGGAGAAGGGGCGGAAGCGAGATGAGGGCCGGGGAACGAGCTGCCAGGGCGTTTGGCAGCAGCTGAAGTGCTGTACAAGGTGCGCAGAAGACTTCCACTCGTTCCGGCGGCGGGCTCGACGCGAGACGAACGGTTGCTTCGCCAAATCTCGGCACACGAGACTGACGCTTGCATTGTGCAGTAAACGTGGTCGGAGAGTCTTCACTGATCGCAGAGAAGACTCGTGAAGGCCAGGAAGACAAGCTGACGACTTGCCGCCCCTTCCTTCCTTGCAGCGTCCTTTACTACCTCGCCGGCTTGACCTGCACCGAGGACACGGCGTGCGTACTCCAGTTTGGCACCCGAACGTAGCTTGCAGTGCTGACCTCCCCCTGTTGCAGGCCGTGGAAGGGAGGCTTCCTTCGCGACGCTGCCGCTGAAGGTGAGTAGGCCCGTTCGCCTTTTCGGTTTCCGCGCAAAACCAGGTTGTGTGGCGCTGATTGAGGCTTGCGTTCTCTTCGCAGGCATCGCACTCGTCTTTCCCGACACGTCGCCCCGCGGCGCCGGCATCGAGGGAGAGGAGAAAGACTGGGACTTTGGTGAGCTGCCGAATCACAGGCTTTCAGCTCGTTCGAAGGTTCGCCAAGCTGACGCAGTCATTGCACGAAGGTACCGCTGCCGGCTTCTACTTGAACGCGACGAAGGAGCCGTGGAGCAAGCACTACAACATGTGGGTCGCATCCGGCTGCAGTCTCTTCCGCATCGGAATGGGTTCGACCGCACTGGGATGAAGATATCGGATAGCAACTTACCAGCAACGTCCTTGGCAGGTACGACTTCGTCATCTCGGAGCTTCCTTCGCTTCTCTCCTCCCTCTCCCTCCCGCTCGACCTCTCCCGCTCCTCCATCTTCGGGCACTCAATGGGCGGCCACGGCGCGCTGACCCTCTACCTCAAGTCCCTGCTCTCTTCCTCCCCCTCGACGACCTACCTCTCCGCCTCGGCCTTCGCTCCGATCGCCAACCCGACGAAGTGCCAGTGGGGCGAGAAGGCGTTCGAGGGGTACTTGAGCGGCGGGGTCGAGGAGGGGAAGGAGTATGACGCAACGGAGCTGATCGGACAGGTCAAGGGCAAGGAGCTCAAGATCCTCGTTGATGTTGGAACGGGCGACAACTTCTACAAGCAGAAGCAGCGTGAGTCGGCGTATCCTCGGGGCTTCGGTCGTGGCGCCATGCTCCTCGGCGACGCGCCGATCGTTGTCGAGCAGATATCGCTGACTCTCATGTCGCATCCGCGCAGTCCTCCCCGAGAACTTCATCGCCGCCCGCGACGCAGCCGGCTTCTCGTCCAAGGACGTCGAGGTCAACCTGCACGAGCACTACGACCACAGCTACTACTTCATCTCGACCTTTGCGCCGGGTGCGTTGCCCTTCCGACGTCTATCTCGTCGAGACTTGCTGATCTGCTTCTCTTTCTCGCAGCTCACATCCGCTTCCATGCTCAGATCCTCAAGAATGCGGCTGGGAAGCTTTGAGTTGTAGAAGAGAAGGCAGCAATGTAAAAAGCGAGGCCTCCAGCCGTTTACGCCCGCTCAGTCGAAACCCGACCGTGAAGACCCCTTACTCAAGCCCTCTAGTGCTCTACGACTGCGAACGGACCGGAGAGCGCCTTACAGGCCGGATTCAACAGCTTGTCCGCCCCAGATAGTCCGTCACGCCAGCGCCTTCTTGACCTCCTTCGCCTTTTCCGACAGAAAGTCCTCGATCGTCCGCGGCTCGAAGCTGAAGTCGCCTGTGTTGAGCAGCGCATTCGCGTTGTCGTTGGTGTAGTCAAAGCCGCCCTGTCGAGGAGCAGAGCGAGAGTCAGCTGGGTAAGCTCGCCTGAGAGGGAAACGGACGCACGAGCGAGATCATCAGCGGAATGGCAGGACCCAGCATTCCCGGCGCCAGCGTCGGCTTGATATCCTCGTACTTCTGCTTCAAGCCCTCTGTCTCGATGTACGCGCGCTCGATTTTCCCGCCTGCAACTCGCTCCCAGATGTCCGCCGCCTCATCCAACGTCTTGAGGTCCGAGTAGATCCGTACGCCCGAAGGGATGGGCGCGGAGACGTCGCTTGGGGTGGCGGAGGAGGAGTGGGTCTGCAGGATGGCGGAGAGGACGAAAGGGCCGAGGTCGCGGAGGGAAGTGAAGGCGACTGGATGCGAAGGTCGAGGGATCGTCCACTTCGTGTCGGGCGAAGAAGTCGAGATGCCCAACCAGTCGGAGAAGCTGATCTCCATGATCAAGGCGTTGTAGAAAGCGAGCACTTGCAAACCGCGTTCTTCCGCTTCGCGATGGTGGTGTTGTTTGTTCGCAAACATGGGCGACTGGACGTACTCCTGCAGAGGAGGCTTCGTATGGTCCGTCCCAAACTCTGACGGGACGTAGATCTTGACACCGGCCTTGACAGCCGCGTCCAGGAGTTTCTGCTTGTTCTCCTCGTACTTGCCCTGCCCGTTCTCGCTCGCTCCCATCGCGCTCACCAGCACTTCGGCTCCTTTCAAAGCCTTGTCGAGCGTGTCGGGAATCACATAGGCGATCTGATGGATCTCGACGCGGCCAGAGGGATGTGAGCGCGCTGGAACGAGTTTGACCGAGTCGGGCGAAGAGGTGAGGATGCGGAGGGTGCCGATACGGTGCGAGGTGACGGCATCGAGGAAGGTGGTGAGGAGCGCGGACCCAACGAGGCCTGCGAAGCGATGTAGCGAGGAGGAGAGTCGTCGGATGAGCATGTGGGGGCAGGAGACGAAGGAGGAGGACGAGCGAACGTGCGCACCTGTGGCCCCGACCAAGCAAACAACAGGTCCTTCAACCATCTGTACGAGCGAACAGAATCAGGAAAGCGAGGTGAGGAGGCGAAGAGAGAGAATCGTCCTTCGTCGCCGGCTGACGGAAGAGCAATTCCGGAGGCGACCTCGGCAGACAACGCCAGCGACGACGTGACGATGCGTGTAGGGAATGGAAGAATCGTGTTTCGTTCCAGGCGCAAAAGATGAAGCGGGCCAAGCGCCGAGGCGAGCCAGAAGAAGGGTCGAAAAGAGTGTCTACTTGGGTTGTTTGGGTAAGTCGAGGGGAGAAAGGACGAAGGGGGTAAATCGAGGTGAGCAGGTGGTGGAACAACGAAAACAAGGAGCACGACGACGTAGAGAGAGAGAGAGAGGTATGTACTGGGCACGGAAGAGGGGAATCATGGACAGCATGAAGGGAGAGGGTACAGGTTCGAGTCGAGGGTATGCACAAGGTGAAGAAGGGGTTGCCGTGTTTTGGTGAAGGAGAGCACCGATCATAGATAGCCGAGAGAAGAGAGGGTCGAGATTAAGCGGTAGTAGGGTAGAAAGTTGTCGAGGCGAAGAAGTCGTCGGTTGGTGGACGGCGAGGCGAAGGGGCGAGAAAGCGGGCAAAGCGGCGGTGATTGATGCGTGTATGTCGTCCTCCACCGCTCAGCCGCTCTTGTTGCGCACAGCGATCGCCCTCGCGCGCCTACTCTTCAACTCAATCGCCTCCTCCTCCTCCGACTCGTCCTCGTCCTCCATCTCCGAATCCTCATCCTCCGACTCGTGCGCCGCAGCAGCGCGACGAGACGACGTCCTCCTCGCCGCGGGCGGCGCCTGCTTCTTCGGCGAACCGGACCCGCCGGTGGTGGGCGCCTTGAGCGGGATCGAGCCCTGCGCTGGTCCGACAACGGGTGCGAGCATGTCGAGTACTCCCGCGGTGTCGTGCACTTCTCCTGCTCCGTTCGCCGTCGCAGCAGCCGCCGGACTCGCCGCCGACCCAGCCTTTCCGCCCTTCTTCCTCCCCGCCTGGCCTTGGCCTACCGCCATCGCTCCACCCGCCTCAAACGCCTCCACCGCCGCACCCGCAAACGCATCATCCTCCGCACCCCACTTTGGCGGCCGCGCATAATCCCTCTCGAGCGTTTCTCCCGCCCCGTACAAGATGGCCGGAATCCCGCCCCCGTCGCGCTCGCGAGCGAGGTAGCCGTTGATGTGTTGGCAGGTGCAGAGACCTTCGGGGTGGGACTGGGAGAGGAAGGAACGGAGGGAGTGGACTTCGGAGAGGAGGGCGCGGCATTCGGCTTGCAGGGCGAGGTTGCGGTTGCAGAGGTCGCTCGAGGCTGCCCGGCACAAAGTCGTCAGCACATCCTTCCACAACGCCGAAAGAGGAGAAAGCGGACGCACCCGTCTCAAGCAACTCGACCCTCTCCTTCTTCCTCCTCCGACTCTTACTCGCCGCAATCCTGTTCCTCTCAAGCGCCAACTTCCTCTGTCTCTCCCTCTCCTCCGGGTCCAACTCAACAGTCCGCTCGAGCGTAGGGTCCCAATTCTTAGGCTTCCGTCCTCGCTTCTTGCCTGGTGGCTTGGAGGGAGCGGGAACGGAGGCGGGAGAGGCGGATCCGGCGACCGTGGGTGGTGAGGCGGAGGTCGTGGAGTGTGCAACATGAGCGGACGAAGCAGCGGCAGAAGACTTCTTCTTGCCTGTCGTCTTTGGCGCGGCGGGAGGAGGTGGTGCTGCGGAGGGCATGACGGGCGCACCGAGCGGGATCGACGGTCGTGCGAGCGCCGGGTGCGTGGGAGGGAGATAGTGACCGTGCGGGATGGGCGCGAGGGGAGCCGATGCGAGGTGGTGAGGGTGTGGAGGGTTCGCGAGCGGGTTGGCGAAAGCGTACGCGGCGTCCATTCCCGGCGCGACGAACTGCATGTGTGTTTGTTCGTATGCGCCGAATGGGGCGACGGTGGTCATCTGGACTTGCATGGGGTCGAAGGGCGGGCGTGCAGCGGTGAAGGGAAGAGGGGCGACGACGTCCGGTCCGCCGAGCGAGGACGGCGCGAGACTCGTCGGTGCGAACAGGGAGGGGTCAGGGTACGCGGCGGGTGGTTGACCAACAGGCATGGAGAACGGGACGGGCTGAGGCTGGAAGTGGGTGAAGGTCGAGTCGGCGGGGACGAACGCTGTCGCCGCGCCGAGCTTGTCCGACAAGGGCGACGGCGCGATGGACGTCTCGGGCGAGTTGGTGAGGCTCTGACCGCGGCGGTGTCGGAGGAGAGACGAGCCAGTAGTCGAGTCGAACGAGTTGCTCGACGAGCGGAGCGAGTACGTCGAAGGCGCCGCTGCCGCCGCGGGAGACGACTCGTCGAGCATGCCGATGCCGCTGTCCTTTGCGACGAGACGCAAGTCGGGCCGCTTGGCCTGCTTCATGAACGCCTCGCCCGCCTGACCTGCTCCTGCCTTCGATCCGCCGGGCGTGAAGACTGCGGGGCTCGACAACGCCCTCTTGCGCTTCGGCCGTCCCTGAGGGAGCTGCAGCGCCAATTCTCCTCCCGCTGGACCGCCATGCGCGCCCATCCCCGCCCTCCCCAGTGCGCCGGCAACAGCCTCGGGATCCAAGACCGCAAAGCTCTTTTCGAACGGGTTGATCTCGCGCGCGTGAGTGAAGAGCCCGCATCCCCCGTCTGGCTGTGGAGCGGCGACGGTCGACTCTTTGAGCGGCGAAGGGGCGGCGGCGAGTTGAGGGACGGGAGTGGATCGCTGGGAGAAGAGCGAGGGCGAGAGGAAGCGGGACCAAGGCGAGGGCGAGAGTTGGCCGCCGAGTGCCGACACCAACGAGCTGTCGTCTGTGTCCATTCGAGTACGCAGCACACACGCACGCACAGGAGGACAAACAAGGGTCAGCGCAGGCGAACGAGGGGAAGCGGATCGAAGGAGCATCAGCCAAGTGGGGCTGCACGACGAAACTCACGCAGGTGCACGGGCAGGGGACTCAGGACGTGTGTCTGCGCCATGGACACTACTCCTGCGAGTGTGTCTGTGTGTGTGTGGGTCGAGCGGGGAGGCGAGTGGGAGGAGTGGTGAAGGCGGAGAGCGCGGTTGTCGGTGCGCGACCCAGTCCGAGAGGTCGACCTGATCGAGGTCAGAACAGACGCGGAGCACCGCTTTCTCGCAAGTGGTCCCGCAAGGCGTGTGTTCGTGCGAGGGGAGCGTCGACAGAGAGAGAGGGAGCGCACTCGTGCTGCAGGGCGAGCGGAGATCTGCTGCACGCTGGAGCATGCAGCACGCGCACAGCCTCAGAGGCAGAAGCAGGCACAAGCGCGGAACAAGGTCCGGAAGAGCACCCGACTCCAGTCCAACTCGCAAACTCGCCGCTGTTCCTCCCCTCGCTTTGCGGCGTCGAGCTGGTTCTCGGGGGCGTGTGTCCGATGCCATGACTAGCTCGCACAGTGGGCTTGTATCATCGGAAGCTCTCAGCGCGACGTTGACGAGCCTTGTGGTGTGGCGGAGAGAGGAGGAGGGAAGAGGGACACCGCCTGGCTTCTCGCCCCGTTCTGCTGCTGCCTGCGAGTGCTCCGTACTGCTCCCGCACTGTACAGGTCTGGCAGCTCTAGCAAGCGTCGTGCGAGTCGTGCGACTGCATTTCCTTCTGCCTGAGAAGGTCAGCTCGACTTGACGGGTACGCACTTTGCTTCCGCCCGCTCTATCCCCTCTGCCCCCCGCTCAGCTCGTCGTGTATAGATGATGTGTTTGTTTCGCTCTGCTGTAACGCCGTCCGCGCCCTCTACCCACGGCCTTCTCACCCTTCCGCCGCTGTACGACATCCCCCATCCCGCTATTCTTCCGCGACTCTAACCCCTTGGAACGAACAGCTCAAAAGAGAGCTAACCTAACGTGCCAAGGAGTGACACTCCTCCGGATATGCCACGCTTCTTTCATTCGCGCTCACCGACACTCGCGCTATCAACACCAACGCCAACGTCGCGAGGAAGATCAACGGCGCCGGCTAGCTCGTGAAAGGAATTCCCAGATGGATATCGCTCCGTCTATGCTGAACCAGAGCGGGGTGCAGGCAAAACCCGAGCAGTTGACGGAGCGAGAGAAGGAGTAGAGCAGCATCCCAGCCTTGTCCTCATCATCACTGGAGTGTTTGGAGCTCGTTTCCTACGCCAAGGACAAGACTGGCAAGAGCGTAGCCCTCAACCTGACGCTGCTGAGCGTGAGAGTGTGGAAGAGAGGCGACAAGGGAGAGCGTCTGGCTCTTCGGCCGCCTGCTATCGCATCTCCGGCTTTCGTGCGGCAGTAAGAGGTATCTAGACACCCTGGTGAAGGTGCAGCCCCGGTAAGTCTCTCAACACCGCTCGAAGAACGCCGTTTCCTCCAGCTGAGAAGGTCAGGCTGAGGAGGCGCACCTTGCTCTCGCCCTCAGCCTCAGCGGCCGCCTCCCGCTCCACCTTCACCTCCTCACTCAATTTGCTCGACCTCAGCCTTGCCCAGCCTCATCTTTGCGCATTCACCCCTCGTCAACTTGCTCCCTTCTCCTCCTCGCACGTCTTCCGCCGATCCCTTCCACGCTCCCTCGCGCCATTTCGTAAAGAACAGCTCGCAGAACAGGCAACGTGCTCTTCCAGGTCAACGTTCCTCCCTCTCTTTCCGCAACGAGTTCGAGGCCTGTCCAATCATCCAATCGCTGGACGTTCTGCCGGCCCCTTGCGTGCCGGGTCGGAGGTTTTCCTTCGCCGCCGCGTTGGACTCTCCTCTTCCTCGTCGTTCTGCTGCTTGACTGCTTGTTGCTCGAGTCGAACAGACGCGTGTGGACTGGACAGGATGGTCCGCCTCCCTGGACTCGTCGTCCTCGCTCTTTCGCTCTCGCTCCCCTCCTCCCCCGTCCTCGCACTTCCGACTGCCGCTCCGACAGCCGGTGCCTCCTCCCTTTCGACCGCCGCAGCTGCAGGAGACGTTTTGACACGTAGCTCTGGCCGGGAAGTAGCACGTCGGGACGGGGAGAAGACGAGCGAGTCGTTGGAGCGGAGGGCGGCAGGAGCGAGTTACTACTCCTCCCTCGTCGCGTTCGGCGCGTCTTACACGGGTGCGTTGACGATTCCTCCTTCCACTGCGTGCATTGGAGGCTGCGCTACCCCCACGAACCGCTCGCTGACCTCCCGCCCTTCCTCTCTCCCCTTCCCCTTCACGCGGAGATTCCGACAGACAACGCACACGCTCGTGCACCCCAATATGCCGGCTCACTTCGGCAGTACGAGCCGTACAGCAAGTACGGAGGGAGGTACTCGAATGGACCGGTCGCGGTCGAGTACATGGTCAAGACTTCGACGAAGCCGGCGCTGCCGCAGAATGGGAAGGGGGTCAAGTTGCTGGACTGTGCGTGGCGGCTTCCCTTGTCAGTAATGAGGTGGTACTGATGAGGAGCGCGCAGACGCGTACGGAGGATCGGTCGTACAAAATGGGCTCACTGGAACGGGATCTCAATGGCCTGCTACCCAAGACCAGGTGCGCAACTCTCCGTCTCTTGCAAAGAGTGTTCCCGTTATGCTGACGGCCTTGCGCGGCAGGTCACGTCGTTCTTGTCGGACTTGAAGAACGGCAAGGCGGCAGTCGGGTCGGGACGGACCCTTTTCTACTTCAGTCCGTTCTTTCCCTCACCTCGTCTTTCGGGCCCGCCCACTGAGGTTATACGCAACAGACTCGGGCATCAACCCCGTCGCGCAAATCTGGAAAGCCGCCCTCTCCTCCGGCCTCTCCTCCTCGGCCCTCTCCCTCGCCCAATCCGCCGTGACAGCCAACACCGCCGCCCTCTCCTCCTACGCTCGATCAATCTCCTACGATCCCTCGGTCGCCGCAAAGACAAACGGAGCGGACTTCCTGATTGTCGGGATTCCGCAACTCGACCTCGTTCCTGCTATGCAGGCGCTTGCTCCGCCGGGTCAGCAGCCTCAAGCGCTTGCGGCGCTCAAGGCGCTGGCGGATCAGTATAACGAGGAGCTCAAGACCTTTGTGACGGCGTTTCAGGGGGAGGTCAACGGTGGGAATGCGTTGTGGTTCGACTTGGCGGGACTCGTGAGTTTGCCCGTCCGTTCCTACGCAAGACGGGTACTGATGGTCACTCGCTTCGCAGTGGAGCTCGATGACCAACTCGCCGAGCTTGTACGGCATCACGGCGGGTACGAAGCCGTGCTACTCCTCGTCGAACGGCAAGGTCTGCAAGAACCCGAACCAGTTCCTCTACTTCGACACGCTGCATCCCGTCACGACGGTCCACCAGTGCGTCCAGCTTCGTCCCTTCTACTTCAAAGTTTGCGTACTGACGCTAGGCTCGCGTGCGCAGGCTCATGGCGGAAAAGATGAACGGAGTCGTCGCAGGCAACCCCGCTCCGGGGGCGACTCCGACCGCCCTCGCACAAAAGGGTCTGAGCAGCGCCACCGCCGTCGGATCAGATGCAGCCGCCACCACCCTCAGTGGCAGCACCGGCACCTCGACTCCTTCACCAACTCAGATCGCTTCCTCCGCCTCGTTCTTGACGGCGCCAACACTTTCCTTTACTCTCGCACTTTCGCTTGCGTCGCTCATGACTTATCTCTCCATCTGCTAGACCTTTTGTATCGGTTAGACTCTGTCGGAAGTTTGGTCCCCCTCATCCTGTCGTCTCTTTCCCTCTCTCTCGTTCGCCTTAGATGGTTTCTCCTCGCCTAAAAACAGAACAGACACTTAGGTTGTTACTTATCGCATCGCATCGTGCCCAGACGGGTGAGAGTTACGTGAGGACAGTAGGAAAGAGAGTCTATTTCAGCGGAGGCGGCGACGGATGGGAGTGAGCGGGAAGGGGTCGAAAGCGACAGGTCATCGAGTCCTGTGAGCAAAGTATGTGTCAGCGACTGTCAGAAGGAGCGGGAATGCGGCGAAACGTACGGGAGGAACGTTTGAGCCTGCTCAAAGAACGTGTCAGCCCAACAAGCCTTCGCACAATGATGCCCATCGCCGACGCACCTGGCAATACATCGCATGCGGACTCTGCTTCCATGTCGCCAGCGCCGCAAGGATGAATCCGACGAAGAGGAGGAACGACAGCGTGATGTAGATGATGGACCAGATGCCGGGGCTGAGGCGCGGGAAGGCTTCGAAGTGTAGGCTTGGGCAGCAGGGGTTTTGTTTGGCGAAGAAGGCGTCGTCGGCGACGTCCCACAGGCTACGAGGCAAGGGAAAGGGGATCGTCAGATCGGTCAACGAGTCGCAGGAGAAGAGAGGCGAGAAGGCGAGCGACTCACACGTAGAAGCTGCTCATCACTCCGAGGAAGAGGATGAAGAAGCGCAAGCCCCATGCGTGGTCGACGAACCTGCAAGCGGGATGTCAGAGAAGGAGCTCGAGAAGTTGACCTTCTTACGCTTCGACGAGGTCGACGTAAACGCACCACAAGCCGATCTGTAAGGGAGCGATCAACTGGGTGCGTACGGAACAAGTGAAGGAAGACGCACCATCAGTCCGAGCGCGAGAAGAGTCATGATCTTCGCCGGCACCTCGACTCGCAGGAAGACCGCGACGAAGCCCAGTCCAACGATCTGCGTAGAGATGGGTCAGCTCTCGCGAAGAGCGGGATTCAGGAGAGGTGACGGCGCACAAAGCTGGCAATCTTGCTCGCTAGCGTATCGAACCCGCAGAACGTCAAGACCCCGCCCACAATGATGCTGAACAAGTAGCCGGGTGGAAGAGCAGCGATCGGTAGGGGGTGCTCGCGGTTCTCGAGGACGACGACGCGAGTCAAGCCGCCTATCTTCGGGTCGATCGAGAGGACGCCGATGCGGTAGCCCAGGCAAATAGCGACAAGGACGTGGCTGCGAGAGCGAGTCGGTCAGTCTAGGCTTTGAGGGCGGTTGGAAGGACTTGAACGCACCCCATCTCGTGTACGGCGACGGTGAAGACCTTGAGGGGGTAGAGAAGCTGTCGCAAGAGGGGGTAAGGCTAAGGAAATGTCTGAAGGAGCGAGTCAATGGCGCACGTCTCGCAGGATGAAGAGGTTCCAGCCGATGGCAATACCGACGATGCTGCGCCCCAAAGTCAGCAAAGTCAGGAGGGAGGAGCGCGGCTGGACGGACTCTGCGCGAGGAGGAGGAGGAGGAGGAGGCGAAGGGGCAAACAGTTAGCTCTATCCGTGCGCAGGAATGAGAGAGAGCTCAACACACAGATTGCGATCACATCTGAGAGTCGGCGTGGTGCAGGGGGAGACCGTGAGCAACAGCCTTAGCACTAGATGCCGCGTCTCTGCCGCCATCCAACTCACAAAGCGTAATCGACTGATCATGCGTCGGCTTGAGACCCGTAAACTGCTTCTCATCCGCGTCTCCAGGTGCGCAGACCGTCGAAGTCGGAGCGGATGCTGCGGCGGGTGAGGCGGTCTTCGTGCGAGTTGCGGTCGGGATGGTCGTGCGGGAAGTCGAGTAAGTCGTAGCAGTAGGGTAGAAGGTCTGGCGGATGCAGCGAAGCGTCAGTAGAATCTAGGGTCGGGTTCAGGCTGAAGACGTACAAGGGTGAGGTACGAAGGACCTGGCACAGTCAGCGTCGACTGGCCCTTCCAGATGGTCTCGACAATCGTTCCGCCATCTACGATGGGCGGCTCGCCGTACGTAGTATAGATGGTTACTTCGGCAGGGACGTCTTGCGTGCTGATGTGAAGGTGGACGCACGTCAGCTTGCGGTGTCAGCGACGCGAAATGGCAGGACGGCTTACTTGGTGACCCAGACCGTCGACGTCGAAGTTTGCCAGCCTGCGAGCAGTGAAGAACTTGTGAACAAATCGCTTGATGTTCGAGAAGCGGCATCGTGGCAGCGGCAGTGGGCGTAGCCGCGCGTCGAGGAAGAAGCGCCTGCTCACCTTGCCACCGCTTCTCCACCCCAGCTACCTCCTCCATCCGCTTCATCTCTCCGTCACCGCCGTCCACCGCCTCATTCGACCGCTCCACCATACTGTCGCTTCGAGCAGCCTGCGTCTCGACAGGCTGATCTAGCTGCGGTACCTGTGCTTGTCGCGAGGATGTTGAGAGCGTCGCTTGCGTTGCGAGAGTCGCTGGCGAGGCGGTGAGAGTCGAAGTGACGGGTGTCGTTGGATCGAGCGATGAAGCGGGCGAAGGCGAAGCAAGAACGAGCGAGAAAGCTAGCGATAGAGCCAGCAGCGAAATCTTGCGCATGGTAGCTGGTCCTGCGCGACGAGCGTTGGTGTGAGTGTGAAGAGCGAGTCGAGAGATGTTCGTTCAACCTTGGTTCAACCCCCGCAAGAGGCAGAGCCGAGGAGGAGAGGTCTGTGCGAGGAGAGGAGAGGAGGTCGAGGTCGAAGGCGTCCCGCTCGCTCAGCACATGCGCTCGAACGGTCGCGCAGTGCTCACCCAGGTCCTTCAAGTAGAGCGCTGGCGCATTCAAGCGACCTGAGTGCGAGGAAGTAAGGAAGTGCGAGGCGAGTTCTCCGAGGAAGAGCAGGGAGAGTTGCAGGAGAAGCAGCTGGACAGTCGCGACCTGGAAGCGCATCAGTGGCATGTTGCGAGCCTATCAAAGCGTCCTGCGCGCGCACGAGTCCCTAGTCAGCCCGCAACCGCTTCATCGCCTCAACCAGGTTCGAGGAGGTGCAAGAGACGCACTGTGAGCAAGAACGTCTTCGCAGCCAGCCCACGCTCCTCCTTGCACACATAGCCCTTGCTCCACGCTCTCAGCCCGACCACGAGCGCCGCGAGCGAGCCCCAGAGCGCGAGAGTCGAGAGGGTCGATGAGGCGGGTGTGGAGCTCAGCCAGTGCACGAGCGAGGCGAGCGGCATCGCCTGCGTGGCGAGTGTTTGCTAGCAGGAGTAGCAGCGCTTGCTCAGGCCGAACGGAGGGGAGCGAGCGACACGGACGAGGAAGACCCCGACTTTGGTTTCTCTCTCGCGAGTTGACATTGCTCACTCCCGCTCGCGTAAACAGCCTCTCAACTAGCCACGCCGTGTGGGAATCGACAGCATCGTTGCGACCGTACCAACGACCAAGCGCCTGTCCCGTCCTGCATTCCTCTCTCCCTCTTCCTGCTGGACGAGCGAGCACCTTAGATCTTGAAGCCGCGCGACTTGCGACGACCGCGAGCGTTCTGTAAACAGGGCAGAGTCAATACAAGGTTGTTCAAGTTGAGTGCCCGGAAGGCCTTCGACGGAGGATGCGACGGCCGCGAGGACGCTCGTGCAGGTCTCCCTTCCGAGATACTCGTCCGAAAGTGCGGGACTCACCTCCTCCTTCTTGCCCTTGCTGATGACGTAGGGCTTGGCGTGGTTGACACCCGAGCTGTTCACCGGGCGAGAGAGAGTCAGTTTCCGAGGTTCCGGCCCACCCGCACAGAGAGGGGAACCACTCACCCGCGGTGCTTGACGGCCTCGCGCGAGTTCTTGGGGCCGCGGAGGAGGAGGGTGTTGGCGCCGGTGGGCTTGCGGAGCGCAAGCTGGTCGAGGGTGATGCACTCTCCGCCAGCCTTCTCGATGCGAGCGCGGGCGGTGCGGGTGAACCTGAGCGCGGCGATCGAGAGCTTGGGGACCTCGAGGAGACGGACGTCGTCGGTGACGGTCGAGACGGTGACGACGGTGTGCTTGTCGGTGAAGGCCGCGTTCGACTTGGAGACCTGGCGGGCGATGCGCGACAACGAGACCGGGGGGCGGTTGACGCGGCTCATGTAGAGCCTGCGGAGGATGACCTTGTTGAAGCGCGAGTCGGTGCGGCGGGCCAAGAAGCGGTAGAGCTGCACGCGAACGAGTGTACCCAGGATCAGCTCCTGGCCCGCGGATCCCACCTCGCAACGCCGCCAACGCACCTTGACAAGGAGGAGGAGGTACGGGTCCTCCGACTTGGGCGCCGTACGGTTGCCCTTCTTGACGTGGTGGCGCTCAATGTCGATTCCCTGCGAGACGAGCGAACGAGGCGAAGGTCAGCACGACCGTGTCCTCCTCAACTCGTACCGGTGCCGCCTGTTTCCTGCTGTGTCCTAGCCCCTTCCTGCAACAATTTCCGCCCGTCCAACAAGCGAGGCGAGCCGCCGTGCGCCTCCCGCGCCGCCGGGTCCTGCCCCGTGCTCCTTCGTGCCCTCGCGTGGGCTCCCCTCCCACCGAGTCCGCTCGCTCGTTCGCCCGTCCTCCAGATCCACTCCAGCGCAACCGTTCCGTGCGTTCGTCCGGTGCACGCGAGGCCAGCGAGGGCGTTGCCGGGTGGGGCTAAAACTCGAGCTCGCGGTGGTCGCGGTGGAGTCGTCCGCTGGCGCTCGTTCGGCGGTTGTTGTGCGGGTTGGGGTGGCTGGGCTGAGCAGAGTGCAGCGGTGGACGAGTCGACTTGCCATTGTTGACGAGTCTGACGGTTGGACGAGTCGCGAGGGAGCAAGGCCACAGCGGCAAGCTGAGCGCACCTCGACTTTGCCAGGCGCAATCAAAACTCGCCTCGCACGGCTTACTGTAGCGTCTGTATTGGCTAGTACTTTACTGTAACTACTCTAGTACACCCTGGGAACTTGAGCGAACCACTTGCGAGTCGAGCGAGCGAGTGAGCGCGCCTCTCTCCCGTCCTCGTTGACCTCTCGCTCCCGCACACCACTCGAGTACACCCAGGCAGCGATGGACGGACACGACAGGGACAGCAGCAGCCGCAGCGCACCCCCGCCCCCGCCCAAACCGCACAACGCTCCCGTGCGTCCACTCCCAACTCACCTCCCTCATCGCTCGCTGACCCAACTCGCGCAGACTCCCGAACCCTCGAACGTGCTCGGCGTCTTCGGCCTCTCCATCCGCACTGGCGACAACCACCTCTACGAAGAGTTTGCCCGCGTCGCGAGGTGTGAAAAGGCCATCGTCGTCTACGACCAGCGGGTGCGTCTCGCTTCACTCGCAGACTCGCCTCGGAGGGTTCGCTTGCAGGTGGAGTCGGGTCAGGACTAACTCGGCTCCCTTTGTGTGCGCACAGAGCGGCCGCTCGCGTGGATTCGGCTTCGTCACGATGGGCAGTGTTGCGGATGCGGAGAAGGCTATCGAGAAGCTGAACGGCATGGTGCGTCGCCTCGCTCTTCTCTGCATTTCCCTTATTCCACTAACGCGAGTATGGACGTGCGCAGGAACTGCATGGCCGCCGCCTCCGTGTCGACTTCTCCGCCACGACCCGCCCTCACGACCCGACTCCGGGCGAGTACCGCGGTCCGAAGCGCTTCGGGGACGACGAGTTCGCAGCTCGCAGGCCGCCGGGTGGTGGAGGTGCGTACGGAGACAGGTGGGGCGGCGGCGGGGGGGG